TTAATAATATATTTTAATCATGTTATTAAAAGCCGATTACTCTAATAGATGAGTGATAACTTATAACTTATTTTATGGTCACGAGTTACGAGTCGAATAAAAGTATTACACGCGTAGTAGTTGTAGGTACATTGAGTTTTTGAAGAAATTCAAGTGGAGTCGTAGATATATAAAAACGGAACGCGATGAGCAAACCGACTTTAAAGAGGTTATTTCGTGACAATAGTGAGGCACAAACAATTAACGTCCATTCAAAGACGTATTTCAATAGTTTTTTTATTTTTACGATATTAACGTTTGTCAATCGTCAGCGTTGACCATTAATATTGAACCCCGTTTGAATACTTTGATATTAAAATGATTCACACGTATTGTCAAACACGCAACACCGAACAATATCATTATTATATTAAGCACACGCAAATGTTAAACGTCATGTATTATGGATATTACGATAGAATATTATGAATAATTTTCGGCCATTACAATGTAATTAATAATGATAACAACAATCCTAAAAATCTCGTTGCACTGCGATTGGCCGAAATAACGGAACGTGACTTCTATACGTACGTGACGCGTATTGATTTGCAAGAGAGCTGTAGTTGCAATAATAAAATAATATAAAAAAAAAAAAACCCTTAACATACTTTGCACCACGAGTAGGCCATCACTATAGCTCAGATGTTGTAGCTTAATGAAAATATATGTAATATATTATGTTTTATGCAGTGTTTTACTGCTCGAAATAAGGCCATCTCAGAGAGGCCAAATTTTTAGTTTTTATTAGGCGTTTTGCTGCATCATAGAACATACAAAATAACTCTAATCACCGCGCCAAAACAATTAAATTCTGATTAGATTTAGATAATTTGGCAAGATTACAGTGACTGTATTACAGTCCTTAATCATAGTCGTGTTTATTAACTTTTGTAACCAAACTATAAGCCGTAAATCAACGGAAATAAAACCTATTTACCGTATTTTTTTTATCAAAAATCTAGAAAAATGTTTTCAAAAATCAATATAATTAGTATTCTTTTGAGGTATGATGTGAAAAATTTGGTGTATTTTTAATGACCACGATAAAGTGTTATACGGGGAGTCCCCTCTGCACATCTTAGTAAAACTAATTACTGAACAACCTGAAATTATTTTTCATTTCGCTAAAAATAAAACTATTTTTTTTTTGTATTTATAATTCAGATACCTACCCTAACCTTGATAGGTTGATAGGAATTTTTTCAACAATTTTCTTTTATTTGTTTAACACTTAAATTTTATTTTCCAAAATTCGAACTACTACAAAAAAGATCAAATCATTACAATACATATATTTTCGAGTATTTTCTTTAGATTATATTTTTGGACGCATAATTTGCCGCTTCAATGTTGAGAATGATAATTAAAAATGTTGATTTAAATAACAGATAAATATAACGGCTATAGAATTATCTGAGATAAAGGTTAAAAGATAATTTTCAATTATAGAGATACCTGAAAATTAACGTAAACACAAATTTAATGAAAAATTCAAGTACTAAATGTTTAGTGTTATTTTAAGAAGTTATTTCTTTAAATATTCAAAGCAGTATAAGTGTTACAGAACTATAGATTATAGGTACATACTTTAACACTGTAGTCAGAATAATATATCTTGTATCTTTTTTAGAATATGAATACAAATACCGAATATTTTTCATAGTCAATCACAAGGTTTCGGTGTGATTAAAAATAAAAAAAGCTTTTGAGGAAGGGCAATTAAGTTTACTTTGAATCCCTTCTTATACTTATTCTACTAAAAACCAAATTGATAAGACGAAGTTATAGATGAGGTGTTTTGATTTAACCTACAGAAAAATGTACATCGTTATTTATATAGATTATTTTTAGATGACTTTATCTTGATAATTATAATACTGTCTTTAAATTGGTTAAAATAATAAAAGACTTACGAGTTCGTTTCGTTTTATTTTTTTCAAACCCACACTAATAACAGTGCTATGAAATTATTACGATTCGGTCAAATATTTAATTACGTGCGTATCGATCCGTAAAATTATTTTGATGAAAATCAATATGGTGGCAATAACCGAAAAGGTATATAGCTTTTGACTTCGTCGTTATTGTTAAAATACAGGTGAACCTACCCACTCAGAGTTTGAGTAAGATAAAAACGTCCATAGAAATTTTAATCTGCGTTCTTTTGAACTAGATTCTTTAGATTATATAAAAAAAGAGCTAATACTAGATTATTGTTGTAGGTGAGAAGTTGGGAAGGTAGGATACATACAATTATTTCATTTATATTCTTTTATATCTTTTATATTTGTGAGCAAGGATAAACTATTGCATGACGAAAGACGACTCCGAACGCAGTTCGGTAAAACATAGTTTGAAATGCAGTAATTTTTTTTTGCGATTTTTGTTTAAATTTGATTTCTAACGCTTATTAAAAAAAAAAAACAAGTCATCCGATGATTTTTGAAATTTTACATCGTCTAAGTAACTCTAATTGAAGTATTATTACCAAGTTTCAAATTTCAAAGTGTATTTATAACCAAATTACAGCAAAAAAAATTCCTTAAAATTAAAATTTCATTTAAGCTCAAAAGTAGCTTAAAATTTTTAGAGATGATACCGTAATAAAGTTAATTAAAAAGTTAAAAAAAATGATATATTATAGTTTTTACCTATTAAATCATTTTTTCCGGTAGAAAACGTCGTTTGTGTTTATATAAAATAATGAAATGGTGATATTGTTCGTTTTCCCACGTTTTTTTCCTATTTAAGTGCTTTTATTTAAAAACGGCATCAAAAATAAAAAAATGACTTCTTTAAAGTAAAATTAAAATGACTTAAGTCTTCAGAAAAGCTGCTACACGTAAAAGTCGGAGCAAGTTTACTAGGAAGAAATGTGTCCACAGACTACAACAAAGAACAAAGAAATAAACAGCATTGGAAAACCAATAGCTCCTTCGCTACGCTCGGAATCTAAAAAAAAAAGGCAGGAGAATAAAAATAAAAACTATTAGAAATAAATTGCAATACGTCAATGTCGGAGCATAAAATTTGTTCCATCCATAAGGAAGTTTTTTTTAATAAATTGACTTTTTCTAAAATAAAATAAATAAAATCTTCTAGATATTTCGACGAAATTATAATCTGACAGTTAGGTACCACGTTTTAAGTGGAAAAAATGTAAATCGAATTTGCGTAACTCGAAACATGTTTTGTATTATGTAATGTTATTTTAACGAAATAAATAATATGTCGAACAATGATGGACCTGTGATTGTCAACTGTTTAAATGTAAAATGTAGTACCCGAAAAACTATCGTTTTATACAAAAATATCTCCCTCGGGTAAATATTTTGAAAAGTCTATAAATTTTTTTTTGTTATTTAAATAGTTCAATATATTTAAATAAAAAAAAGTTAAAAAAGTATTTTTTTTTTTTTTTTTTTTAAACTATTAAGGTCTATATTCACTTTTTGAATTGTATAGGATTATCGTACATAATGTTATGATAGTTTTTGGACCTAGGATGCATCAAAAAATATAAAACTCTTCTGCCAAATGTAGGACTGATGAACTTCGAACATGGTTCATGTAAAAATACAAATTTAAAACAAGGGGAAATGAATGGTATTGCTGCAAACTAATATCTGTTATGATTTATTATGCCTGAAAATATGTAGAAGACGATTATACGCCGGTAATTGATTACTGAACCATGTCAATTATGATTTTAAAAGACGTAATAGAATAATGGGCACGGGTGCAGCCAAAGTTATAGATAATTTAATATACACCTGTAAGCATCGATAAACCATTGCTTACGAAATTATGATTCTGAGCCGAGTTCAGTTGCTTTGTGAACAATATAAATTTCATATTATAGTAAAATAATTAAATAGAATTTATGTATTTTATTTAATAATATTTGCTTAATGTACCGGTTTTACCAGGTTTTTGTTTTTTTTTTTTTTAATTGTTCACATTTAATGAGAGAACTGTTGAGAAAATCGAAAAATGACCTCCTAACCTAACCTCATAACACTGATTGCCTTTTAGAAAGGGTGCTACACTTAAAAATCTGAGCAAGTCTTCCAAACTAAATATCTTTGTAAAACTATAAGCTTCTTCAATCCACTCAAAATCTAAAATTACTAAAAATTACAAAAAAAAAAGAAAATAATTTAATGACCTAAAAATAAAAAAATAAAACTTCAGTTACTAGAAAAATTATCGTATGATAAGCGTTTATATGAACGATTGTCTGTAAAAGCTTTTGTAGCAAGACACGCGAGCACAGGTACACTGTAAATATAATTACAATGAAAATCCACCATTTAAAATCAAAAAAAAAATAAATAAACAAAAAATACTTTTTGAAAATGTAAATATTTTCTTCGAAATACAAAATTTAAAGGAAAAAGACTTACACTATAAAAATCTAAAAATAACGTATACAAATAATGGGTAAACTATTTAGTTTTTATTTATGTGGTTTTATACATTAATTGTTAGGTTACATCAATCACACAACCTTTTAGGACAATTATCAAATCTGGTAAACTTTTGATGCTTTTATCACTCGGTTTTATGAAAGGTAATGAACAAAATTATCTTTTCTTTTTATTAATGTTCCTAAATATATTTCCTTATCTAGACAATGGAATTGTTAATGTATCATTTATCTTCGTCTAGAATCTAGATAATGATAATAGCAATTATCTCCTTTCTAGATTCTATCAATTTTAAATTCTACAATTCAGCTTTATATAACACTGTACATGACCGATTAAAATGTTCGAATTGATTCAGGCATTTTCTTCTAAACGGTCAGTTTTATGTACAAAATATTCGAAACGTTCAGAAATCGTCTATCTCGTCTTAATATTACTGTCCTACCAATTAGAAAGTTAGTTTTTCAAATCTTAATTGTATGGAATTTTTAACGAGTCTGCGTTTGACGTTTTTCCCGTGTCACTATACTACACTAACCTTCTTGTTTTGAGCGGGGCCACAGGCCACGACCGTCGGGTTCTGAGCACCAATGCCACACGCATGGAACCGCTAGTTTGCGTGGTCATGGCTGGCGCGGACGTGCGTTTGACGGCCCATGGGCTGCGTCCGGCCCACGCTCGACCGCCGCCAGCCCACAGGTGCTGTTGCTGTTGTATGTCCCGCGGGTGCGGGCCCTGTTCGCTGCGGGCCCGGCGCCCACTACCACCACTTAGGATCTCCCGGCGGATCTGCTCCACGTCCAGTTTGTTGTACGTGCACGTGATTGCGGCCGCGGCCACGGCGGCCGCGCTATCCCCCGCCCCCTCGGCCACCACCTTAGCCGTCGTAGTGGCCGTTGGCGTCGTCGCCGTGGATGATACCACAGTCTCCGTCTTGCGATGATCGATCACACTGCCGTGATTATAAGACGTGATCATCACACATGACGTTTAACCGGTTATTGTTTGTGATTCCCGCCTCCTCGGTAACCTAAGTGAGGGCGCAACAATAACAATATACGACGCGGTCACCATCAATAGCCAATAAAATAAAATACATTGGAAAATTAGCCGAGTGACATACCTAAAAAGTCAGAACCTAGTAGAAAACTGACTTTCGTATCTGAATATGAACGAGTTTAACGAGTTTAAATTTTGAATTTCTTGCTAACTTACCGCGTTAGTAATAAAACGTAATTTGTGATTTTTCGGTTTTCAGGTATTAGATGCCAGTTATTTTTTTAATTTTATTACACACGCCTAATAGTTCCTTTAATTGTGTTCAGGAAAAATCTGGTACACTGCTTTTCACATTGGTATCAATGTTTGCAAACCGATTTAGTTATTTAGATAACTTTTTGTAATAAACAGGTTTTATGATTAGCATCATTTCAAGCGAAAGAACAATTTTTAATTTTACCTGTTTTCTAACTAGAGTTGTTATTCCATAAATCATAACTAAAATGGAATTTCCGTAAAAAACAACGTCCAATATAATACTTTACTATTTATGATGGTATTAATTTGCATCAAAACTAAATTTAATCGATTCAAAAATTCGTGTTACTCAAGCCCTTTGTAATAACCGATATCCGATGTTGTTGTTGTTTTTGTTGTTATTGTTATTGTATATTCTGTGTGCATCAATTCCGGTCGACGGGCTCTCCTGTTCCCTCCCTCACACACCAGAACACCTGAGAACCGCTCGAGTGCGAATCCTCTCGGGACGACCGACGCGCTGTGCACGGTGACTACCAATTTACGATTAGCCGGGAAAACATTTTACACATACATGCTATGTAAGACACATACACATATGACGTATTTCTACGGATATACAGAGTGTTCATGTTGTAATAACCGTTTTAACAATATTGCCTGTACCAGAAAGGCAGATTTTCGGAATTAGTTTTTGGTACTTTTTGAGAAAAACGAAACCTGATATTTCGTTAATGTTTGCTTAAACGGATGACAGTAAATCTCTTTTCATATAAGTACACCTATTATAATTAACGATTTAAATATATTTTTTTCATTAATTTAGAATTAATTAAGAATTATGAGAGATTGCATTTTTGGATAAATAGATGTCATTAGAACTACACAATAACATTTAATCTCTGAAAATGTTATTTTAGTACACTGTGATGTCAAAAAAATGTTGCATATGTTATATTATACATAATATGGCAATCAGTCTCAACCTAGATTGAGAAAAAACGCAAAATATTTTTTTCAACATTTGTGTGATTCAAACGTTGACCTATTTCCTACCTACTCGAAATCCAATTTCTTACCTACTGCAACACTATCTCATAGTTATGAAATATATAAACATTTATTTCTATATAATTTTTAGCCACAGTATCGAGCGCGACCCTATTGCGTATATTTATTCTACGCGCATTTCCGCTACCACTACCCCTCACCTTTACACACCGTTTCACCTTCGAAAAATACTAAATTCACAAACTCACGGTAGATTCAAGCAGCAGTTTCCAGCTTTTTCAGGTAATAATAATAATGATAATCTTTATTTTACGGAAATGAACTCCAATTTCAATTAAACATATTATACAGTGTAAAGTTTAAAACTATGTATGGACCACTTTATAGATATTAACGTCTCTGGTTTGGACACAGGTTTATCAATGGCATTCATCGTGTAAATATTAAATAATCGAATACAAAGCTTTTGATGTATATCAAAATATTTCCACCGCCACCAAAAGTAACGGTGATCGGAAAAGCGGTCGAAATATTCATTTGAGAATACGCTTGCTGTCTGACAGCTGAAAACGTCGAGAACGGTATCGTCTCTCCAAAAAGTCGATAATATTATATAGGTCCTCTGAGTATTTCGAAGAACGTTTATGGCCGTTTCGTTTTTTTTTTTTTTTTTGGTCGATATTTTTAGATTTGGAAAATTATATTTTATAATAATATTTTAAATTTACGCCTACGGGTTTTAGATCTACCGAAACCGTATACCGTACGATAGCAGTGCACGCGATCGTATTCGCGATCGTGTCAACGGAAGGTTTTTCCCCCACGACGGAAGTCACTTAAATTTCAGACATGAAAACCCGTACAACGAGCGTGAGCCCGAAAAACAGACAGCAATTCTTTGATAACGATAATTATATATATGTATGTATATATATATATATATATATATATATATATATATACAAAAAAAATAAAAAATACGCACCACACACGCGATAATAACCGTGCCTGAAAACGTCGACGAGAGAAAATCAATATTTGATATTATATTAAATGAAACAAGTTTCCCGTCGGCTTCAGTGGAGAACAGTGTTGTGTTGCGCTATTTCAATATTAAAAAAAAAAAAAAAAAAAAATTACTTTTATAATACCTACAGTCACCGTGTTTGTTTTTAATCGAGAGATTAGGTAAGTGCTACCGGAATATTCGTTTCGACTAACCGCCTGCAAAGGTCCGTAATATTATTACGTTCCGAAGCAGTGTTCAATTGCACATGTCAAGATGCCCCGTCAATGATGATCCTGCTTTCTGAACCGATAAACACGAAAAATATCCATTCGTGTAAACACTGTAAATTTTCGATTAAAATTCGATTTCGTTCGACAGCAGCAACTAGTGCGTTTCGTTCAGTAGATTATTTTTCATTTCGTGTTTGTTTCATCGGTTGACGTATATACGAGTTTTTGATGTACACAAATTCTGGCGATATTTTAATAAAATAATACCGCCATAGTAATATAACCACGCACTTTGGCGATAAAGTCCGAGACTCTTATCAACTAGCCTATTAGACAGTGTCTGCCGGTTTAAATGGATTTACTTCAAATTCGACTTAATAACCGCTACGCGTTATACTTGTTTGAGTTTACGTAATTACTATGTATGACTAGGGGCATGTTTAATGTTTGGTTGATTAATCTATGATGCCCAATAATGTTACGAATGATTATCGCACAGACATATATTGTACATGTACGCCATGAGGCTTTATTATTTAAAAGACCCAAAAATCTTGTTAAATAAATTTATATATATATTCGTATAACAATGATATATTTTACATACTAGATATTAATATTATAATGTAATGGCATGTCCACACAACATTTTACATTTATGCATTTATTTTTCTATCGTGTGACTAAAAGATCACAAGAGTACTTGGTATTTAGTAAAAAAAAAAACATGATTAAAATCAAAAATATAACGGGGCGTTCGTTTCTTGAGAGAGATTAACATATTTTTTACTAATCTAAACATTGTATAACGTGTGAGAATATAAAAATCCTCATGCGAAGACGTCATCGATAATAAAATAATAACGGTTTTTTTAGCATCTCGAGCGGTTGAGCCACTCGAGAAATATTTTTAAAAATTACTTTCGACAACAACACAAATAATGAGTACCTACCACCAATCTCTTGAAAATTTCTCTCTAATAGCTAGCTCCAACTTTTAGCAGCTATAATCACTAGTATTTGATTGTTTACATTAATTTAAAAATATTTCAAAACTATTAAATAGAAAAATAGTTTTTTTAATTGACAGATCATTGTGGGATACTCTGTTTAGTATTTTAAAAAGAGTAGGTAGTAGTTTGATGTATGTATTTATCTTCTTGCCTCTACTTTTAGACACGTCTAGCGACAGGATAATGGATCAAATCAGCTTCAACTCGAAAATTCGATTTGCTTTATAGGTGAACAGAAGAGATACAAATTAGATTAAATTACTGTACAAAATGTTAGTTTATTCAAAAGGGGGTGGTATTTTAACTTTAATAAACACTCCTAAGACTTTCCAAATATATCTTGGAGGAGGGGGTCAATTTATGTTTTATGTGTAATACATATTATAAATTGAATTAGTTCCTAGGATGTGCTTTTTGAGAGTACCCCCACACTTTATACGCTATATTTAAACATTTGTTTTTTTTATTTTAAAGTTTAGTTGCCAAGCGTATTTTTTTTCTATGCAATTAAAACACATTTTTAATTTTTGTGATAATATTTAATTCTACAATAAAAATACAACCGTAGATCAAATTTTTCTTAATTCACGTACATCACGCAATAGACACCTACAGATACCTACAAGTGCGATCTCGAATATTAAATAGGATGATTTTTTTTTGTGAATCCACTGCAGCCCTATAACTATACATTATAAGTACATCCATAAACACAATCATGACCACACATACAAACATACGATCTCGTAATGATTTATATTCAAGTTATTATACAATACTCGTACGTTATCGTTCGTCTGTCGCTAGTTTCATATTATGTTTCCGTACCGACGGACGTCCGTATGTTTTATTTTTGATAATTTTATGTTCGAGTCATATCTGTTACAATCCCTGTTTCCACAGTGGTTTTTCAATAAAGTTGTTGATTTAAATTTCAGTCCACTCGTGCATCGATAGAGAGAATAAAACCATGATCCGATCAAAATTTTTTTTTCGTACTTTTTTTTTCCATTTACTATAATAATCGTAAAATGATGCGAATGTGAAATCTCTACCTACATAAAACATCTGTAAGCAATAGAGCTCCATCACTGGAGTCGAATTTTCCCCAATGCTTATCTTGTTTTATAAGGATATTCATTGAAAAACAATAAATATCACTAAATAATAAAATATATAAATTTAATACGACACCCCCGTAAACCACATGTTCGACACTTTCCCCATGCGAATACAACATTTTATCACCCGTAATAATTTAAACTATAAAAACGAATCATTATTCCTGCAGTAACACACTGAAATTCATCATATTGAAATTTAACCCAACTTTTATCGCTCTAAACCTGAGTTTGGGTTCATTTGGTCCAGATAGAGCTTCTAAAAATGCCTGTAAATATCGTATAATAGATACAATATTTATTTTCGGTAAAAATTTGAATTTAACCACCACCTCTACCATTTTATGCTCTTAAAAATTTCACTGTTTTTAAATTCAGTACATGTCGAAGGATCTATCGGTTTTACTATGATATATGTTTTATTTTGTCTGTAAAAATATTTTTAAAAAGACATCTTCCTCCGTTTTATAGAGTGTAGTAACTTTTGTAATAGGAAATTATATCTAATTTGTGTATTAGAAAGATAATTTAATAGTTTTAATTATTTCACAGTATTATAGCATTTAAAAACGTCTATAACTAAACTTCGCTCCGAATTCGTTTGCAATGGTTTATCGTTATTTATAAATATAAATTATAACATTTTATGTATCCTACCTATTCGACTTCTCACCTATATCAGTGGCGCATCCGTCACCGTCATTATCAGCTCTTTTTTTCGGAAATACCTACTCAATATAATAGTTTAGTATATTGTATTATTTCATTGTTCATTGTAGACAGAGTTTCTCACAGTCTACAGTTTTTTTTTTAACACTATAGATTTAAATTTTTTACTATAAATTAATAATCCGAAAGATTATTTTTATTTTTTTAAATATTACCGACAGATGATATGTCTCAAAATTCTACTCTAATTTTTTTTTATCTAATTGTGTACTGTAGTTGACGGATTCATAAATTTCGGCTAGAGTACTACGACAATAATAACACGTTAATTTGCATATTTTTTTTTATAAAGGTAAAAAGGAATATGTGTTCGACAGGTAAGCTGTGTTTGTCGGTATAATATTATTATTACACGTTTCAAATACTGCAACACGGATTATCGATTGTTCATCATTTTCTTTTCCAGAATAATAATGTGAAAAAAATTAGATTTTTTTTCGAATATTTACAAATGTTTATTATGTGTCATACTAAAAATATGGTTTTCTTCATTGATCTGATCGATGCTATAACTTCGGATTTATTTAATATACAGATCTGCGCTTAAATTTTAGAACTTAAAACTTTGTGTTTTATTTTTTTTTTTTTTTTTGGCACCGAAAATAAAACAATTTAATTTTACTTTTTTCCCCATAAATATAAAACGTAAAATAGGAGGTTTTTTTTCAATATAAATTTTTTAAAAAACTTTGGTATATAAAGCACTTTTTAAATTGTCTTTATTATTTGTTTATGAAGTTTAAAAAGTTTATTACAATTAAAAATTTGTTTCGTATGCGTCAAGTTTGCGTCAAAAATCTCTTGGCAAATTCTAAAACTTCACTCAGAATTTGTCGGGCAATTTTATAAACTCACTCAGACCATTTCTTTTTATTTCATTAACAAACATGCTGGTGCCAACTTAATGCGACACCAGCACATTGTTCAAATTCATCGAATGACATAGTAAAGTAAGCGTTGAAATTTTCCAGTTTTTATCAGAATATTTTCAAAATTTGCTAATGTGTAATGACATTAATTATTTTTACCGAAAATTCTCATTCTTATTTGTAATCAGACATTTCGGCAAACGAATTTCGATTAATTATTGTATTCGCCAGATCTTCACGGGGCACCCTGTATACCCTGCATTTTATATCACCATTAATTCACGGGGTATATTTCATTTCCCCCCTCATGGGCCTCGATGCAGTTTTATGTTATTATTTTAGTTTTTGCCGTAATTCATAATTTTTACGGTACCCGAATTATTATACGTAAGTATACCGGCGTAATAAATTGTCGCGAGCACACGCTGTGCGCGCGCAATTGTTTCAGAAAGAGAATTCCGGAAACGTTTCCTGCCGACCCCGAGCCTTTTCGTGGCTTAATAACCACCGATGTCCGGGAACCTTTTGGTGCAAATATAATATTATAATATTATTAATATGACGACCCGAGAAAACGTCAAAAGTTACCGTGTCTTTTATAATATGTCGCACGTTCAAACTCGCGTTCGGGCGCCCCGATGTTATAATCTAATATTCTAACATTAATTATAACGGTCTTGCTGGCCACGATTCGACAAACTTTGGACAGACTTTCAAGCGACCAGGTACTCAGGCGATCTCAATCCGAAATTTCCAAATTGCCGTTTGACATTTCCCACAGAGTTGTGTTATCATCAGAATAAAACTTTGGTTAGCCCTTAAATGTGTTCGCAAGTTCACCGCAAGAACGCACACAAATAACTAAATTAATATTTGTCTAATTATTATGTTGTACGAAGAAGAAAAAAAAAATCTCTTATCTATAAAATATAACGCGTAGATTGAAAATCCTTATGTTATGAACTCGCGCATTCTTCGCTTTTAATATTCCTTGTCTGCCCAACGATTATTCTCCAATTGGTAATGTACTCTTGCTATGCAACTTATCGGACTGCGCGCATATGGCGTTCCTTATTTAATTTCAAAATTCATCTCTGATAAAAATATAGACGTTGTCCTTTTTTAGTACCCCTTATCAGTTTTTACAACCCATCTTTTTTCACCAGATCCGGTGATCTTTCCGAACTACCTCTCTCCTCTACGCTATACCGCCAGAACTCAGAAATTACACAGATGATACGTTCTCAAAATGAAGATGCATTCCTTTACTACTAAATATATGTAATTATGTTATTACCTTAAATCACACACTCAAATATTTTTCCTGGATGTTGAACGTTTCTCTGGAATTTTAAATTAAATAAATAAAAAATGTTTCAAGCTTTTTTCGAACTTGACAATGGTAGAAAAAATGTGTAGGTTTCTATCATACGATTCTTTGTATACCTCATTTCAGTATATCGATTTAAGTCTCTTTTCAAAAATCAATTAACGTCTTTTAAACATTTATATACAAAACTATTTTGTTGATTTCAATTTGTTAATCCAACTTGTCGTATCAGATTAAACAAATTGTATTCGTAATAATACTCGTAGTTATTTTATAAGAAATATAAAATTGTACACTTGATAAATCCGACTTTTACGCATGAAGTTTGTATTTGTCAAACATCGTCAAAAGTTATAAAAACCATTGGTGGACGACATTGTATTTTACAAAAAATTAAAAATCCAAAGTTAAATCCAACGTTCACGAAAACGCCTTAAAAATTAATTTTTTATCACTCTGTGTACACTCAAACGTCCAAAGGAAATCAAATTTTTTAGGTCTGTTTTTTCCCAAACGCTTCCGCATTACCGGAGCTCAAGTCCAAAGAAAAATGTGAAAACGGTCAACGGCAACAGGTAGAACGTGGCTTGTGGTAAACCGTTTTTCTGTTTTTATTTATTTGTCGATTTGTTACTGTCTACCAACATTTAAATGTTGTGTATAAAGTAGTGCTTATTTTATACTTATGGTGCGCTACGTCGTTCGATAAGTTTAAGATAGATGGATAAAAAATTCTCCCCATACGAAAAATACCATGTTAATAACGATCGCATTTTATGAAAAATTCTGAGTACTAATATTATAACTCATTATTACTGATTTTTCAAAAGTACCTAAAGTATATTATGTCAAAAATCAACCGTTATGAATTGAATTAATAAATAAATTCATACTGATTTAGGACATTCGAAAATCGGCTTAGTTAGTGTCAACTGCAATCAACAGCGATTGTTAAAAATCAACTATCCTCATTTATTTTTCAAAAATTTAATTTGTTAATAATGAATAACACTGAATACTTATACATACCATCGTAGTCTTCTTCGATATATAATTTTTTTATGTCTCGGTAAATTATTTTGTTTTGTTGACACATATACTACACAAACTCCGAACATTGACAATGTCGTGGTGATTCAATGAATCCCTGTGGGATCTGACAAATAGCGTATATTATGCGATTAAAAAACAATGCAATCGTCAAATCCTACAAATGCGCGCTGTATAATATTATTGTTATCGCCTTATGTGAGGTCCTAGTACCTACTTGGATACGGTAAACCGCGGTAAACGCATGCTGTGATTAAATTAATTAATTTCGTGCCAAAACCCCTGAACGTATTACATATTATTATTGTCGGCCGAGCTCTGTTATTAAGTATAATTTCAAAAAGGTTTTAACAGTGCTCATGCCAGTTTTATCCGGCCGCTACATAATATTTCAGGTGGACGAACAAAAAGTCCGTATTATCATGCGACTTTAAAATTTATATTTCACACTTGCATAAAATACCATGGAAAATCAGCGAAAACGTAAAAAAAAAAAAAAAAAAAATTAGGAAAGTAGGATTCGTATTATAGAACCATCGAATTTATATTTTTACGCAACAATAAATTATAACAATGGAAAAACGATTCTGAATGAAGTTGGGTTAATGGTGTTTTGATAACTATTAAATGAAATTTCTTTATCTTATATATAAAATTCTCGTGTCACGTGTTTGTGGCCGCACTCATCCGAAATGGCATGACCGCTATTAATGAAATCGCTGTTCTATATTTTATAGGTATGAGAATAGGTCGTTAAGTATTTTTCACCCTCCTAACCCCATCCACCATTTTTTGATCATGATTTTAGAATTTTAATTAGGGTTCAGGTATTATTAAATCATTTATTTTTATGGATTGCCTTAGTAACTCGGATGAAATGAAAACAAAATTTAAAAGTTTGGTCAAAACGTATCTATGGTAATTAATATAAACAAAAAAGGTCTATGTGCCATATTATTTTATGCAATCAAATCTAATGTTATAAACCGTTCTCACGTAATTTCATCAGTAAGACAGTAAGTACGAATATTGTATCTATTTGTATGTGTGTGTGTGTTACAATGAACAATACCGGCAAGATGCAAGGGAGCCCATTTGGGCAAAACAACCCTCTATTTTTTTTAATAGTTATTTTAGTATTTTCGTTTATATATATATCAAATAATTTAGCTCAAAGAAAAAGTAATAAAAAATGGCACGGGCAACGCTGAGCAGGAAAGCTGAATATATATAATTTTTAAATACGTTTTTAAATACAATCTATTCGTGGTTCCATATACATAATCATATGTATATAATATTGAGAATTATTTCAAAAGAAAAAGAATCGAAACAATTACTCTCGTTGCAGAATAATGTGTGGACCGTATTTTATACGAGGGTAAAAAATATTCACCTAGTTGTCTCTTCTATTGAAGCTGAGACGAAAGTTTGATTTTTTTAAAGACCATCCAATTTTTTAATCGTTTTTTTCTACAGACTAACCGAGACGAACAATTCCACCATAGACTACATAACACGCATTCATTATGAACGTCTGTCGGATTTTACGACCGAGGCGGCGTGTTCTTCGTTTGGGTAGGTATATTAATGTATTTTATCATTAAATAGGTCGTAATAATATACACAAAAGGCTATAATATTATAGCGTAACTGCTTTCCTTCGGACTTTTTTAGATTCTGCAGAGCATAGCGAGGTATACAATAATTTACAACGATGTGTAAAATATGAATTTTCTGTCTGTAAACCACTTTTATATTTTAATTATTATTTCAGATAACTAAGCAAAGACGTAGGAAAACAACAGTTTTTATAAATAGGTACTTCAATAAAATTCTAACAATTTTTTTTTTAGAAGTGATAAATTTTTAAAAATATTCTAACGATTTTGTAAGTTATTTATAGGCATTTTCAATTCTTGAGTATTTCGTTATTTTTATGTAAATAAAACTGTTTTGGCAATGCGAAAATGCTTATACATTAAAAACGAGTTTTTAAATGTGATTATTTTTTAAATTTATTCCAGTTTTGAAGGTAAAGGGGAAATTGAATTTACATTCGTACGCAACCGATAACTATTGCTAACAAAAAACGATTCTGCTCGGAGTTTAGTTAATAATGTTGACAATATAAAAATCACATTATGGTAAAATAACTACATATGCATTATACAGGTTGTCCCACGAAGATATACCCTTTGAATATCTCCAGAGATAATAAAAATAATCTAATTCTGGTTTTTTTTTTTTTATATTACTCATAGGGATGACAACTACAATTATTTATATTAAATAACTACTTATAAAATAACTTTATTTTATTATTTTCAGAAAATTTTAAGATAGCCATTCGTAGGAATAATTTTTTTGAAAAAATGTATGTATCACACATTTATATCCGATGAATAGTTTCTAAGTAACAGCTGTTTTAAATTCTACTAATCCGTGTGAAAACTGATGTTACCGTGTAACATCGTTATATAGAATTAAGTTTTATAATTTATTTATAATAATGCTTATACATAATCTTGTTTTTCGTTTGTTTTACATAAATCAATATTGTAAGTCCCCGTTGCAACTGAAAAGATGAAATATAAAATATCGTACAGTATGTATTTGTAAAATATAATTATTTCCTATTAATTGCATAGGAAATGAACAAATCCTGCAGATACACTTAGTATACATAAAACCACTTTTAAATCGTAATGATGCATGTTGTGATAATAATATAATAATAATACTATTATCAAACGAAAACGACAACGATTGTTGAAATTTTACAATCATTGAAAATATTATACCATTAAGCTGCCGTCTTCTTCGAGTGGGATACAACCAATCTACATAAACGCTTGAAACCTTTGTGCAATATCTAGGTAGTATATTAATTGTAACGATTATACCTAACCTTACTATAGAATATTATTAATTCACGATGTATTTGGAATATTATAAATTAAAAACATATAATATTAATTAATTTATATTATATTTGTATTATTATAACACAGAGGTTGATAGAATTGGAGGGAGAGGGGAGATGAAGCCATACTTAGCATGTTGTTTCTAATACTAAATTATATAAAGGAAAATTTATATTCAAAATATAATTTTAATTTATATGAAAAGTAAATATAGTGTATAGCCCTCTCTATCTTATTCCTAGATCCATCCTTGTTATTACAGAAGTAAGGGCATTTCTCTTGAAAAGTAGAGCTCCATCACTAGTCAAAATTTTCCCCAGCTTACTTGCTGTAGTTATAATATTTAATTTTTTTTATATATATATATAATTAATTTGAAATAGTTGTGGTTAAACAAAATTGTATTACATTGAGGTTGTGGGTGTATTTAAAACACAGTATTTCTCGTGAAACCATGAAATTTGAGAATAAAAATAGTTGGAGACATAGTTCAAAGCTGAAACCCCCAAAAATCACATCTTTGATACACAGTCTTTAACACACAAAATTTCTCGAGTTTGAACCCTTTTGGTATAGAGGGAACCTCTTTAAAGTGCCCACGAAATATATTTATAACAGAAACAATACTGTGCAATAGTTACTGTTATCGAGAAATGTCGATACAAATCATATTGCATTATTAATAATAAATTGTGTAAATTAATTAGGTAATAAATCATATAATAATAATATATTAATTATGGCAAAATCACATGCAGGGTACGTATACTATAATGTATATATTTTATGGAATATCACTCGTATCTGCCTAAAGCGTATTTCTCTTAGAGAGGAGACTAGACAAGTAATGAATGTTGAAATGGGAAACATTGAGTTCAGGGTAATTACATATTATGGAAATGTATAATTTCTATTACTATGAGCATAAATTTGTAGTATGTGGGTAGGGGGAGGAATATGAAATATTATAATGAAAACGCCAGAAGATACCTGATTAATTACCTCCAATAAAATAATAATTATGTTCAAAAGTTAAATTGTAATATGAATGTCCTGTGAAAATTGTTGCAGTAGATTATTATGTTTCATTTGAAGTTTGTATTTCGTTGTTTTTGTTCTAAAGGCGTAATAGGTAAGTATATATATTTAAGTATACATTTTATAATATTAATAAATCACCACGGGATGGTTCATTTGTTCGTTGTCATTTCGAAGACACTCCTATATTAGATATCATTGTTTTATATATTATTGTTGAAATCGTATTCAGTATTTAGACAAAGATAATTTCCATTAATTATGATAGTCTAATTATACCTGTAGTAAAGCTTATAATGATGAGTATATCTACTGCAGTTTATTATACATTTATAACGATAGGTAGGTTTGTTCGACCAAATTTTCGTACATCATACATGCGAGACATGGCCAATAAACAAAAAAGACGAAGTAAAAATGACAGTGGGGAATATATTGACCAAAAACGACGGTAATATACAGAAATATGGAATAAGGAAAGGAGTAATACGGAACTACGACAGATATATAATAGGACTCACCGGATATAGGTGCAGTACTGAGATGCAGACAAATTGCATGGGCTGGTCATGTATATGGCACGTAAATGGAAATCAGATGGCATAGAATCAGAAGACATAACTTATGAGTTCTAAAATGGAAATTCAATGATTCAGACCACGAGTGAAACGAAAGTGAATATATAGTCAGAAAAAATTAAATGGACATCGGAATATATGACTCGATCCTGGATTAGCTAGAGATGAGGTTAGATGGAAGCAGGAATTACTGTTTCGTTAATAAAACTCGCTAGCCTTTGAACATCGATGAAGAAAACCGTATAAACTGAATAAAAACTCTAAGGTACCCAGGGACGTACTCACGGGGGAAACGATTCATGGGAGTCGACTCTCCCTTGACTTAGTTGAAGATTTTATTCACGCATCTTTATAATATATTAAATATATGTAATACCGAAACGTTTTCCTAAAATAATGAAAAGAGAAAGAACTTTCAAGTACGTTATAAATTCATAATATTCTATAATAGCTAATAGCTCTTATATAATTCCAAAGATATCGTCAATTTCCTTATCTGTAGTTTTATTTCTCTTTGGTATTTAACGTCTATAATATGACTCGACACGATCGAAACACACACCTTTACTATTTAAACTACACTTACTAATAAGCGTGGCTATCGTCTGTGTACATAATTTTATGAATCATTATTTGTTTACCATTTTTTTGTATTGAAATTGGAGTTTTCACGTTTAATTTTAAATTATTAAAGTATGGACAAAAAAAAAGCGTTTTTTACGTATATTAATAAAAAAGAAAAACTAAAAACATCAAATGAGAACGAAGTAAGTTTTTTACATTTATATTTTATCAGATTAATTAGTTAATTTTAATTGTTTTTACAGTTTACATTCAAAATATATTTCTCGCTTCACTCAGAATCTAAAATTGTTTAAATTATTTAAAAGGTAGTAATTATTAAACAAAACTATTTTATAATTGATTATTTTGCACTTTTACAGGTCAGTGTAATATCTACTGTTAATGTATGTATTATAATATATTAGCAATATAATATATTAATCTGTTAACTAATTCAATTATTGTATCTATATTTACAAAAAAGCAGTGGGACTTCTTTAATTTTAATTCAGATACTGTACTAAAGTCTCCTTGAATTTTTGAGTACATATATACGAGTATAGTGCGTATAACAACAGGTGTGCTTACATACGGTAGTTATCTATACATATTTACACAGTGTTTGATATCCGATGTTCCCATGGTATGCGATCACGTGATATTATAAATAAAATGCGGACGTATAGTATTATGTATATTACAATACAGGCCATCGCTTGGAGATATTACCTTTTTAATACCTTCGGAGATAATAAAGATAATTGAATTCTGTTTTTTTCTTATATCACTCATAGAAACGAGGACTACAAATATTTTTAATTTTATTAAATTTTTTTTTTACAGTAAAAAAAATTAAAAAAAAACTTTATTTTATTATCTTCGGAATATTTTAATGCGGCCGTTCTGAACACTTTAAAGACTCATACATTTTTATCCGATTAATAGTTTCTAAGTAACAGCCGTTTTTAATTCCACTAATCCGTGTGAAAACCAATCTTATTGCGTAACATCATTAGGTTATTCCCTAGATGGGTAATTATTATTCCAGGAATAATCCAGTTATTCTTTTTGCAACCGCATTAAATACACTGTGAGTGAGTGATGTCCTATTTACCGTTTTCACGCAAAGATAAATCGAAAGATTCCAATAAAAATCCTGTGTTTGCTGTATATGCTTCAAATGTATATTTATTATTATTATTATTATTATTTATTATTTATACGTGTTCAAATAATAAAAGGCTTTGTATGCCCATCTCTCTGCTCTCGTCAATGAAAAGGTGTTTCTTTTTTCATGTGTTCAAATGAAGTTTGAAAAAACACCTTCGCACCGGTTAGCGGAAAATCTATCATTTTTACTATAACTAGAGCAGTCCTTTTGATACAAAATTATATTAAATTATTATTCTTATGAGATATATGACCATACGAGAAAAAAATCACGTGATAAGCTGACATTATTAAAAGTATTTTCTCTATGTAACCACCATCAAAAATTCCTTTTTTTTTGTGATTTACGGTAGTACTTAAAAAAAAAAACAAAACAAAAAACCCAATTTAAAAACTGAAAAACACAAAAGTTTGTGTGTGATAGAAACCTGTAAAGTGCCGACCATCAAGAAATTAGCTGGTTAATAATATCTATAATAATCATAGGACTATTAACTATGCACAGCGCGTATAGAGAGAAGCCAGGGAAAGATATTATTGAGTGTGACGAAAAAAAAAAAAACCAAAGAAATAAAATTCAGTGAGTTTACCGGCAAATAAAACATGTTACAATTCATTTATTGAAATAGTGACTTGTGATTACTTATAATGACTTATGGTTTTTACCGTCAATGTATTAGATTAATACAAAACAAAATAAACATGCCATAGAATAGTAATTAATTTTAATTTATAGTAAAAATTTAAAAACTTTTACTTGTGAATCTATAATTAATTTTGATTACTAGCAATGTCGATAACATAGTTATATATTTAAAATATTTTGTTTATGGTTGATACCGGAAATGGAAAGAAAAAAAGTGTAGTATTTCTTTCCATGAAAGTAGAATGTAAATCGCTGTCCATAATATATAGTTCTACGATGATAATAATGAAATAAGATAATTTTCTGTTGAACTGTAAACATTTCTGGTTGTCGGACTCATGCGTGCGATTTCTAGAGTACTATAATAATATATTTTTATACCTACTAAAAATAATAAAATATTAACGTACATGCGCCGAACTAGTGTGGTGTTAAGAAAAAAAAAAAAAAATCTAATTTTCAAGCTTTTGAATATTTAACAAGCACTCGGTTATAGTTTAACACATACGCCGTCGCTGTGCAATGGGAACGGCGTTTTTCCATTTGAATATTTTAAGCTGAATTCGCTGTATGGTTACATCAATGAAAATAAAATATAAAAAAAACCGTTCGCAGTATCACTCCATGGTTTTGCCACATAAGATGCACAATTAATCCGTGAAAATCAATTCTGAACGATGTTCGATCATTCATGTTTTTAATCTGGTTAAATTCCAGCCTGTTTTTATAGGAGAGGGCAGTGTTTACAAGACTTTTAAAACCCTCAAAGATTTCGCGAATAAAAAATCTAAAGAGATTCAATTTTGTTTATGCATGGCTTTAGAAACACGAATACGACTTTTGGAATTTAGACCCTCACCCATTTGTATGCTCAAATTTCCCCAATTTTTTTTTGTTATGTAATATATAATGTATATATAATATAATGTATTCGATGTTTTCTTGTTTTAAAAATAGTGTTCACTGGTGTTTTATTTCTTGTCAACTTGTGTTATAATATAAAATATATTATAATGCATTTAATACATTTAATATGAACCGATATTTTATCGGAAGGTTTTTCTTTAAAGTTATATTATACAATATCACACATAAATTGGTGCGCAATTTCAAATAACACTTATCGTAAAATCGAAATTGAAAAAAGATTATAAAACGGTGGTGGACGTTTTAAAATAAAAAGCCAATTAAAAACCAAAAGTTATTCTTAAGGAATAAATACTAAAAAAAAAAAAAATACACAAACTCACTCAATGAATGTCGCGTGCGGGTATTCAGTATTTTCGAAAATTCAACTTGACAACTACTATACGGCTAACGCCACGTCGCCGTTTTCCCTTAAGTCATTTGAAAATTACAACTGTCATTATATAATAATATTTATGACACGGGGGTGTCAGTTTACGTATAGAATTCTATTAAATTATTACTTTGGCTTAAACACTTCCCCCGTCACCCTCTTACGCGTCTTGGACGCATAAAATATCTTGGCATAAATATCTATATCTTTAATATTATTTTCTACAGGTTTTTAATTTTTTTTTTTTTTTCAAGTTGAATTACGAATTCAAAAATCCGTTTCACTAAATAAACGGCTTTATGACGGTACAATTATAATATATCATTGCTATTAATATATATTTATCGACATTAAAAAAAAAATCAGAAATAATTTTTCATTTACGTGTTAGTACTAGTAGGTTACAGTTGTTGGTGAGGAAGTTGAAAGATACATGGTCAGTTAAAACGTGAAAACAAATTTTGAGAAAACCTATTTAAACCGATAACTTTATAATTGTAATCCTATAATTACTCATTGGTAACCGGAAGACGATTTATAGAAATCAACAAGACAAAATATTAAAATATATTTTTATTATCAGTTTTTTTTATCAATTTTTTAGGAATACAGAAATTGTTTCCAAGTGCATTTTTAGCCGAAAAAAAAACGAATCTTATACGGTGTGTGGTATGGAAAAATAGTTGCATTTTTTTCATCATTTATTTACATTCATAATATTAGGAATTATTTATGTTTTATATTGGCTTACACATTTATTATAACTCATTGAGTAGTTTTTTTTTCTTTTACTATCTATACAGAAAATAATTTTTACACAGTATTTTTAGAATTTCCAATACGAAAATCTCATTTGTATTGTTGATTTAGAGGTAAAACAATGGAACAAAACATAGAAATTATTATTATAAGTTAATTTGGTTGTCACAAACAAGAAATTATTCGGTAACAAGTGTTAACTTTTACAAGGATGTGGATGGACATGGGGAGAAATATGTTTTTTTCTCGTTCAATACTGTGCAAAGGCGAAGTCGCACAAGACTGCTAAAGTGATATTATTATAATCAAGTCGTACTAAAACAGAAATAAGTAGGGCTTATTATGGAGAATTTTATGAAAAAATTAAAAATATACCCTTAAATATACTATTAATAATAATCAATAAAAAGAAAACGTATTTATAATGATAACATTCGAAATGTATAGCGAATAAATTGAGAAACTACGCAGTTTTCTTTATAAGCACCCAAACATTATAATCATCGAAAATATGTTCAACTATTGAAATAGTTGATATATTCGTAGTGTATTTTTTTTTTAATCAAACATGTACAAAAATTCTACCAGAAATCTTCCTCCGATAAGTATGCACAACAATATTATTGAATGGGAATATTGTCCAAATGGTATATTTGGGAAGTCATTTTTTGATTTTCAAAGCGTTTTTCATAATATCTGAGAAAAACCAGAATGAAACGTAAGAAAACAGGAAATTTACGTAAATAATGTTTTTATTTTTATTTCAATTTTGTTATTTATTGTAAGTCAGTTAAAAATATATATTAGAAAAAAACTTGAAATTTGGCAGAAAATTTATACTTGTCTTTTTTAGACATAATATAATTTTCAAAACATTTAAGCCATTTCTAGGCTTTTTATAATAATTTTAATATTTTTGTTCAAATTCAGTTAAAATTCGTATTGATTTAACGGACTTACAAAGAACTTATATTGAGCTTTTCTAGACGTGGTAAAATTTTCAAAAAATTTGAGCTATTTTTAAAATATTTATAGACATTTTAATTTTATGACTTTTATACAAAACTTTTTTTCGATAGAAACAGTGTAATAAATAATAAAATTGTTAGAATTAACAGAAATGCATACGATTTGAGTTTAATGTAGTATTTCTTTTTATAAAGGAATTTTCGTATCAAATTTTAAGGAAAATCGACTGAGTAAAAAATTAGGTGGAACAAATGTAAGTTTAAATCTTTTGTTTTGAACATAATTTGTATATTGCTGATTTAAGAACCATGGTGAAGTCTGAATTAAGCGTACTAAGTTTCAAAATTATAGCATTTTGAAGTTCTGATATTATGTGTATATTATATGTTATGTTTAATACCTAATTCTATATTGTCTTTCTTAAAGCATATGGTTCATTATTTAATGGATATACATGGCTATTATTATCCTAGGGATCATTCGGATTTCGAATAACATTTTAAAAATGTTTTTTTTTTTTCTTTTTTACCTAAATATGGAAAAAACCCGTGCATTTTAGGTGTACCTAGAGAACTAAGGCATCGTTCGCTTGATCTATTTAATTGCAAAATAACTTTTGATTTGTTGTGTAAACATTTTGACTAGAAAACTGGTCCAATGGATCAAGTGTACCTCATTTTCTAAAAGGAAATTTTATCTTCATGGCAATTTTTCAAATTTTTTCATTATATTTGGGAATAACCAGGATAAATTGTCAGAAAAACGGAATACTTGAAATTCAAGTATAGCAAATTTTTTAAAAAGAAATCCTACTGGGGTGGTATTTTGGTGAGGGTCTTTCCTTGATTATCCCAGAAGCTTTTCTAATTAATGGGAAAACCGGAAAAAGATAAGAAAAATAGGAAAATGCAAGAATTGTATTATTTTAAATTTAAAATACTAAGGATTTTCAAAACATGCATAACTGAACTCGGCTCAGAATCATTTTTCGTTAATAATAATTAATTTGCGTATAGATGTACATTAAATTTCCCCCCTAATTTCTTAACGTCGCACCTACAACAGTGTTCACCTGACTTTTTTTTTTTAATACAACATTGAGTCATATATATATTTTACATATAGGATACTTTCTACTTTCTATAATATAAATTCTAGTTTAATAAGAATGGTACCAACATTTTTTAAAAAATGCAATCATTGTATGTACCAATTTTTATAATTTTGATATAAAAACTTAAAAAACGTGACTGAAAGGGTTAAATCGCAATGCACGATGTCGAATAAAAATCAGAAGTTATGAATAAGAAGGAGCAAAAAAAAGATTATCTTAACGTGAAATATTTCATAGGAAATGAATGGAGGTAGTATAAAAAAAGGTCTTTTAGTTGAAAAGATGTCAGTCCTAAATCCATTCTTCGTAAAATTCACGTTTTATCACATATTCTATACATAATAATATAATCCACTTTTATGTCCCTCGTATACCAGATGAAATGGCTTTGCCTAAATTATAATTTTCAAATTTATTTTTTTTTCTTTACTTTACGATATTTTGTCCTGTAGGTAATCATTATCAGTGATACCAACGAATAATACGTACTAGGTTTTATGAAAATCCCACTGAAATTCGAAATGCGCTTTAGTATGATGGATTTGGGTATTTAGCTAGTATATATATCATTATTGTAAAACTATACTTTTATATTGTATTTTAATATGCATATTGCACATACAAATACAGTTCCTATTCAAATAAATATTTTAAAAATAGTGTATTTCCACAGTATATCTACAGTGCGTATAGAACTGCCTATATAATATAACTTGCATTTAAATGTAAAATAAAGTACTTCTTTTTTCTTTAGATTCTAAGTGCAGGGAATAATATATTGATTTTACTATGAGGTATTTTATTTTTTGTATCAATTAACAACTTTTCTACCAGAAATCTTTTTTCGGTGTTTAAATAACATTATTTGTGAGACAGCGCGGCGCGCGGCGTTCTAATAATGCACCACTACTCTTTCCCAATCTAAATTTAAAAGTGGAATATTGCGTCAATGGATTGACGGACATCCTAATTTTAGCAGCAAAATTGATTTTAAGTAAAATACTTCAATCCTCCCCCCACTATTTTTCTTCTTAAGATTTACAGCCCATTCAGGACCTCCGCTGCGTTCAATACTTCCAGCCATCTCTCCCTATCCTCGATGGCTTCTTTAACTCTATTCCTCGTACACAATTTTTCAGATCTATTTTCATTGAGTCAATCTCCCTTTGCCTATAACAATCTCTGGGTCTTTTCTCGTTGTTTTTTCTACTTTTACTTGCTTATAGATACCATTGTTTCTCCGAACGTGCCCAGCCAACACTGTCGGTTTGCTTATGACAAATGCTTTTACGTTTGATATTTGAAAAAGTTTGTAGATTTTCTCGTCTGCTTTTGACTCACTAATCTCCTTCCTATAAATACATTACCAAAGGAAATGATATAGAGACCGTCGGTTTCTCTCACACTATCATATTTTCTCGATTTTCCATATGCCTTTAAAAACATAATAGTACCTATGTATACTCTTTTGGATTATATACATTTTATGAGTTTTCTCGTTGCTTAATATTATGTGTACCACTATTTCGGATTTTTCCGCTTCCCGTGTATCTATGTACAAAACGGCGGATTTTATTCATTTTAAACGCACTACTAACCATCTGTAGGTTCATCCACAGAAATTCAGTAAGAAATTATCAAGATGACAACTCCACATTTGAATATAGCTTTGAAAGAAATCCGTTTGAAGTTCAAAACGAATATATTTAAAAGGAGGTTTTATTTACTTAAAAACTTAAATACTTTAATACTGTTATATGAACGTGAGATGCGTAACATTTGCATATTTTATTATAAATTGTATACAGTTTATATTCTTTGAAAGTATTTAGACTCGTGAACGTTTACAATATAAATGAATCGATAGAAAACCGACACGTATTATTTATACTTAACTATACAAATAATGTTGTTTCGATAACAACACAATAAACGCAAATCGGTTTGACAAAAACAAAAATTTTAAAAAAGCATCACACACCAAAGTAAGATAGTCAGTACTTCATCAGAAATTGGTCGTTGGTCGTTTAGTAATTAAAAACCTGTATTGTAAATTAAAATTGTTATTGAAATGGCGATTAGCTAATATCATACATTTCAAAATGATGACACATAATTTTTCGGTGGAAAAATGCATAATTTTACACAATAATGTGATAGCATATGTATATGTATGCAATTTGTTTGTATACCTCCTAAATATAGTTGTGACAATATCCCCCGATATATCGACTTACGAGGATTTTTAGAAACAACTAACTTATAGACAATGGTACTAATACAGCTACGGTAAAAACACGATCGTGTAAAACAGGAAGGCTACGGCATTTATAATATTGTATGTAATAATATGGGACAAGTACATTTCGTGATTTAAACGAAATACTCTAGCTACTCGTTTTACTTCGTAAATAATAATCCGACACGTTCCCAAATACTCTACTATCAATGCTGATGTTGTTAATGCCACTACAAATGCCACTGTAATATCATTATTGTTATTGCCGACCTAAATCAAATACCCGTAAACACAAATGTTATATGACATTATTACTGCGATTTCGTAAACTCGTTGTGATGTGAATTTTAGATTCCAAGTGTTTCAGCTTAACTAAGGGGCGGTGTTTTTTCTCAAAAACACTTTTTCGGTTAGTAAAATAGCTCCATGTTTTCACGGCACATCTGAAAAACACTGATTTTTTATGTATATTGTTTTACTTGAAACAATTTTTTGAAATTATATTCAGTCCCACTTCTAATAGTTCCTATTTTCGGGTTACTTTTCCGGAAAACACTTTTTCGATTATTAAAAAATTCTCAAAATTAGTTTACTAAAAATATTTTTTAAATATTATTTTTATTTCCTTTTTGTAGTGATATTTTGTTTTATAAATTCAATACAACATATTAAATATTTTACAGAAACCTAATAATAATTTTCATCTAAAATATCATATATACATACATAAAGTGTTAAAATGTTATTTTTTAAGCATGCTCGTCCCACTTGTATCGTTAAATAATGCATAAATTCATTTTTTAGATATTTGAGTTTAGTTTAAGATGAAATTTACACATACTTGGATATTTCATAACATTTAAGGAGTACCCTGTAACGATAAAACTGTTGGTTTTTAAATGAAAACCTGCATGTTTTAATTCAAACTGTCAATCAAATGATGTTTTTTTTAAATATAATATTGGAGTGTTGCAACCGATATTTGAACAAAAATTTCAGAGTTAGTCTGCTATAATTACTGAGGATAATATTTTTTAATAGGATTTAAATATCGACTTTTCCATAGAAGTCGTGAAAATGCCATTTCTTGTTTTTAATTGTAAAGTTATCGAAAATCAAATTTTATGCTATTATTATACAGTCCTCAGTATTCAAAGTAGAATACTTTAGAAATTACTTGTTCAAATTTCGATTACAATATGTTCACATTTTGAAAAAATCATTTGTTTAACAATTTGCATTAATACATAAAAAACGTATGGGTTATCATTTAAAAAGCCAAGGTGGTATTATTGCAGGATATTCCTTGAATGTTGTGTAAAACCATGTACAAATTCAAAAATGCCTTCTTTCTCTATACATACAAATTCTAAAAATCAAAGTTTTAATTTTTAACTAATTTAATTATGTAAATATTGAATGATTATGTTTAAAAAATCACTCTGTATGTTAATAGATTTATTTTCGATGAAATTTATTATTATTCAATAACGAGAATTCACGGGTACGCCTGCCTATTGATAAATTATTTTATTTTTCTCCTCGTCTTGCCATTTTAAATTGCATTCTTGTCTAAGATTTAATTACATTTAAACTTTTTCTTTGCGAACTTTTTTCATAGAAAATGTAAACTTCCTCTCGACGCGTGCCACACTTCGTGCTCCATAATTGTTAATAATTATTTTACTAACTATTATTCCGTATTATACAAAGTACTTTGAATTTATACATATATATATTTTTTTTTAGTTTTCAAACTTAGTATTTTTACATCCTATACCTATACTACAACGCATATTAATTTACGTTACCTAATTATTATTATTTATGTATATTGTATACGTTGAAAACGGCTCAAAAGTCTTCGGCTACCAACTTATACAATTTTAAAATTCAAAATAATGTGGAATACATTATTATACCTACATGTAGGTGTTTCAATTTTTAACTGGAAAATATTTTAGTTTATTATTTTATTTCCTTTGAAAATGTAAATTATTGCACTGTATTGTGTCTGTTATATAGAATGTCCCACGAATATATTGACAATTGAAATGTCTCCTAAGAGTATTTTTACCTATTATTATGTAGCAGATTGTAATCGCATTCGCTTAATTGATTATTACTATTATGGCTAATTGACTGTACACTTTTTTCTCTAAACTTTAAAATTTTTTTAAAAATTACGAATTTAATCAAAATAAAAAGTAAAAACTTCAAGATTTCCAGAAGGGGAATCTCTATAAAACAGCAATATTTAAGTTTTTAAAAATAATAAACTAAAAGTTATTTCTTTTAACAAAACACAAACAATCAATTCAAATATAATTACGTATAGTCTTTATCCATGCTAAAAATTATTTAATATACCAAATGTAAAAAAATATGTTACATAATAAAAGGCTTGAATTAGCTGGACACATGTGGCTAGATGACGGATAAATTATAAACAGATTCGCGATAAGAAAATAATCCGGAGAACGGCCACATAGAATGTCCCAACAACTTTAATTAGACTGGGAGAAATAAGTCACAAGATCGTTTAATGAACCTAAAAGATTGGTAGACGAATATAATATACTGGTCATTTAAAATTTCATGGGAATTGTAAACATTGTACAACACAATAATATAATTTATGTGATAATCCCACTGAAATGATAAGGTTAGATTATGTAAACCCGCCTATTCCAATTTGGTTTAAAAGACATGGTTAAGTAGTTATTCATTTATTATTATTATTATTCCCGAGTTTGAACAATAGCAAATTAAATCATTGTTTTCTGGACGACCTCGTTAAGAAATGTAGTTTTATACAAATAAAATAACGTGATGTCCTGTTTCAATATTCTGTAAACGTTTTTATTTTTTTATTATGACTCATTTATCTTAAATCAAAAATTAAATTTTAAATCTATCTAGAATAGAATGCGAAAATAATATCAATCAAACAACAATAATAGAACAAGTTGGAATGATATGATACATACAAATAAATGTATATACATTACAGTTATAATTATAATAAAGTAAATTGTATATCTGTACACAAAGATAAACTATTTCTAACGAAAAACGATTCTGAACGGAATTCAGTTATACATGTTTTGAAATGCCTTAATTTTTACGATTTTTTTCAAATCTGAAACGCTTAAATGTGTATAAAATAAAAATCTACTAAATCAGAAAAATCACATTATTTTTTAATATGCTTACATTTAACACGAGATTCAATGGGTTCTGATTCTGGTTCTGGCTAACAAAATTACGTTAATATGTAAACAATTGCTATACAATATAAAAGAATCTTTATCTTGGGAAGTATGTAGTGGCGTCTATATTTAAGCTTGTAGATTATTCAACCTACATAACCAATTAAAGGTTAAAAATTAATTGAATATTCGTTCAGAATACTGGCTAACTTGCCAACTACCGAGATAATTTCGGTTGGTTGAACTAAATTATTTACTTGTTATTAATTGAATTTAGAATATCAATTTGATATATTTTGTATAATTATGGTCCTTGGAAATCATAAATCTCGATGGGCCGATATATTTCATAGAGCTGTTTAAATATCTTTTCAATAATTTGTTAGAACATCGTACCTTCTGAAACCAATAGAAAAGAAATATTCATTACAATACTGAAAATAAGTATTTGGATTTTTCAGAAATGAACAATACAATATAGGTGATATTAAGGCTTTACAAATACTTCACGTATTAAATATTACCTATAATACCGGTGTAGGTACCTATTATATAGATACGTTCACCGGAAAATCTGTTTATTTCGCGTTATTTAATTTTTCGTTTTCCCGCACAGCTACGATTTTATAACAACGTCAAACAGCCATGTATACTTCTTTTTACGCGATTACATAACGTACATGATTTCGCGTAATCCTTTTGTTTTGCAGAGAAAAAAAAAGGTAAGAGAAGAAAAATCAATTTGTTTTTTTCATAGCCTTCGTCTTTTCGCTTTTTTTTTACGGCCTATATACTAGTAGAATTGCGGCTACAGTATTATTATCGTTTGTTTCCATCGGTTTCGACGCGAAAACGTGAATCCAATAACCTAACGGGCCCCAAGGACTTCCTGCCCTCCAATCCCTTGAAGTTGTGTGTACTCGGTACTTTAATTAAACGTTCTGTCGGCAGCCTTATAAATCGCGACTCTGTGAAGATTAGACGTACAACACGCTACGTAGTCTACACTGCGGCAAATCGCTGTGAACCGTTTCAGTATATTATTAACTCACGAAAAATAACATGTTGAACTCGGAGTATGTCTTTAAAAAACGAAAACAAGGTTTTTCCAATCTGTTAATTTGTTTAAAAGTATTCGGTGGGTTTTAGGTTGTTTGGGCATTATCGTTTCGAGTTAATCGAGTTTTAAGACTAGATATACTGTGCACTAATCACTGGATTTCACTAAATAAAATTAAATGGCTAATAATATTGATGCATGTGTTGATGCATTAAAAAGCAAGTTAAAAAGGGGCTATATAGATAATTTTATTTATATCTGCACTAAAAGATAAACCATTGCTAATAAAAACAATTTTGAGCGAATTGTTATTAGTAATTTTCAAAGGGATTTCAAAATAATTGAAAAAAAAGGAAAAATAATTATTGGGAAAACAGTAAATATTTACAGTGAGCCACGGCGTAACTGATTTTATTATTTTTAATTGTACAATGTATATTTTCTACCAGAAATATTATTGCTTTAATCGAAAACCCCTAGAAATCATTTTTGTTGTATTTGTAACTTGTTGCTGAGAGAAGAAGTAATTTTTTTTTTAATTTGTTAAGAAATGTTCATTATAATAGGAAAAACTGGCAAAATACCTATAATGAAAATGAACAAGTTTACAATGTTCGTTTTTATTGTTTTAAATTTTTATGTTTTATAAAGGAAATATTACTCCAATAGAAAAATGGTAGGAAGCTTTTATGTTGGTTTTTTGATCTAGTTGTGTAAGAACGGTGTTTTTACTGTAGTGTAATATGTAACAAAACTAATAAAATTTTAGAAAGAACGGGAATATTTACGAAAATAACGATTTTATTTTCATTTTTATTTTTTGTTTTAATTCAGTAAAAATATATTCGTAGACTTAAAAGTTTAACAAAAAAATGTTCAGAACATTTTTATGATTTTTGAGCTTTAGGTATTTTATATTTGCTAGATTTAAATGTGTTTTTTATTAGATAGGTACTATGTGGACATAACTGTTTAACCAAACGAAAATACTTGAAAATTTAACATGAGGATCTCATTATTATTTGTGCTTAGTAGTAAAAAAAAAATTTTTCAGTCAAAGTTAAGTACAAAGAAAAAAAATCATAATGCATACTTTAAGTATTCCAAAAACATTAAAATATAATATAAACAATAAATTATAAAATAGATAAGAGTATGCACAACAGTATATATTATAATACAAAGACAAGTTTCAAAGCCAAAGAGCCACAGATTAAAGGTTAAAGTTATAGAGAGTTGTTGTTTACGTAGAATTTCATGGATAAGACGATTACCATCACTTCATAATGGCAAGGTCGAACAATATAGGTGGCTTTTAGTGAAGGAAGGATTTTAAGATCGGTTAGATATTACCTATAATGGCATTGTAATATGTGATTGGATGATTAAATTTTTATCGAATGAGTTGAAAACGTAAAAATATTATATAAGCTAATTATATTTATAACAGTATAGTATGTATAATATTGCAAGGTACAGCAAGAAGTGAATGAGCCGATTGGGAAAGCCATAATAATAAATAATAACTGAACCGTAAATATAATAAAAATAGATGATTGTCCATTTTTAATAAGTCTACTTTATGCAATTTTTAAATAAACTATATTCAGTAGTAATATCACCAAACGGTGGTTAATCATTTTCTAATGTAAAGCAAGAAAAATTAAAAATATAAATCGATGATCATAATTTGTCTATGTATAGAAAAGTTTTGTTTACAATTATAATAGTAATAAATATATTTATAAAGAATTGGTGGGAAAATAGAAAAATAATATTTTTTTTTTATAATATAATTATTTCACTAGTTTAATCGATTAAGAAAAAAGAAATCGTCGTTTATTTTTTTATTATCTATTAGGAATGGAAATATGAATACAAAATTATTTTTTTAAATAATTTCAACCCATCTCATTTATGGTTCATATGTAGTTTTATTCGTATGGCAAAATTTGATGAAATTAACCACTTTAGAAGAATCATCCAGAACATCTTTCATATTGGTAGAATTCTTTCGTTTTAATGTCATTACTTTTTTTTTCTCGTACTCTTTTGAGTGCTTGTAACCTCGAATAATAATCGCTGAGTTATTGTGATATCTAAGTGTACAATAAATTAATTATAATATTACTAGTATAATTAATTTTACTATACAAATAAATTCAGTTTAAATTTAATAAAACTGGATATAGAAACTTGAATTAGAATACGAATACATATTTTTGAGCGTATACTTATTATGAATAAATAAATAAATATTATTTTCTTTTATTTAATATCATTTAAGATTATAATTACAGCAACTTTAACAGGAATAATATTATCGATTTAAAAATTTAACCTATTTACCGAAAAAGTGTTCACCTGATTAAAGGAATGGCGTGATCGACGAGACCTTTTGAATATTATGTTAACGTACTAAGAAACCAGAAAAAAGAAACAAATTTTGTAAAGAATACTACCTATATGAAACGTTTAGATCGTCTTTATTACTCCAAATAATTTTCCTAAAAAATAATTTCTTTTCTTTACTTAACAGTAAAAATAGTAGGCTTGTGTTTTTTATAAGAAGAACTTTTAAGTTTTATGTTTGAATTTTCCTGGGTGTTACGTAACAAGTATAATATTACTGAAAATAAATTTGTATAAAAAAAAAACTTTTGCACTTTAAGCATGTTCTAAAGAATTCTAAAAACAGTAAGACGAAACGAAATTAGTTAAAATTAAATTGTTTACGTTCTGTCAACAAGTAGGAACTTATGTTTTAACGATAGCACGGAAAAAAAACTTTAAACATTGTTTAAAAAATATTATACCAAATAATATTCACTTTTTTCAATTTAGAGCGTATAAAGGACTCGTATGTCATTTTATCTTTCAAATAAAAAATTTAAATAAGTGTTAAAAGTGAAAATATCCATGAGACTGTGTGATATTTTTCTGCAATTACATTTTAAAATTTTGTTAGTTCCTTGATTTTAAAAATAATAAGTGGTAATGCTAATAAAATACACGATAGTTACTTATAAATGCGGTTTTCGTCAACATTGTACATTTATAGGCTATAGCAAGATTCATTAGTCATTGAATGTAATACCTGAGTGAATTCATTAACATCTATAATGAACATAAATGTATGACATTTACAAGGTTCTTTCCGATTGTCTTGTAGTCAATTTTATTAAAATTAAGTTGAAATAATGGCTTAGATTTCAAATAAAAATGTTGACGTCTTTGAAAAACCAATATTGTTAGCTGTCATCGTTATTGAAGAAAATATCGTACATAAATTATGTATGCAAATTTAATAAAACGATAATAATAATAAAATGTTAAAACTAATTTAATAAATTTGTAATGATGAAATTATGATCATTACGAAAGTATACTTCATTATGTCATAATTTATAGGTACATTGTCATAACTATGTACCAGTTTTTCTTCGAGTATATAGCTTTATAGCTAGCCAATCATAAAAATGAATATTTTCATTACATAATTGTTTGTAAGAAAAACAATTTATTCTTATTTAGGTACTCTCTGAAATACATATTTATTGACTAATAAAATCAAAACTTATGGAATATCAAAGTCAACATAAACCAGACATTTACCTTAGATAATGCTTAAATACCATCATTGGCAGTAACTTTATATAAGAAAGTTTATCATTTATTCTCGATTATAAATTAATACTGTATGACATTACTTAATTATTCTATAATATTTTAAAAAGTATTTTTTATAAATAATGTAATTGGCTCTAGTTGTGTACACAAACTAATTTAATTTCAAATTTATAGCGTAATATAAATACCAACATTTGTATACTGATTGTATGTGTGTGGTAAAAGTAACTGGAAACTAATCAAAATTATGTATAAAAAGTATAATTTAAATCAAATATGCACATTAGTACTAAAATCAACTATTAAAATTTACTTATCTTGTTCTATAAAACTATTTCTGTGATTATACGAATATTAGACATTTTAGTTAAAATCGTATTTAATATTATTCATTAAAAGTCAATAATAATTGATTTGAATGTGTTGGTTGAATAACATAACCTTCGAAAGCCACATTCTGTTGACACTAACGTAATGCACGTACCCAATTTCATACCCATTGTTTTTATTTGAGGGATCTGTAGAAATGCTTAAATCTAAAAATTATCCTCTTCACACAACAATATGATGCCGAGATTCATATTGAAACTCAATCTAATTACAACAATTAGCAATCGGTTATTTTAATTTTGCATTTTTAAATTGGATTTTTTTTTTTTTTAGTCGTATTTTAGTTGCGTCTTGGATGATAATAATAACACTATGTTTAGTTTTTATCGGAGAAAGCAGGAACTTTTTTAATAGCGGACCATATTACTATCAATATATGTATACCATAGGTACTATTAACTACTACATATTATTGCTACATAATAATACCTATTAGTTTAATATTATTATAATATATGAACTGTCGTTATTTGGCATATAAAACAACTCAAATTCTTTGATTTCAAGCTCGTGTGATGTTATTTGACAACAAAACATACGGAATATTATGACATTCCGTAAAATAACGAATTTATTTGTTTGCAAGTACGAATTTTGGTGTTGTTCACGACTTCATGCTGCACAGACCGATAAATAATGATAATATTAAAAACTCGCTACGCGCGTGATTATAAATAATAATAATAATAATACGCGAACAACCACTGTGTTTTTGAGTACACGAAAACATTGTTGTATTTTATTTATTTACTCGGAATGTTCAAGTGTGAAGTAGGTATATTGTATATTTATATGTATATATTTGTATTGGGTTTGGTTAAATTACTACTACTGCTACTGCTGTTACTGCTATTACTATACTACTACAGCGATCACTGCGGGCATAGTTGGTACCTACAATCAAAAGTTTTGTAATTGGGCTGTGTTTCACGTTTCATTTGATACGCGAATCCTCGTACAATGCATTATAATAATATATACGTATATACTATTACAGCATAATATATAGACAGAAATTCAAAATAATTCACAATCTCTCGCGTATACTCCCGGTTCATGGGATGACGTGCCTATACGTTCGATTGTGGTAAACCGTATTGTTATAATATATCATATTATTATAGCACGTTTGCGTCTTATTTAGTTAAATTCTTACAATAATTTTAAATCGAATTCCGACTTATTCTACTACTACTACCAACAATAGTATATTGATTCTACCCATTCCGTCGTTTTTTCCCCTAAAAAAATGCCTTTTAGTCGGCATTTTAAAATAAAAACGAATGCTGATTTCATATTTTTTTATGAACAAGAATGATCGATATAGTATTATTACTATCTAATGGTTTAATATTTGTTTTAGGAAATTCGAAACTCTTCGAGAGAATCGAAAAACGCTTTATTTTATTTTATAAAACTACCGGTTGCAAAAATTTAATTTTTTCATAAATACTACCTTCTATGGGTTCATTTATAATTTACGATTTAATTGAAACGGGAGTGTGTTATTGAACGTTATTGTTGCACTTAGTATATTTTATGCAATTTACCTACCGATAATAATGTACTTTGTAAACATATTAAATTTTAACTTTATTATGTACACAGTCACTGTTTTGAGAAATGAAAAAAAAACAGGGGTGGATCGATACATAAACTGATATTAATTATCGGTGATATAGGTTTGGAAAAAAAAAATAAATTAAATTTATAAGAAATAATATTATATCAAACGTATAGGTATAACAGTTTATTTATAGTTTTTTAATGAGCATCAATTTTATAGTTGATGTGCATTGTTAAAATCTTTTTTTTATCGCAAATCTTGTTACTATCATTAACCATTGTATACTATACTACACCAGTTTCATTGGGTATTAATGTAAATAAATAATACTTAATGATTATTAATATATATAATATCGGTTTTATCGGATATCGATTTTATATTAAGATTGGATTTCTTTTCAAAATACCAGTTAGGTTAGTTATCGAAATACCGGTTACCAACAAAAAAGTGGTATCGGCCTATCCTTGGAAAAATATTTATATACTATTAAAATGCGAACAATAATAATAATTTATGTATCTAAAACTTGGCCACCAAGAAAAACTAGCAGAAAAACACTGTCAGTGCTTGAAAAAAAAAATATGTTGAAAGATTATTTTAGAATAATACAACCGAATAGAGACGATGAAAAACCTACAGAGTGGAGTGAACCTCATATCGTCCGAGGAAAATAATATTTCATAGATCATAACAAAACGAAATCTGAAGAAATCGGTGATAGGTGGACATGCGTGGAGAAATCAAACTTCACTACTACAGGTAGTACTGGGACAAAATTTGATAGAGAAATTACGTCTGGAAAAGTGTTAATTATAGTGAGGAAGTAAATCATTGTAATGGAGGACGTGAAAGTGCTTCCTGAAAGTGGAATTGGAAGATTTTGAAGATTGACGAAGACAATATGAGAATTGATTTATTGACAGGATGATTCTATAGAAGTCGATTAAATTATGATAACATATAGAGTCATATTAACGATAAAAAAATAGCTAAAAAGATCTACGACAAATTCATTTCATATTTTATCATTTATTTTTATAAAAAAATCTTGGTTTTGCATCTGAGTTTCCAATAGGAATAAAATAAAAATATGTTTGAACACATGTTTGCATTTATGCCTATTCTTGATGTTATGTATATTAAACTAAAATTTTACACGAGTGCTCGGTCCCGAAAAGACACGATTATTATATTAGGTAAGTATGCGTGGGTACATCCGTACCATTATTATGTTAAATATTATAACTCAGTCACCAGCTATCGGAATCAATATTAAACAAGTGAAATCTTGATAACGAAATGAGGGAAGGGGACTTAATATAAATTCTGTATAGAAATAATTTTTTTTTACAATTCATTTATATTCAAAAATGAGTGAATATAAAATATATTCAATTTTAAAAGAAATTTGCTTGTTTGTATAATAAAGAATAAATACGATCAAAGAGAAGAATTCCCGTTAAAATATTTTCTATTGACTTTCTTACACAAATACAAATTTACTAGTAAGTCAAATTTTTATATCGTAGCAAAACAGAATATATATGAGACATTTATTTACAGACTTAAATGTATAGAATAAAACCATACGTAATTTTTAGTTTGGATTATTTATTAAATCTTAAATATTACATTTAAGAGAGACCAGTCCATAGTCTGGTAAAAATATATGAATTGTAGTATTGTAGTAGATATGTAATATGTAGTTATTTTCCTGATTTTCGTAATATCTAAACTTTAAACGCTTATAAAATAATAAAACTACCAAAAAAAAAACTAATATCTTATTTCTTCAGTGCACCAAATAGATAGAAAATATTAATTTAGTCAACGATCAGAGCAAGTTTTTCCATAGAAAAGTTGTTTACAGAAAAAAAAAATCATACATCACAACGTAACTAATATATTTCTCATCTCGGCATCGAAAAAGTGTAATATATAGTATATCAACAATGTGGAATGTTGATTATGTTTCCATTTTCAACCATTAGTAATGGGCAATAATATCGATAATTCGATACGATATTGATATCGTGACAAAATTTCGATATCGATATTATAACCAACATTGGGAATTATTTATAGCTATGATAAATATTAAATAATCTGTCGACCGATGACGTTATAGTATTATCATATAAGTTTAATTGTATCTGTAAAGTTAGGTGTTAAATAGTTTCTTATAGTTCAAAAATACTTTTTTTTCGGTTTGCCTGCGTTGTTTTATTCAATATTATGCTTTTCTCACTGACAAAATACGTTTGATATTTGAACAAGGTACCTATTACTAACAAGTACCTATGACTAACAGGTACCTACTTAAAATATTTTCGATATTTTCGATACGATATCGACATTGTACAACTCACAATACAGTACGAAATCGCGATACAATATCAGGAAAATCGAAACGATATCGGTACCCAAAATTATATCCTTGCCCATCAGTATCAGCCATACGTTGGTTATACTAAGCAGCTAAACATACATTGAAAACAGTTATTGAATAATTGAATAATTGTCAAAACTAGTGGAGGTCTATATTGTGTTAGTTAAGTTAATTATAATACGTCATCAAAGAATCTATGTGTGTAAATTATTTATCGAAGAAAAAATAAACATATAATATTATAATTAGAAATTCTTTGTACGATCTGTTCGTTTCCAAATTGACGGATACATTCAGTTCAAAACTACGTTAGTGTATTCCCGTACAAAACATAACATAGTTTGAATCACGGAACATCAGTAAATATTAATATCACGAAATCATGATACTCGATAGTCACAATAATTATTAAAATACGTATAATTTTGTTGGTAAAAGTCAAAATAATATTTTATGAAGTTAACTACCGATTTTTAGTTTGTTTACCTTTTTCGCGTTAAAATTTGTAATACTAGTATATAATTATTATGTTTACAACTAACGAAACAAAAAAATAACATATTTCAATGCTATATAAACATAAAAAAACAAAAAAAATATAAAAAACCAGAATAATTCCAGTGGTGTGCGTAGAGAATTGACGTTGTAGGATATATTCGTACAACTCATTTAAAAATACAACTATGAGTATTTAATTAATAATTTTATCATTCAACTACATACTACTATATTCTATTCCAAATAAGTTTTCCTAAATTAAAAAAAAAAATATCGTTCGCATACTTGTTCAGGTTCACTGCCGATAGTGAACGCTGTTCTTGGCCATCACTTGACCCAGTGTTCATCTGTCGGCACAAATGCGAAACCTTTTTATTTTGGTAAGTATATGTTATGTATAGACTAAGTATATACAAGTCACAAGAAAAAAACTTGATCTATTGAATGAAAATTGACATTAAGGTTCTGAGTGTAACGATGAAGCTAATAGTTCAAAGATGTTTATTTTAAAATTTTTTTTTTCATCCGTGTGCAACTTTTTTACTAGAATATTTGCTCAGATTTTTAAGTGTAGCAACTTTTTTGAAAGAAACTCAGTATAGGGAGGTAAATTTTAAATTTCTCAAGAGTTTCACTATCAAATGCGAAAAACTAAAAAAAAAAGATAATATGTACTAAATATTTTACCAAAATATAATGATTTTTTTTTTTACTACGTATCATAGAAAAGCTAATGTTGTTGGTGAAAAATTTTAGAATTTATTGATATACTGAAATTAAAGATACAAAATGGCGATCGAAAACCGAGTCTAATTCAGTTATGTTAGATATAACTGTATTGGACATGTGTTTTTGTGTGTTTCCCGTATTCCCGAATTAAATTTAAAAAAAATATAACCGATGCCTCGTCATTTGTTATCAGGTATTTTTTTTTTTTTTTTTAGATAAGCTTTGGAAAATTGAGTAAACGTGTCCAAATAAAGTGCCATAAGTCGAAAATTCTACATCGTTTAAAGCCGCGTAACGACTTATTGTACGATTATGTCGAAGAAAAGGGACCGTGTATACTGCAAATCGTACGTCGTATTGAATCGAAGTGAAAACCACGGTTGTAACGAAAGACTGATGGGCACAAATTAATTTTCCAAGAATTCTAAAGTTAAATAAAATACGCGTCTTCTTTGTTGTCCGTTTACCATGGCTGATAAAACTTACAATAATAATAATTATTCGTTACATGTAAACCTGCCTGAAGATAACTGAACAAATAATTTGCGAATATAAACATCATCTCAATAAAACTATAATAGTTTCTTGGTTACACGTAATGTAAAAATATCACCAATAGATTGACAGCACATTTTACTGATACCTAATATCCGATTATGATACCGTTGTAAAGCTGATACCCGATATCCGATATTTTACATCGAAAGTCACTTGTTAATATTCATATTAACATAAATATTGGTTAAAATCCCGGGTTTTAAGGTAATTCCTTTTCAAATTCTAGAAACATTATTCACATTTTTCTCTGATAACACCAGATTTATGAAAAATGATACCGCTGATATTAAGTACCAGATTGTTTATCGGGTCATTCTTAAAAAAATTATTACCTATACAAAAATATATAACACAGCTGAAATTTACGGGCGAGCAAACAGCTACGCAAACATACATTTCGAAAATTGTACGGGTAATCAATATTTCAATATTTACTATTATGATATTATCAGTATATTATTTTGTGTGTCTGACTTCAATCGAACATTTATTCAAACTTACCCCGTGGAATTGAATAAACCCGAACAACGAATAATGTTCACGTATAATACTTGAACAGTTGTTTATTTACTTTACCATCGTATAATTATCGTGTAAAGTTAACCTGCTATTATTTGTTCCGAGAAATATCAAATATCAAGACAGTTAACGCGTAATAAACGCATTTGAATCGGATCGTTTGCGATGCTGTGGAATCCTTTGAGAGATAACTATTAGCTTTCGTAAATTTTTACTTTCTAGGAGATGCTACCGCTGTACATACTCGTGTGAGTACAATATTGAACTTTGGTTCGCATCAGATCGGGTTATACCCATAATATATGATTAGATTCAACGGTGTATTTCGAATGAACAATAATTCACTGTTGGTGCGCGATGTAAATTATTATAATTATGTTCCAACTATCAGGATTACCAGGAGTTATATTTTAGATTCTGAGCGGAGCAAGGAATGTATTGGTTTTACAATGATGAATTTTTATGTTTTTATCCATGAATATATTTTCAACCATGAAATTTGGTTGACCGAAAAAAACCACACACATCGAAAATTAATTCGTATATTGATCATTTTGCTCAGAATCTTTAAATGTGTGATATATTGACATTTGACATTTTTATTGAAAGCCAATAGAAAAAAATAAATAATGAAAAAGAAAAGATACCACAATATAGGTATATAATTACAAAATAGTATCTTAAAAGTATAGTTCATTCATATTACGCAGCATGCATAATTTTTTATTAGTACTTTTATAAAAAAGACATATATTTTGTAAAATAATAATATTTAACAATAGAATCCGTCTAAACAATAATGGTTTTATAAATAAATAAAAAAAAAAACGGTACTAGAAAGGTTATTAAAAAGAGCTGCGAGAAAAGTGCTTAAGAGAATTCCTAATACAATATCAGCTGGTGGTTGGGATTTTTTTTTTACGTAAAATGAAAAAAATAAAAAAGGTAAAATTAAAAGAGACTTGCCTGATATAATTATATTATTGTATTATACACTTTTAAAATAAATATTTTTAAGACGGGTACCCACTATAATATCCAAAGTTTTCTGAAGGTAGAAAATACTTATACAGGGCGATTGATTTATCTTAAATCCACGATTTTATCGAAGGACATTATGTGAATTTGATTCGTGTTTTTTCAACTATCATGGAAATATTAAAGCTTTATTTTCTTATTTTTCAAATATTTTTTCTCTAATATTTCTTTACCTTTCAACGAGTACATTTTTTTATTTTAAAATAAGAAATTCGTAACCCTTTTAAACGTAGATTTGAAAACTAACCTACTAACCGTGTTCAAATGCTAATGTATAAATAATACTAAAGTCACTTCTTCATCATATAATGATATATTATAATTGAAAACAGAGACTATTGTACTTTGTTGAGTGTGTTATATACATGCAGCGTCTCCATGAAGATATCCACACATAATATCTCCTAAGATTAAAAATGTAATAAAATTATATTTGGTATTTTTTTCGTATATTACAGGGATAATGAATACAAATATTTATATTTCAATTATGTTTTTATGCGTTGGCAAACATTTTTTGAAAATAACTTTATTAAATTATTTTCAACGAAATTTGAAGATAGCCAATAGTGTTTATTCTTTTCAAAATGTTGATTTTTCATATTTTTCATTTTTATTGAATTTGTGATTTTTAATATTTGTTTTTTAAATTTCAAAGTAAATTGCGTACCAATAAAAATAATAATAATACAGTTAATTATAAATACAATTACAGAATTCTGCATTAATATAAAAAATCTGAATAATTATTAATATAATATTATTATTTTTAAAAAATATTGTACACATTTTTTCTGTGAACTTTAAAAAACTTTAAGCAAGACATATTTTTAAATGCCGTTATGCGTGTCTTTTTTTAAAAATATATTTATGAAGAAAAATATGAAACTCTAAACGATCATAGCAAAAATATAATGTTCTTTGAAAAAATTAAGTATAATTATTGTAAAAAAAAAATAAAAAACTGTCTAGATAATGACTGTTATTGTGTTAGAAATATAAAAAAATCACCCTTTACACCAAAACAACAACGAAATAATTATTTACTCGTGGTTTAAACGTATTTTAATTTTATTTGTTTATCCTCTATTTGATCATAATATATTAAAACCAAAAATCAAAAAAATGTCCATTTCTGCGTTAAAATAATATATTATAATATTGGTTGATATTTAGTATATCTAAGCATAGTTCTTACAATGCCTCATAAAGTTTCGATTAGTGTTCATAGTCAACATTTTGCTGGTTTGTGGAAACCACCAGTCATCGCTAACTGGAAATTGTAAGAACGGGACTTATTTTCATCATAAATGCAGAAAATAATCGCGGTAAAGAGAGATAAGAAAAAAAAGACAACCTTTAGAACATATTGTTATTTTAGAATTTAGCTACACCGCAGTATGGAGAGAAAACTATACAGATAATTTAGATGACAATAAAAAAATAAATTTATTAAAATTTCTTAATTGAAACAAAGAAAAAATACCTCATATTGCTGAAATTGGCGTTACAAATTATAATGCCACTAAAAACAAAAGTGCAAAATATTTATAATAAATGTGTTATATAATTTATTTTAAATATAAAAAAATATGTTTATACATGTTAAATTTTATGTTCGAAAACCGACGTCTTGGTATTAAAAAAAAAATAGCGTTTTTTACGAGACCAAAGATAAATTGAAATCAGTTTAATAAACTCGTTATTATAAAATTATAATTTGTAAATGCATAACAATGTATTAGGTAATGATTATGCGATTTTCACAAGAAACGCTCTGGGACATCCATTCAAATGTGCTTGATGGAACGAACGTTGTTGTAGAGTAGTCCTAAAATTTAATAATATAGTGTTACAGAATGTTCAATTCATAATCTCGGAAATTGTTTGTTTATTTGGAATTTGTTTTTTATGAACATTTAAGAAACAAGCAGTTCTATAATTTTACATATATATTTTTTTCTGTTACCCTTATTTTTGAACTAAATTCACTCCCTATTTTTGATTTTAAAATGGCGACTCATATTGAAAATTCCATAGATATGCGGTGTATTAATTCTGATAAACTTTAATGTCCGGATAATTGGAAAAAAATAAAGATAATAGAAATAAAATGAATGTTAAATTGTAGAGCTGCTTGTTTCTTTAATATTCAAGAAAACAAATTCCAAATTGAAACTTGATACTATCTGAGATGATGAGCGTACCCACTTATATGGAACACCTCATATATTTTAATTACACCGTATATGTTTACTTCAAAAGTTCCTCGTTTTTTCCAGAAAAAAAAATTAAAAATAATAACATACTTTCTTGCCGATGATGCTTTTTTTCAGGCCTTTACAAAAATTAAATTACTAGACGCCTTTGTATGCTCCCCTCCACAGAAATCTTTAGTAAAAGGCAAACGATTTTTTTGTATTTAAGGGGAACCGGACTATAATGTGGTATATAGTGGTGATTCTGAACTCGTGAAGTATAATATAGTAAAATAAACAGAAATGAATACCATAATTTTTATCTTTGGTAGCCATAATTGAACAGCTACATTTTTCAATGGATGAATGTAAAAATTAAAAGAAAATTTTCGAGACGAGACGTAATGCTACAAAAAAAAATGTATAAATTAACCTACGATATATTCACATTAAATAAGTTTTTAAAATTTATTTTGCACATTTGTTTTCAGAAAAAAAATTCGTCATACATAGATAGATTGAAGCAGTCTTTTTTTTTTTATATACAAATAACGTATTTTTTATATCTGGTCTGATCTATGTCTGGGACTATTCGTCAGTTGTCCGATAAATAATTACTGTTTTTTTATAATTTCTATAGTTTTTTTTTTTTTACTAGGGTAAGTTTTAAGCATATCGTTACAGGTTATGGCAATGGTTCCCAAATATTTTGTATTCTTACCATCGTATAAACAGAAATAATTACACTAATGATACAAATTTTTATTTATAAATATGGATGAAATTATTGGTTTCGGGTATGTATTTGCCATATTAAATTAATATAAATGTTACGAAGCTACGTTTTCATATTTACACGCATCTTTTTACTATATTGAGTTGGGCCCAATATTACAATGTAACATTTAACACGATTTCTGCAGAAATTTTTGTTCCGCGCAAATACGAAGTCATAAATTGTATTATTAAAACGTTGTTATTCTTTTGGGGCATTCATTTTTATGGGGTTCCAAGTTACAAAATCCTAAAAGTCTATAATAGACCGTTACGGAATATACATATTATTATGTTTCGGAGACTGGATTATTAAGGGTTTTCAAACATAACAATTTTGTACGTAGAAAAAAAATTAAAGGTTTTTAATTTAATTTTTCAATTTTCTCAATTATAAGATATTAGGTGCAAAGTGTAAGGAAAAAAGAATGAACATACATTTTGTATACACTAATTTCTATCCATAATTTCGGTGTTTTTTTTTTTTGTAATTTACTTTATTTATTAATTTTGTGCAAATTTGAACAAGTTTTATTTATTTTTTTAATGCGAACACTTTTAAATATTTGATTTATATTTACCAACTAACTATAACAAAATAAAGTTTTATTGTGTAAGTACACCTTAAAAACGACACGTACAAATATTCAAATGCATTTAAAAAACTAAACAAAATAGATCAAATTTAATCAAATTCTAAATTATTTTCCAAATAAAATATTTGCATTACATTATATTTATATAGTTCTTTAGATTTTTCTCGGAAATTTTCTACTATTAAACTAAAGTGCTTGTGTTGTTTGGTAAACATGAACATACAGAGATATAAAATACCTTGCATTTTAAAAAAAGTAAATTATATAATATTTCATTGAAAAATACGTGTTTTTTTTAATTTTTGCGAAGAAATCATAATATAAATTCTAAAACTGGTTTCTACATAATACAAAATCAAGCAATATAAATTAGTTCGTATTCCATTCAGAAGTATTTTATTTAATTTTTTTTTATAAAACGCCGTCGATTTGAATTCTTTATTTTTTTTTTTTAAAAATCACAGGGAATTATTATATAATTTGAATAATGAATAATGTATTATGCCTTTACCTATTTAGTTTAACTACATATACCAACCAAAAAAATAATTCTAATTTATATTTTTAATTATAAATTTTCGATCGACTTATGAGGAAAACGATTATTTTGGAGCTGACAATTTTCATTAAAACAATATATTTTACCAATTAAAAAAAAAAAAAAAATCAAAACAAAAAATACTGACTTCGTAATCTGAAGTGGTAACGATGTTATCTATACATTTATATTATATTTGCTGTAAAAACATGTATACAGTTTATTCGTTCGATATACTTGTGACCCCTGCAGTTTTCACTCTATATCGACGAAGATTTCTAACTAGGGTATTGTCTAGACGGTTTTATTAACAAAAAAATAATAATATAATAATCTAATCACGGAAACGCGCACAGGTGGTCGTATTATATCCGTGAGAACTGTATCCTTTGGATTGTCAAATAGAATAAACTAAAATAAAGTATAAAAAAAATTCTAACAGATTATGTAATATTTATTTTAAGTTTTATTTTTTGAAATATAGGCACAATTTTTCTATTTTTTCTTATTGTACACCTATAAAGGTAAATTTAAAAAAAATATGTCTTAGAATATTTAAAACAGGTACAGCCACTGTTGTAGATAATTTAATGTATACCTGTAAGCAACAATAAACCATTGATTATGAAAAAACGATTCTAAGCGGGATTCAGTTGATAGAGATGCTTTGTAAATAATATAAATATACGCCATTTCATAATGAAATGATTATATAGGCTTTATATATTTTTTTTAATAATATTTGTTTAATATTGTGCTAATTTTCCTAGTTTTCCTAAATTTTTCATGGTTTTTCAGTTTTATGAGAAAACTCCTGAGAAAATCGAAAAATAAACGTTTTAATGTACCTCCTCGCGAAATTTCATTTTAAAAACATTGCTATCACTGTAAGTTGGAGCAAAATTGCTGGAAGAAAAGTTGTGCACAGAAAAAAAAGAAGGCCATAATATACTTCAACTATCTTTTAATATTATTATCATGCAGTTACTTCGACTTAAGAAATTATCAATAAATAGGTTTTGATTTTTTATTCTTTTATTATTTTTAATTTTCCTACTCAGGTGTTACTTAAGAAATTTTTTTTTTTTTTTTTAAATGCCCTAGGGCTTTATTATTTAAACGACCAGATGGTCTTTATAAATATGTTTAACAGGATATATCTTAAGAAATAATAAAAAAAAAAAACAACGTAATTCAAATTAGATTTTAATGAAACTCAACGGAAATTGTCGTTTAGATTTTTGTTGTATCAAACTGTCTCCGAGAAACATAATATTAAAACTCTGGTTAAAAAATTGAACCAGGGAAAAATTTTATAAGAAGGCAATGGACTTAGTAATTTAAATTCAAAATGTATCAATTTAAACGAACGGAAATCAAAATGCATATCGTATCATTTGTATTATTATACGACAAAGGACCATCTCCGTTCGTTTCAATTTGAGAAAATTCTCGTAACATATAAACGAAGATTATTCCCTTTTGTTTTACGAACATCGGAAACCATTTAATGTACATTTTAATGTACCTTTTTATCTTTCTTTTTTTTCGGCCCCTTATATAATTGGCTAACCCCAAATATCTTTGTTACAAAACGTAGATATTCCTTGGAATGATATTGCAGTAATGGTGGTGTAAGGTCAAGCAGTAACAGCAGCAGCTGACATCGAAATGACATTATACTGAGAAAATGATTTATACTCGTACAGCATCATATAATCCTGTCTACCCGAAAAGCTATAGTACCTTATCCGATATCGTTATAAAATCAACAAGTGTTAAAAATATTATAAATTATCGTCGATTGTGAAAGGTACGGTTTCCCTGTAGCGTCCAAATACAGCGTAGGTACATTATCACTAGATTGTGCATTTTATATGTGACCGTTTTCCTACTCGCGTCACCATAGCGCGTCGATAGCTGCGTCGTAGTGCGTCCGGACGCACTACTAGTCTGGACTAGTGCTGCGTAAAAACGTCCTTTATTCTGTACATTAAAAATGTCAAAATCAATTTTTTTTTCCAGGGGGCGTATACAAGGGGGGATATGAGGGTCAAATTCTCTCATGAGAAATTTTTAAAATTCATAAAATAGTGTTCTTCGTAAGAACATTACATACATAACATTACATACGAAAAACGTAAAAAAAAAAAAAAACAAGGGTTAAAATTAATTTACTTATGATTTATGATTAATAATATATAAATTGCATATACGGTATAACATATAAAATGTAACTATTATAATAGTCAAAAATACGATTTGATCGACCAGGTCGTTCCTACCACTGCCGAAGAAATAATTGATAAATTGACTAAAAAAAAAAAAATTAAATTTTGTATTATAATTATTTGTAGAACTTTTAAAAAAATATATTTAATATATGTTTTATCATTTATTATTTTAATGAGCATGTACTTAGTTTTGGAATTTTTCCTTCCACAATATTTGTTCGAAACTCATCCCCCCTCCCATAAAAAGTTATGGTTATGCCACTGTTTTATTCAACCAAGGATGATATATTAATTTGATAACTTTATTAATTTGATAATAGTTTAAATACTGTCTTACCGGTTTTGTATTTATACTTATATCTGACATTAAAATTATTATTAATAAGTAGTCGCGCAATCTTTAAAATATTTCATCAATCCCCGATAACTACGATCATTTCACAAATAATATTATTTATTATTTAAAATAAATTGTCGTTGCATCACGATGAAGATGTTTGTAAAATAAATAAAAAAATCACGTTTGTATTAGATCATAGTTGCACAAGCACTAGAATTTAAATGAACGTGGTTTGATCGAAATAAACAACTATTGCGTCGAAACGCACGCAGAGAAAACGGGCAAATGATGCATCTAGACGCTGCTGGAAATATTTTTTATTTATGCCTACTATATTAAAAATATATTTTTACTCAATATCCATAAATAAGATATCATATTAGTAATGTTTCTTTCAATTATATACACACTAAACATTTTATTTGCCCAACTTCTTTACGAAATATGTTTTGAGATTGATGTGTTATATTATTTTGCAATGTTTTCATGATGATGAGACCGATATTGAGAGAAGGTTTTGTTTTAGTCGTTACATTATTATGAACTCAAACATCCTAGTAACAAAACATCTCATATGAATGCTGGATTGTTATTTCTGGATTGCATTGTTTCGATCCTAAATGCTTAACATCACAACAACAATTCTTCTAACAAAAGTTATGGTTATATTTACCGTATCTAATACTGTTTTTGAAAATTTTGTCATACTCTATTAAACCTATAACTACAAAATAAATTATATAAGTCACATAGTACTCTTTTGTTCCCAACATTCGTTATTTAGGCAAGTAAAATTATAAGGTGTCTGATAGGATAGTTTCTAAACCAAACTAATGTATAGTCAGTGGTTTGAATTTCACAACGGTATAGACACGCGGAGTCAATGACTAGACGGACATTTTGACTTCTCTAGGTTTTTTAATATAGTAATAAATTTGTCATATTTGAAAAAAAATTGATTTCTTTTTTATTAAATTATATGTTGCATAAGGTTTAATAAAGTGAATCTAATTCTCCCCCCACTCTAAAAAATGTCTGTGGATTCTAATGTGCAACGATGGGATATTTTTCTCTTTTAAATTGTATTTAATTTAATAAGTACTGTATAAAAATTACGTATGGATATTGAAAAGGTAGTCGATGAAAGTGATCATTTTGACCAAAATAACATAACAAGAATGTCTAGAATGATTAATACACTTAAATCGAATGGAATTTTTAGTGTCTCATGTTTCAATAGAAGATCTAATTACCATTTCCGAGATAAACCATTGCACAATGGGTAGGCATAATTTTTGATTTAGAGTAATAATTTTAAATTTAAAAATGCTATATCAAAAGTTAAGTATAATGCATAGCACGCTAATAATTAATACTAATTTTACCAATAAATTGTTATTATATTATTGTGTACATACCGAAATACCATTAATTTATATATAACATGAATATACAATACAACGTAGTCACGGTGACCTCGTTATATCTGTACACTATCGAGAATATAATAATGTATAATAGTTCATATACATGTAGTTCATTTTCACGGCAATTTTTTTACCGTATACTTTATAATTAATATTGAATAATATTGAATAATATTCACGGAAAAAAACCCGTATTTTTTTTGCATAACTGCCGTTGCTGGCCACTATTTAAAAATATTTCTGGACCCACAGAATGATTGTAATTTCATTAATTTTACATTCCTGTAATTTATAGATTAAATGTCTCGTTTTTTTTTTTTTTTGTAACATTCACCTGTGCACATACACACGAGAGAAATAATTTATTTAATTAAATTTCTGTAAAAATCGTACATAACCGTTTATTTTAAGCTCAACAAGAAAAGATACCAAGGGTTATATATTTTTTTTTTTTACAAACATCTCAAAAAGGTTTTATATAATATAATATAATTTAATCAATAAATCTGTAAAAAAAAAATGTGTTGAAATCTCACGATATTTAAAAATGGAAACTGATAAAATTATTAACTTTTTTCGGATTACAAAATATAATAATAAAGATAAGATATTGAATCAAATGTCAAAAGCCAAAAGAACAGTATGCATGCAGATGTTTAAAAATGTATTTCTTTAAGTCAATAAAATATAACTTATACATTTTACCAAACATTATAGTAAATTACAATTAATAATATAAATATAAATATTTTTCCCTTCAATACATTCATTATTATTATAATATTAGATTCTGAATGCATTGGTTAAACAATCATGTTTTTTTTCTACAGTGACAAACATTTCTACTAAAAGTCTTGCTTCGATATGTACGTGTGGCACTTTTCTAAATTTATATATTGTCTAGATATTCTTTTAAGAAAATAATTTTTTTATTTTCTAAATGGTTTTAATAATACGTGGGAAAATCCAGAATAAGACTAAAAAAAAGACGGACATACTTCGCACGTGGATGTAGTCACTGTTGTAAGGGGGAAGTTAGGAAGGTAGGCTACCGCTGAGAATTTAATTTATATCCGCAAGCAACGATAATCTATTGATAACGAAAAAACGATTCTGAGCGGAATTATGTTGATAATTTTGCTTTGTCAACAATACAATACATGATATTCTGTCATAATATCATTGTTGTTATAATTATTGTCCACTTATTGTGCGAAATATGTCCATCTGTTTTTAATTTTAATTATTTACAAAACAGTAACTTTAAGAAAACAACAAAAACTACAAAATAAAAAGGAAAACTTGAAATTGTTCGATTTGTTGTATTTATCATCGGCACAATTAAGATAAAAACCGTTATTATACAATATTATAATATTGTTAAATGTCTTTTCGAGTGTGCAAGACAATTTTAACAGTTAAATTGTAAACAATTTAATACTAAATATTCGCTATAGTAAATGATTTAATTTATTTTTCATTTGTTGTAATTCTTTTTTATATATATTATTTTCTGGGGAATGTATACGGAGATAGAAACCATCTCTTTAGTTCATACCATGTTTATAGAACATCTTCGGTATATCAATATAATAATTAATTTTCTTCTCGTCTATAGTATATATTGCGAATATAATACATGTTATACTGCAGTTGTAGCAGTGTACGTCAGACAAAGGAAATAAAATCCTGTAATACGAGTACCTGTTTCTAATGAATGAAATTGACATTTCCTTTTATACATGCGCGGATAATATTATACATCTACAGCTTCTGATAATTATTAAAAGTACCGGATGCATTAATGCATAATATATTATTATTCAGTTTGTATGTACAAATGTATGCAAACGTATACCAGCTATATTTTAATGTTGAAAACTTATTAGCTAGGAGGAAGAAAACATCTTACGGTAATCTTTGGGCAATACTCAAAAGAAAACTAGACGATACGGTGTTTTGCATAGGCAATTTCGGTACATGGCCGTGCGCGGTAATTGGTGTTTGCCTATTTATGCCCTTCGTTATCCGTACGGCCAACTAAAAAAAAAACGATTTTTTTAAGAGGAAAGATACTATTATCCATATGCATACGAGGACGAATATTAAGAACAAAATTTGCATGCATGTCATTATTTTAATAAAATAGAACTTGGTGTGCCAGTAGACAAATAAGAGGTGGAAGGTTTGTAAACTATAATACTACTAAATTAGTCGAAATATTTCAAATCCTTTACAAATTGCATTCTCTGTGTTAAATATAATTTAATGAGACTCAGGGCTTAATTTTTTCTAATATTGATAGTAATATCATAATGTCTACTGTATAGAAAGCCTTGGCAAAGTCTAAAAATATTGAAACGCGTGTTTTTTTGTTATCAATCGTTTCTACTACGTTAGTTAGAGCGTAGTCGGTGCCTCGCTTTGGTCTAAACCTATATTAGATTAAGGATAGTAAATTATTCAACTCGGGATAATCTTGTAGGTAGAGTTTTATTATTTTCTCAAAATGTTTGCAATATTCGGTACAATTTCAATATTTTAAAGGAGTTTTTTGACCTAGGTATTTTAAAATTATTTTGTCCACATATGTTTTATAAATTAATATAATATTTTATTCCGAAAAACAATAATGGAAATTAATTAATTTTAAAATATTTAAAATATATTTCCGATTTTTTTCCTTTTGATATTTGTTATATAGTTTAAAAAATCGTATAAATTTGAACTAAAATAGGAAAATAAAAAAAAATTCTGGACCCACTTCGTAAAATGGATAGGCTACTGTTATAGGTGAGAAGATATAAAGGTAGGATATAGAGAGGAATTTAATTTATACCTATTATCAATGGTTTAAATTGATAAATAAAAACAATTTGGAGTGAAGTTTCTTTTTATACATATATGCCGATTTTCCAGTTTTTTCCCAATTATTATGAAAACCAATTGGAAAATTAAATTTACCGCCCATTTAAAATGTATTTTTCAAAAAAAAAGCACTACACTTGCAAATCAGAGCAATATTTTTGGTAAGAGAGTTATTCGCAGATCAAAAAAAAAAATAAACATTGTAAAATCAATAAATTACTTTCTCAATTCATCATAATTCTACATTTTAAAATTATAGAAAATATGTTTATTGAATAATAAAACCGACAAAACTAAAAATAAAACTGTATAAATTGATTCGATTTCCTACAATTTTTTTTCTTTGTGTCTAACTATATGCACATATATATATATATATATATATATATATATAGAAAACGAAGTGCCATTTTGATGTATGGGAAAATCTCAGAAACTACTCATCTAATCGTCATGCTTTTTTCTTTTTTTAAATGATAGATTGTATTGCGGAGAAAGTTTTAAACAGTAGAAATTCACGATCTGGTCAGTAGAAGCAGTAGACGTAGTTTGGATTTGATACAAATAGTTTATAGGTAGTTTTCAATGTTTAGAAACTAAATGACTCTAATTCGTAAAAGTTAAAAAAAGAATTACAGGAAATGTATTGTTGAAGACTCCAGGCAACACCTGTTAACTGCAGTGATAGTGTTTGGGATTGAAAGAAAATGATTCAAGAGGGATAACCTTTTCATCACACATTTTTTGTAACGGGTATTTGGAGAGGATCCGCTAGTACATAAGTAAAAAGATATAAATATGTTTGAATATTTGCATTGTATTTTTTATTTCATTACACATAAATACTAACATTTTTTATAATTTGTAAAACAAACTATATTTAATTGTTGTACAAATATTGTATTTAATTTAATTTAAGGTGATATTTTATTGAAGAGTTTTACAGCTAAATAATTTACACAGCCGAGACTTAAGGTTATATTTTATTTTTTATTTTTTTATTTAAGGTACGATTTTGTAAAAATAGTAATATTTAAGTAATATTGTTATACAAATACAATAGGACTTGGTTTGCTTTACAGCGGTGGTTCCCAACCTATATACCGCGGTACCTGAAGGGCACTATCTTATTTCAGGTGCACCACAGTTCATCCGAGAATGAAAAAATTGTTTACTATTTAATGTAGTTAAAAAAATAAAAAACTATTTTACGTACAAAATAACTTAGCTGTTTCGGACAGACAGGTGACCGGATTTATAACGATTATACATGTAGGGGACCACAGTTCAAATATACGGTCGCGTTTCACACGCAGAGTATCGCGTTCGCGCATATAGTTCGATGGTATCACGGAAACCGCACCCGCGACCGGTTAATGAACGTCACTTCACCATTCTCGTACTTCTAAAATAATATAATATATTATCCTCTGCGCCTTCGCTTGCACCCCTTACCGTCTCCAAACCACCAACGACGAGAAATTTTTAACAAGCTGGTGTCTCGGTCGAATATCTTTAACACGCCAATAGGTAGTGTATATTAATGTACAGGGTGAACCAGAAACTACGGATGATTTACAAAAGAAATCAAATGAATGCTTACTTACTCATCGAACTAGATATTCTGTATTGATTTTCAATTTTTTTTTTCATCTCAATATTTAGTAGGTACGCAATTGACATAGATTTACACGGCCAACCTCGTAATCCTAACCACATCCTTTGAGATTTATCATTTTCCATTAAGAAACTATTATACCAAATAACGTATTATTATTAGTGTTGTGTGCACTATGATAAAAATTGGATTTAACAGATAGAAAATTTAATATTCAGTATTAGATCGGGCACCATGATAGTATACATAGCAACTAGCAACCTTATGCATCCTAACTTTTTAACTTCTTACCTACTCACTGGCACTCCCATTAGTAGGATCAGCTTTTTTTTTTTTTTTTAATCGCTATAAAAAAATAATTGACCCTTGTGGGTCGGGGACCCCTGTAGGTCAAAGTTTAGAATAGACCAGCAGTAATTCTGGCTTATCGTTAAAGGTAATTAAAAGTAGGCAACGGAGGGCAGAAGTATCCACTATTTCCAACCATTGGTGAGTTCTGCATTAGAATTTATGACAATGAAAGGATTTGACGACTGTTGCTTGGACATTTTCCGAACACTGGCTCGTCAACTACAATGTGGAAGGAGAAGGATACCACTACATTAATAGTCCAAATAAGCAGTAAGAACCGAATTTATGAAGAAAAAGAATATACTAGACTAGATATACCTATATGTCCAGCATTAATAAGACAAAAAACACCTTTACTCAATAAATGTAAGATGGGAAGCAATTAAAGAAACTATACGTAATGCAGCTAATATGACCCTGAGACAAAATACGATGGAACCAAAAAAAACATGGATAAATGACAATATTAGACATTATAAGAAACACTGAGGAAAAGAGGAACTACAAAAATACCAATGATACTCAAAAAAATGAGAACATATAAACACCTTAACAAAAAATTAAACAAATATGCAAAAGAAACAAGGGAAAAATGGCTGGAAGATAAATTTAAGGAAGTAGATTTAATAATTAAAAGAAATATAATGAATCAAACGTTCGACACTATAAAGAAATTTGCAATAGAAAAACAAAAGCTTATAGTAAAATAAGATACATAAATGGAAATCTGCTATTGAACAATAAAAACATGGTCTGCAGATAGAAACAATATATTGAAATTCTGTACCAGGGCGACGAAATAACAAGTCCAAATGACGAAAATAACCCAGATATGCAAGGTGTGATAATTCTGAGAGAAGACTTCAACCGAGTTCTTAAGACAATGAAAACTAGAAAAGCCCTAGGTGTAGACGAGATAACATCAGAACTTATTCAAATTGCAGGTACAAGAATTCAAGACAAATTGTTTAAATTGGTTTATGGCATTTATATAACTGGAGAAATACCTGAAAATTTCAATAAAAACATCATAATTACTCCACCCAAAAATTCAACGGCTGAAAAATACAATGAATACAGAACCTTGAGCATAATGGTTCACTCAGCTAAAATCCTCGTTAAAATAATAATCAACTGAATAGAGCATAATATTGAAAGGCAGTTAGGTAACGATCAATTTGAGTTCAGAAGAAAATAGGATTTATTAGCAAATAGAATTACAACGATATTTTACATCGCGTTTATTGATTTAGAAAAGGCATTTAACACAGTTCCCTGAGCAGATTTATTTAAAACACTAAAGGAAATAAGCGTTAGTTATAGATATAGACACATAGTTAATCACATTTATAAAGAACAATCAGTCATAATTCAAGTTTTAGACAAGTCTGAAACAGCTAAACTAAGAAAAGGTGTAAACAAAGGTTGTCCACTGTCACCAATATTATACAATATTTATGTAGAACCATCTATTACTGAAATTAAAGAAACACTCATCAGAGACAAAATTGGTTTGATAGTAGGAGAAGAATCTATTTAATTTCTAAGATTCACCGATGAAATCGCTCTTCTCATTAATAGCGAAAACGATCTAAAAAGAGCGCTGGAAGAAATAGAAAATGTTTCCAAAATACCACCTTAAAATCAACTGGAACAAAATCAAAGTAATAATGTGTCAAAAAAAGAACCGTAGTAATAATTTAAGAATTATAATTGACAACCATATTATCGAAGAAGTTAAAAGTTTCGTATACCTAGGTAGTATATATTTATCTAAGAAGAAAACTGTACCATGGAAGTAAGATCAAGAATCGCTCAAGCAAAAATAGCATTTATGAATAAAAGAAACCTACTTTGCTCTAAGAAACGGCTTATAAAAGTATATATGTGGAACGCCGAACTGTACGGTTGTAAAACCTGGATACTGAAAAAATCGGAACAAAAGTTCCTCGAAAGTTTTGAGATGTGGTGCTGAAGAATTATTTTGCGAGTGAGCTGGACAGAAAGACAAACAAATGAAAGGGTACTATAATATATTGAAGAAATTAGGAAATTACTTAACATTTATAAAGAAAGAAAATGGAATATAATCAGCCAAGTTATAAAGGGCGACCATGAAAGATCGTACATGCAAAAAATGATATCCGATGTAGGTCTAATAAATTAAAACGATTTGAAGAGGCTTTCTAGTGACAGAAATAGGTGAAGAAACCATGAAAAATGGTGAAACTAACCTTAAGGTTAAAAATTAAAGAAAAAAAAAATGTATATATTTACTACATTTTTAAATATTTTTACACAATTGCTTGCTTATTTAATTAATTAATTTTTTGTTTTTATTTATAAATCGCGTACACACATAATTATCATCATCTATTATAATGTTCAAGATTATTGCCAAATAATATTACATAAGTAGCTATAACAAAATTAAATTTATTACAAATCAAATACTATACGATTTGCGATACGAATTTGACTTTGCAGTCACATATTGCACGTGTACAAAATTGTGTTGTTTTCGTAACAATTACTTTATTTAAAAACCTAACTCAAATTACTTTAGTTATTTTTATAATAGACCATGTGCACATTATCAAAGATAAATATAAAAATATATAAACATGTCATTTTGCGTATACGTACGCCATAAAAATAATTACTATTTGTGATGGCCATTTTGTGTTTACGATTGACAGTCAAAATAGAACCACAATAAGGGAACTCTTTCCCCCTCTTTAAAATCACAAAACATCAAAGATCGATGGAATGTATGTTGCGTTGGTCCAACTAGTGGCTATTAAAAAGCGTATGATATGTTCACTATTGAAAAGCATATATACCGAAACATCGAAGTATGTAGGTACAATTTATTTTATTCATAGAGAATAAATACAAAATAGGTTAACGGTTATAGATTTAAAATATACCACATAAATATCTGAATCTGTAAATTGATATAATTATACCGTTATAATTTATGATATAATTAATATAATTTAACGATAGTGATTTTGTTTTATAAACACCAGTTTCATTCTGTTATAGTTACGCTTTTGTAACTTTCCGGGAAAACGGCCGAACAACGACATTTCGCCTGATTTTTTTCAACAAAAACGAAATTCAATTTTCAAAAGCCTATTGTGCAATTCAAAAATACGTCATTTGTGTTTAAACCGAAGAAAAACCTTCGTTCATTTGCTAATCGTTATTGTTGTTTAATGTTTTAATAGTTTAATTAAAATATTAAGGTTACGGTTAAATCGTATAAAATAAACAATAAACTATTGCACAAAGTCACAATTTTGATCAGTAAATTAAACAATTTATTCAAGTTATAAGTAATTTAGAAGACACATAATTTCCGCCCTGTGATATCTAACTTGAATCGTTTATAGGAAATCCTGACAGAATCATAATCATTGCAGGATACTAAATCTTTCAGTTTTTGATTTTTATTCTCTGAAAATGTATACTATTTTGGTTGTTTAAATAGATTTCAGAACTTTGAAAATTATTGTATCTTCAAACATAAAAACTTGTGACTTTGTGAGCAAAAATTCTGCTATACTTATAAGTATAACTTGCGTGTTTCTTAAATTTTCTAAAAGACAAATTCCAAAAATAGTTAAAATTTTTCAAAATGTTGATCACCCTGTATACTATACAAATTGAATATATTAATATATATTAATTATATTTAGTTTTCTATAAATATACCTATATTTGTATATAATAAATATTTAGGGTATTCTAAGAATAACTACCAATTGCAATATCTCAGAAAAAATTAATTTTTTCGGGATTTCTTTGTTTATAATTCAACCCCCACAGGCTGTTTTAACATATAAATTATCCAAAGTGAAATGAAGATTATTTTGTAAACAGGTTGATAAAATATGAAAAGTTCAACACCATAATGCATTTAACTTATAAGTTTATTAAATAGTAATAAGTATAAACTCCGTTTATGTATGTAATTTTTTAATGTATTTCGTCTTTTTAAGATCAAGAGCGGGTATCTATTTTATCTCCACAAATAAGGGTGGAAACAAATCACAGAAATGTAATATTTTAGAGCTACTTGTATTTTAAATTGTCTAAAAAAAAAAAAAAAAAATTCCAGATAAAGTAAATACTTCACGAGATATCATAATGGGTATATCTTTTGTAGACCTCCTTGTATTTATAAAATTAAGAACGTGTTAGTTAAAGCGATAATGTTGGCGATAATTATATCCGTAATTAAATTTATTATCATATTTAATGAGCGTCTGTTTGCTTTTATTTATATATACAAATAATAAATTTGGATACTATATTTATAAAACGAAAATATCAAATTTACACTACATATACATTTATAAAAAGTACCTAAATTCTACAGTACTGTGATATACGTTATATTTCATATAAATTACCAAATTTGTTTCCTTGAGTTTTATTAAAGGAAACAGTGACTTATATAGGCATAAACAATACAAACTAAATCAAAATGTAAAAGTTATAAATCTAAATAATATAAATTGTAGAAATAAAATAAAAGCGCATTCATTTTTGATATTTTTGAAAGTTCAGACTACAGGTGAATATACCGATATTTTCTCATTTTGAATACGATGGTAAAATATTTTTCACTAAAATATATACATTTTACGTTTTTATACAGAAAAAAAACTAGAATAATATTTTAACTAGTACTACGTGTTCGTACGATACGTTTTTTTTTTAGTTTTTAAATTATTAGTTATTGCTCCTTCCCGTGCACAATAATATGATAGTAAATAAACTTCGAACATTACCAGACGCGGATCTAGAAATCTGACATGAAAAAGACGCTAAAATGTATACCACACACAAAAACGACAAACGTAGTTTAAATGCACATAGATCTAAATGTGCTATACTATATATTTAAAAATCCTAACAAATACGATGTCTAAAAAAACAATAAATAAAGTTGACATTGCTCTAAAGCAATCGGTTACATTTAAATTTAATTTGCCATTAATTTTTTTTTGAAATCACACGGATATGCATAATATTATAAAACACTTACAAAGGAGTTAGGGGTACTCGGTCAAATTCCTCTAGCCCCTTTCGGGTTCGTGATACATAAATTAAGCAATGATTGAAAATGGAGGAGTGTTATTGAACACTAAAGCCTTCTAATATTGTCTTATAGAAATTAACCGTTTTTGTAATACTTATTCAAAAACATAATATATAAAATAACGAACAAAGGATATTTTCATTGATCTACATAGGACCTCATTCAAAAACACCTAATCGACTTTATTATAAGCTCGTCGCTCGGCACCGATCTCATCAGCAAAACATAATTCTTTATACTTATTATAAATCTTTTTCAAGAACCCTTTAATTAATTTTTTTAATAATAATAATACTTATTATAATAATGTGATACACAAACGTTTTCGTCGTCTTAGTATAAAATACGTACAGTGCTCAGAAACTGAATTAAAGAGTTGATTGCAGGTTTTCGCAGTTTTCAGGTAAAAACATAATAAATGGCGCAAGTAGAGCGAGCACAATATTTTACCATACCAAAATGTAACACAATATAGTTCTCGTTCCAAATAAAACATTTTTGCAAGACGTTTAAAAAATAATATTACAATTATAAAATATAAATCAGAAAAAATCAATTCATTTATTATATCCATTATGGATGAACTAGTAGACAAACATGAAAATAATAAATCAATGTTGTTTTTCCGATAGTAATATTTTATGAAAATATTAAAAAAATGTAAGATGTTTAACTTAATACTGCAACATGCATTCCAATTCTAATAGTATTTACCTTAAAAATACGATCTTGGTTTCACTATAGCTATTTTTTAGATTTTGAGTCTAAAGCCTACAAAGCTGTAGTTGTGTAACAAATAAAATATAATACCTATTTTTCTTCGAAAACACTTTTTGTTTTGTAAAAACACTCTACAGATTGTTTGAATCATATATGTTAAAAGATGCGGATAATTTTTCATTGAATTTTACCTACATTATTTGAACATATTGTCTTGATCCTCAAAAGTTTTTCCGAGAAACAAATAAAAAAAAAACTAATAACGAATTTAACACGACGTGTAGTATGTATCACCAAATAATAATTAAATAATTTTAATAAAATTTAGACAGATAAATTAAAAATAAAAACTATATAGTCGTTTACCCTATCATCTCATCGTTATAATGGTAACAAATAAATAACGTTAATTTTATATTTTAGAGCTGATTATTTTTTAAATTGTTGGAAAAAAAATTCCAGAAAAAGTTAATAATTTCCAAGATAACAGTGAACATATATCTTTTTAGAACAACCTGTAGTATAATCTGTTTAAAATAATGTCGAAAAAAGTTATTTTCTTCAAAACATTATAGTTTGGTATAATACATACTTATAATAATGACTAGTAAAATCCTAGACAATCAAATCTCTCGTATATCTGAAAGTACAATACCAACTGTAGATCGGGTACGATTTACCGACGACGTTTTTAAATAGAAATACTAAATAAAATTGCAAATACCCAATTAAATACCGGTATTATAGTATTATATGTATATTTGGTTTGCTATTGAAGAGGTTGTGAGGTCTCGGGCTTTTTGTTATATCCGATGCACACCCACTAGGCGAGGGGAAAACTTGCCCGGTAACCTATGAGCCGAACCGTGTATCTCTCGAGATATATTGATAAAACTCATAGGTTTTATTGCTAGGTTTCAGAAGATGATTCTGGACGAGAACCTGGTTGAGGAGCAGAGAAATAGGTGACACTATAATGATTACAAAAAAAAAAAATTTTAGATTAACCATGAGAATATATTTAACAGAAAAGATGGGTACACTTGTCAATGAAAGATATGTTAAATTAGTAAAACAAAAACAACATAGTTTTAATATGTGTTTGGGAGTGGGGGGATCAGGTACACGTTACACAAACACGATGGTGTGTCGGCTTGAGTTGTCGTTATAGGCTTCGCCCGCCTCGGGCCCACTAGACGGTTCTAGCTCATCATGGCTTACGTCGACTGTAGTCCACAATAATGAGTTGGCCCTGTGTTTAAAAAGTACTGGACATAATAGTTAGCCGGTTAACGTCGTCAGCGGTTGTCGAAAAACCGGAGCGCAACAAGAGCTGGTCAACGGTCGCCAAAAAAGTGAAGTTACAAAGAGAGCTAGTCAACGGTCGTTGAAAAAAATATGTCCGTTTTCGGGTCCGCGGTGTTCCTGGCTGTTGGGTGACCGTTGTTAAGCGTGATAAAGCAGTGTCATCGGTCGGAGGGACTTGTACAATAATGATGGAAATGACAGGTTGGACTGTGGGCGCGCTTCGGCATCGATGATAACGATGACAGCAGTGTCCAGCAACATTCAACTCCGCAGTTACCGAACCAGTGGGGGGGGAACAGAGGGACCACGAATATCAATGATGTTACAATTATTATATATTATTGTCGGAGTTATGAATAGTTTGGAATTTCATATTGTACCCAAAAGACAGACTGTGACGTTACAAATCATAGGAAATACTTACAAATTAAAGTTTTTTTTTTTTTTTATATAATTGGTACTAATATAATTAGAATTCAAAATTTAGATTAAACACGTCAGAAGTTTTCAAAAAAGCAACGAAACCCGAGATTCAAATACGGGTTTTTTTTTTCTATTATCAACTTAATTAAATTTAACATTAAGTCTGAAATTAAAAATAAATGTATACATATTACATTATTTTAGTTTCTAGTCGCCAAACATAATGTCTATTTTCAAATAGGTTGTTTTTCTTTTTGTTTGTGACAACATTTCAACTAAAACCTTGCCCCGATGTACAGAGTGTAACAATTTACCCGAAAGGTAATTTTGTCTAGTTAGACATCAATTTTTAATTTTCTGATGGGTTTTCAAAATAATTGGGAAAATTCATTAAAAAAAATATGGGCGAAACGGCAAATATTTATAGCGCGCACCACGACCGCGGAGTTACCAATTTTATAATTTTAAATTTGTATGCCTACACAATATTCTATGCAATAAACATTCATTCAATAGAAAAAGGACAAAAGACCTTTTTTATTGAATTCTTAATTTTATTAGTGAGTAAGAAAGTAATTTTTGGACTTTTCGTGTAATTTTTTTAATAATTGAGCAATTCAAAAAACGTAAAAAGAATGGGAATTTTTAAAAAAAATAATGTATTTATTAATTTCAATACAATTTTTTTTTGTGGTTCTATTAAAAATATTCATATAGACTTGACATTTAAACAGAGAATTTATATTTACCTTATCCAGAAGTTGTAAAATATTTATAATATTTGAGCCATTTTTGAACTATTTGTAAATTTATTTATAAAGGTTATAATTTTGTGAGATTTACGTAATATTTATTCAGTAGGTACTCTTTTGATAAAATTGTTAGATCAAACAGAAATGCTTAAAAATTTGACAGAAATTCAATTATAAGTCATACTTATTGGTCAAAAATTAAATTAAGTATAATAATAAAGTATTTATTTTTTTATATATATATATATAAGAGTTTTAAAATCATATTTTGACAAAAATTGTAAAGCTTTTCAATTCATGTTTAATCAGACTTCTCTCTGAATCGTTTATCGTCATCAATGTTTCATAGTTAACTTCAAGTATAAATTAAATAACTATATGTATCCTACTTTCCCAACTACCTATCTGAAATAGTGGCCACACCCATCTTCAGTATCAGCTTTTTCATTTACATTTATTTATTATATGTTTTTAGCTGTAGCCGTTGTTGAAAATTTAGAAATTTATTAGGCACTATTGATTATTTTTCGTAAGACTATTAATCGAATGGTTATAGTTAAACTCGTAATTCTCTGCTTTTACTAATTGAATCAAACTGCACACGCTATATGACAGTCTAGGAATAGACTAGTTCGAGTTATTTGGAATATTATGTTTACTACTTTTTAAAGTTATTGTAGAATGTAAAATGTTTTATACTAAACTAGTAACTACTAATTATAGGGAGTATACCCAACACTTAAATAAGGTATAACGACCGACACACCTAATATATGGGTTTAGCGCCATTGTTAGGTTAAGGTATGTGTTTTAAATTAGCCATAATGAAAATAGTATAAAATAGAAATCGCGGAGCCTTAAATGATAAGCTGTACAAAAAGTATAATTGTTTAAATAACTAAACATTATTTTACTAAACTGTTGTAGACATTTTTGAGAGTTGATCATTGTTACAAATAATATATTTCAAACATGTTTTATTCAAACAGCCGATAATTGTTAATACTTCCTAATCTGAGTTGCAATTAAATAATAATTTCTACATGTACCTATATAACAAATATATTATTATAAATGGTTTTATTTTGATACAATAAGTTTTTTAATATTCGTCTACCAAGAGATTACATTTTGACAATATACAACGCGTTATTATAATATATGGTTATAAGAAGGGAACAAATTATAGGTAGTTTACAATGATTTCAAGATTATAATATTCGATTCAGTATAGGTCAATGGAATTTCGTAATTTATCACAGGTAATTTTCCATTACTACTTATTATAGGCAGTACGATTTGCCAGTTTTTTTTTACGTGCAAATCAAAGATTTCTATTACTGTGAAACATTAAATCTGTTAATCTATTTTTAGAAACCGTTATATTTCGATTATGTAAATAGTATTATTCTCAGAATCGAAAAGACAAAATATCGAAATGCGTCACGTGAAAAACCCAAAGACAGTAAATTCGTGGAACGTTCACCTTATGAGCCCGGAGTTCGTCGGTCCCCAATTAGATTAGGTGAACTCCTCATCCCACAGACGACATTTCCAAGATGTCTATTTTTAGACGTTTGATATCTTTCGAACTAACACTATAAAACACACATATTCCAAAACTAATATACGCTCTATGAGGAGGTAATTCTTTCGTAATAACGAACCGAAAAATTGTAGGAAAATAAATTAATCTTTACCAATCAGCGCCTGTAAATATTATGCGCAGATAGCATTTCAAAGATTATTCTTGGTATCGAGTTAATCCAATGCTATTAATACCTTCAGAATGACACATTTCAGTGTTTCCAAATTATTCAGAAAAAGGTAGGTAGAAAGTATTAGCATTTGCATATTATTTCTGACAAAGCCTAGGACATCCCGAGTAAGAAACGAAATCTTCTGAGAGGAGTGAAAAAGCTTATGATTTTACAAAGATTTATTTGTTTTTTTTTTCTGTGGACAACTTTTCTAACAGAGAATATTCTCCGATTAATACGTACGGCATATTTTCTGAAAGGGAATCGGTGTGGAGGTACTTTAAAGAAGTCATTTTTCGATTTTCTCGAGAGCTTTCGATGTTTTTATTATATATTGTCACATTATTCTTGGGACAAACAACTATTCCGTGGATTAATACAGTTTGCACTCTTGTGCCAGATTGCATAAACAATATTCTATAAAAATCATATCGATAACCTATGGTTAAAACTTTATTGTGCCCATAAAGTCTGTTGTTTCCATGTTCTATGGTTCTATGGTATACAATTACAATTTATAACGATAATTCGGGTTTTATCACGATATTATAAACAAAAATTGTTTAATCATACTCTCGTGTCTGATGACAATTATTCAGATAAATTTATTTCCGTGTTATAAAACTATTTTAATATATTTAACGAAACAATTAACGTGTCCACAATTTGGTATGACAAGAAAAAGTATATTAAACTGAAAAATACATTTTTATATCAGTTTAATCAAGTAATCGAATTGTTTTACAATATTAATTAAACAGAAACCTTCAAGCCGATAAATTATAAGCAGTTTTTAAACTAGACAATCACTCTATCGAACGAAATAGGATTAATAACCAGTTATTTTTCGTTTATGCAATCCGAGATTAGTTTAATGCTATAATTCTCATAATAATATAATCATTTTTTTTTCATTTTTTTATTATCAAAAAGAAAAAAGAAAAAGTGCCATCAATGAGAACGAGTGTGACAATTTTGTAGATGGGACGTTGAGAAAATAAGATAAGTAGACCAAAATATTTAATTTATATCCGTAAGCGACGATAAACTATTGTTATAACGAAAAAAAATTCGGAGCAAAGTTCGGTTGCACATGTTATAGAGGCCGTAATATTTACAATAATCGTTAACATTTAATTTTTAAACTCTTATAAAAAAAAATAAAAAAAAACATTAAAACTTTATCTTTTATCAGAAGATATAACTTTTAATGATCCTCCTGTTCAATTTTCATGTATTTCTATTTAGTTTTACAACTTGATCTTCAGAGTAGTTACTAGAGTAGTAACACAAATTATGTAATAAACTCAAAAAATTTAAATGTCTATAAATAGCTCAAAAATTGCACAAATGTTTTAAAAAATGTATTACGTCTATAATATGCAAGTATAAGTTTTTGCTTAAATTTCAAGTCTCTACAAATATGTTTAACTGAATTACAAAAAGAAAACCAAACTGAAAACTTTTGCCTTCAAATTTTACTTGTTTTCCGAATTATTTTTAAACGGCCTAAAAAATTAAAAAATGACTTTCTTACTCACCAATTAAATTAAAAATTCAATAAGAAAGGTTTCTTGTTGATTTTCATGAAATCGTTACGTCCTAAACATTTGTCCATTAATCTAAATAAAATACTAACTAGTTTAAATTACTTTTCAGAAAATAGAAGAAATTTTGAAATATTTTAATAAATGAAAAAAAAATAATATCATTGTAAAACCAATACATTTCTCGCTTCGCTCAGAATCTCAAATTAACAATGAGCAAACAAGCAAATATGATTTTAGAACATTTGTTTATCGAAGAGGATTATATATTGCTTATACAAAGTGATTTTTTTATCATGAACCAACAATTATCACAAAGGATTTTAAGTAAATTTGATTTCTGTTTTTTCTAATCATTATGAAATCGTTTAAACTTTATTTTAAAACCATTTTTAATTTTTTACCTCTACTCTATGTACCTTAGGTAAGTGCATACTTTTGATTTTCAAATAGGAACTCTCCCTTTTGAACACAGATTTGAAATGAGAATATTTTTCTAGAAATTTTGATAGGCATAACACTAATACCAGATTTATCCTTTATCAGTTATAACAGTTTAAAGGTTAGACCTGAGGGTAGGGGAGGATAATAAATTGCTTATCTGTGACCCTGGAATCTGTGTTCAAAAGGGGGGGTTGCCTATTTGAAAATAAAAAGTATGTACTTAATCAAGGTACATGGAGTAGAGGCAAAAAATTAAAAATGTTTTTAAAATAAAACTTAAACGATTCCGTGATGATTATGAAAAACATAAACCAAATTCACTTAAATCCTCTGAGATAATTACTAAGTCATGATAAAAAATATCACCGTGTACATTTAAATGAAGAAAAATGTCTGGGAGATCGAATAATATAACAAACTAAAATGGAAATCCGTGATGCTAAAAGACTACTGGGAAGATTAAAAAAAATTTAAAAAAATTAACCAAGAAACTCCATAAATTAAGAGTCAATAATCTGAAAGTAGTAGCAAATAATAGTGGAGAATGGGAAAGAGGCTGTGTAGCAAAAATCCTTAAATGGCCTTCGAAGCTAAAAATAGATAAATTGTTGTTGTTTTAACCATACTTAACACAAAATAATTAATAAATTACCATTTACAAATATCTATAATATGTTTACCTACATACGTACTAATTTATGCATTTATTAACGAGGATAATATTATAGCTATATTAGTATGGTCAGATTATGTATAGTCATTCGATATCGAATCGTTTAACAGCATTTTTTTTCCTTCGGTGTTTCAAACCGTACAAAAATAAAAAAAAAAACCGTCTCTACATAGGTATTCTGTTCCCGTTTATAGAGCTCAAGTATGACGTTGTCTTTGTGTTGACACTCGTTTGGTTATATTAGCAGTTTGCGTGCGCGTGACGAGACTTCAATTGCAAACAGTACATTTAAATTAGACCCTTGTTAATTATTTATGTAAAATCAGAAAAACACACTCCGTCCTGAAACTTTTACAGGACACCGCGTTATTTCCTAAACGTTTCTGTGTATTTTAAACTTAAAATACAATGATTGATGATTATAATTACGATATTCCGCGTTAATCGAATTTGAAAAAATTCGGATATAAAAGTGGTTTTAAATAAAAGTAAAGCGGGTTTCAGTTATTCTGGGGTCTTAGAAAAATTTGAACGTTGTTTACAATGAGAAGAAAATAGCCGTATGCCTTCATCCAACAATCATCGATATTATCTTGAAAATAATGTTAAAACTTAGGCAACAAAATAGTGTTTCAATACCCACAGTATTACCTTGATAAGTAATAATATCCAAAACTAAGTACTAATTTATATTAAATTATTTTTAATTAAATACAAATGATTGTTCATTTGTTTTTAAAGCTGATGTATCACTAAATTTTTTTTTTGTTTTTAAATAATTTAGAATATTTCAATTATATATTCAGGCTATTATTCACCCATCGAAGTTTAATGCATGTAACCAATGTGTTAATTGTATTATCAATTTTTTCAAATAGAGTACCACCAGCCCAAAAAATTCATATGTTGGAAACTATATCATCTATTAATTTTATTTTTTAATAAACGAAAAGAAATTTATCCTGATAATACTACACGTACAATTTAAATTAATTTAATATTAGTACCTATCTATGTTTAAATAATCAACTATATACAATACATCATAATTATAGGTATAATATATAATTTTTAAAAAGTAAATACTTTTTTAAATATAATATAAACGTCCTTAAGATTATTAAGTATAATAAGTAAATAGCTACATAATAGTATTTTGATTTATTGTTTTAATTTTTATCATAATGTGTTTTAACGGCGCTCCAGTCTTTAATTTTATAACAAACGACAAAAGTCACCCATGGAGGCATGATATTATATTTTTTGTTAATAATAATGAATAAATATTCCATTCAATTAACCATATTGTTATTTTAAATGCAAGCAATATAGAACGTTAAAAGTTATAAATAAATTACCTAATTTTTTTTTTCCATTTTTTTCTTTAATCTTTAAAACAAATACGATTTGTCGTCATTTTTATTTCTCGAGAAAAAGCGTTTTGAAAAATCAATTTTCTATTAAATTTTTTCATAAATAATATAAAATGTCATTCTTCAAATGAGAAAAATTTAGACGGGGATTTATTCTCATTTTATGGTACAGGTCGTACGATGTGGAATACAAATATTTTAATTTTAAAATCAATTTTTATAATTTTTATAATTATTTTGTAATCGACGAATCATAAATAGCAAATTAATCATATTACCTATACTTAACAATATGAGAAATGTCTCTAGTGGTTTAGTGTTCAACAAATATAGAACTTATGGTATACATTACCCCAGCCTCCTCAATGATACTTTGTCAACGATATATGTCATATTATGTCAAAATAACTAAATTAGGATTATATATTTTTATTTGAATAATATTTGTTAAATATTGTACTGATTTTCCTGTTTTTTCCTATGTTTCCTAGGTTTTTCATATTTGTTGGGAAACTCGTGGGTAAAATCGAAAAATTACTTCTCTATATTAACTCACCAGTAAGATTTCATTTTAGAAAAAGTGTTATCGGAGTGAAAAAAATAATTGTAACACCTTACTAATAGAATTTCTCGTTTTTTTTGGTTTTTCACATTTGATGAGAAAATTCCTGAGAAAATCAAAGAATGACCTCTTCAAAGTACCTCCCCGAGGAAATTTCCTTTTAGAAAAGTATCTACATCTTATATATTACTCCGATGTAAGCTTACTCCAGCTTACTGGTAAAAAAAGTGTTTACATAAAAAAAAAATAATAATAATAAATATCTTTATAAAACCAATACATTCTTCGCTACACTCAGAATCTAAAAGTAAATACATGTAAAAAAAATCACATTCACACGCAAAAAAAATAAATCAATATAAAAAGGGGATAACAACAACAAAACAAAGCCTGGAGTATTATAAAATATGTTGTGTACTTGTGTGTACTAAGATTTAAAAAATCAACAAGTATTAGAACATCGAAGGCGAATAAGTAATTCGTTTGACTGAATACAAAACCCAAACGAAGAATACTTACAGAAAAACTTACTACTTTTACACAAAGAGAAAACCAATTTTATAGAGGACATTGTAAAACAGTAATATAATGATAAAATATATAGTTCATAATTTATTTTATACTCATTAAAGTTCAGATATGAGGTGTAAATAATAATATTTTAGAGACAAGCGCATTACAATATGATATATGTCATAAAATAATAATAATAATATGTATTACATTATGCAGCTTCTCTAATCTTTAGACGCTTATAAACTAATAATTGGATCGTTATAATAATATACGACGTATATGCGTAGGTACCAAAGCTGAACAAATTATTATGTTTATTTCTGTGTACCGAAGTGAGCATATTGTTAAAGTGAACCCTACACTAAAGATAAAACGAAATATTCGAAGTATGAATAAGGATATCTTTAATGTTATATTAAGAAAAAAAAAAAAAAAAAATGTTTTAATTATGTATGTTTTATTCGGATCTTTACACAAACGTCACAGCCCTCTTTTCTGTTGCCACTATTCCCGGTCACCTTAGAAGATGCCTACAATGAACTTGTTGTCGTGACCTGCTAAATGATTAACCTTCCTTATACTCCTCTCCGTGAAGTTATATCAGTGGATCAGTGGCTCATTGTGCCAAATCTCTAAAACCAAGCTAATTTTATTCTATTTGATTTATTTGTTCTTTCTTTTGTACAAATTTATAACGAAACTTGTGCTTAATGTAAAATGCTTCTTTATGGTTTGTTCAATTACGAAATTGCAAAAAAAAAAAAGTAATAAACGCATTATTTATTCAATAATATAAATCAATATAGAAAACGGATGTGAAAAAACTATTATGATTTTTTTTGGACACTACGTCGTACAATAATACTGCCATCACTAAATTAAATCTCCGGTCAGAATGTTCATGTTTTTGTTATGGTTTTTACGTTTAAATATATTTCGCGCAGTGGTCATTTTTTTAGAAAAACATTATTATATTGTTTCGCAGACAACACCAAAATGTATTGTTACTGTTTTTATTTTTGATTTCTAACACGCCCCTTATCCCGAAATCTATCCGATTCGCACGGTTCCAATCGCGTCGATTCGCGACGTTAAACCTTATTGAACGGGCGCCCGCCGTCGTCTACTGTTAAAAAAAAAGACCGGAAAACGTGTCTCGGCGGCCTTACGATTTCGAAATGCGTTTATTATTCCAGTGGCGGCTCCACGAGCTTTCTATGTGGTAAGATGAATGTTTTTAAAATAATTTAAACGGAAAATCCGTTGACGTACACGTGCAAGACACATATTATAATATTCAAATACTATCGGAAATTTAGAAAAACGGGATGCAGTTATCGCTATCGTTTTGGTTGATCTTAGGCTACGTTAGCTGTATGGAAAATTAAAGAATCATTACTATGTATACCGATTATGAACGTTACATTTTTAGAAAAACGAACGATACAATATTATATATTATATTATAATATCGTTCTGAACGAAATTCAATTTGTGGTTTTTAAAGAGAACATTTATAATGGTTTACTTTGTTTATATTTACGTGCCTTACTCGCCTTGTCTGATGAACCGACCTACTGCTGTGTTATTCCTATAACTATTCGATTATACGAAAAATCAAACGAGAAAACGCAAATGCATAAAAACAAAAAATATACGTAGATTAAAAAATAAAATGGCTGAAGAATGTATACTAAATATAGTAAAAAAAAATGTTTACTTAATAAATTAGAAATAAATTATGTATATTTCATTTATCATTCTTGTAATGAAAAAAGTATATGCAATAGCTGTTAAATATTGATGTGTCGGCGTCAAACAAATAGTTATAATAATCAATATTTTTTACTTTATCCGTAGAATGTTAACATTTTTTTTTTTTTTTCTATTGGGTGAACCTATGCAACTAGGTAGTAATTTATTTTATCTAGGTATCCAACCAATGCCTGATGATTTTTAACTTATCGAAACATAAAATGTTCGATTGTAGTTTCAAATAAACTCAAGGTGATCAACATAATCTAAGACATTCATTATCTTGAAAAGTATGTACTTTTTGCAGGAATAAGTTTTTATTAGAACATCTCTTGAGTGAAGCTCTAAAATTATACATTTCTATTATTTTTTTTTTTTTTTTTATCATCTTTATTTTAAGGTACGAAAAGTAATGTAAGATTTTTGAGCTGCTAATTTCTTAATTGTTATGAAAAACAAATTCCGAAAATAAGTTAATACTTTCCGAGTTAATGAGTGTCTTACGTTAATTTGATAACCGGATTTTACAAATATTCTACCTTCGGTCTGTATAAATAATATTTAAATATAATTTATGAAATGTTTTTTTTTTTTTAATTTACAAAATTATTAATGGATTTTAGCTCTTTTGCTTTCGTTCTATTGTCGAGATACTCATTCCGAATGTTTTGAAAATACGAATTTTTTTGAAATAATATTAATGCACGGATGGTAGGGTAGGGTGACAGGGAGGTGCGTTGTGTCATTAGTTAATTATAATAAAATATTAGCATAGTTGTTTTGGTCGCGAAACATGATAGTCTCTATGGACCGACGCCACACGCCCGTCGCGACCTACCGAGGTGGTGACGACGACGGTTGCGAAGTTTGCCCCGTCCAAAACCTTACACCGAAATATTATTATTATCTTCACCTCGTGATCCCGCAGTTATTTAAAACTTTACCGCCCTAACACTATAGTTAGCGTAAACCAGGGTTGCAGAAAAAAAAAATCAATCAAGATAACAAAATTAGTTTTTCATCCAAAATTAATAGTTATGGTTTATTACCATTTATATTTTAAGAATCAATAGGATCTATATCAATATCTTTCACTTTTCGAAACATATTAGTTAATTTAATAAAAATTTTACCATTACAGTTTTTCAAAAATGTGTTTAAAACCCTTCACCACCTTGGTCTGCACCAGTGTCGTCATGCCAAGTCGCGTGAAACATTTTCTCGGACATTAATGGCAAATTTTTCTTCAAAATATCGAAACTATAATATTAATTACGGAATATATAAAGTTAATGTTATTATAACATAACATTTTTCCCATTATTATATATATTGTCCAATAGAGATCTGACGAATACGCTAACTTTTGTTATGTTCGATATTTGTGGCTCTCTTCTATTAATTACTAAAATCTTGTCCTATGATATTTTTATTTTTCGTATAATATATTTTAGAAAAAAATTTTTAAATATTTAAATGATTTTTAACGAAATTCAATTAAAGAAAACTATTTCATAAATATATTTTAAAACACAAAATTGGTGTACGAATATTAAATTTTACAAACAATGAATCGTTAAATATTTTACAATTTTTTAATTAAAGAAAAATTTGAATAATATACGTTTAAAAATATAATTATAATAATAAGTTGAGAAAATACCAGCGGTAAAAAAAGTGTCCAAATGAAAATGTTTACACTTACATTTTTTATCGTACTCCAGAGTCGTGTTTAGAAATTTTACTTCATAGTTTTTCGGTTCGTTGAGAAACTAATATACTGTATGTATATTCTTAAGCCTACTGAGGACATAGCACGGGTAATTTGTTTTTTTAATGAAAAATTCCATCAGGTCTGGAGAGATATTATAATACGATCGTTAAAAGATAATATGTACATTAAAGGCGTCCATTAGGTGAACCATACTTACCTACCTACCTGCCTACCGACGGCTATTTAAGTTTTCAATTTTTTAAATAATTGTATTAAATTAAATTGTACATCGATAAACATGTATAAATTATGACATTAAAATCGTTGCGTTTCTGCGTTTAGAGAGCGTAGGCGCAATACGCGTGCATTTTATAAACACCTTGCACACAATCATTCCGTATTTGATTTAATCGAACGGCTAACAATTACTCGATGTTTTATTGCGAATTTAAATAGGTAAATTTATTATTCAAATTTTTAAATTTCGAACCAAGATAAAAACATAAATATAAGGCGAGTCTTTCAAATTTCATTTTTACGCTATTTGAGAGTGGGAAAACGAATACACCGCAGCGTACTCTCGAAACTATACAGGGTGTACTGCAGTGTTATATAACTCTTATCATTCTTTATTTTTTTTTTCCAAACAGGTTTTGGGTCAGTGGGACACTGTAGAGCAAAATCATTTTTTTTTCGTCGCTAAATCACTGAAAAAAATTACTTTATATTTGGTCACTTTTAAAAATGTTCAATATAGTTTTTTTGTAAAAATATTATTTTGACATTTTTAATGTATCATACATTCATATCCGATCAAATAGACTCTGAGTAATATTCGTTTTAATTTCTAGAAAATTGTCGTGAAGAACGATAATGTTTAATAAAAGATAAGGAAGTACCGTGCTGTTTGTGATCCCTTCTCGCTTATCTAAATCGTTATTATAAAATATACTACGGCATGTTTATTTTTATTTACTGACTGTAAAAAATTCTTTACCGAGAAATAGTTTTCCGACTATAATATGTAGCACCTTTTATGTGTATATATATATAAATATAAAAAAAAAAAAGTATACTCGAGTCTACAATCCGTGTTTTAGTGTTATTCACGCGGACAGATCCGTAGAGAAAGTACCGGAAACACGTGAATAATTACATGCATACACGGTTTTATGAAATACGTGTACACGTGAAACAGAAAGTTCCATAGTTGAAATAATATTATTACAGTATGTACTTTGTATCGAATAACGATTTATAGGAACATTCAATTGGATTTCGCAGGTTGTTTATTATGCGCGTGCGAACTGCAGGTATTACGTTTCGGACGTTTTAACTACCGGTGCAGATACCGATATATTATAATTATTATTAGACGAGGGGAAGAGGAATGGAGGGAAGTGTCCATGCGTGTATAATAATTAATGTCAAGAACTTTGAATGCCGACACGGCTTAAGCGTCTTAATTTATCCACAATCGCCTATTTACAGTTTCGAGTTATTCAAGTTGTTTTCACTTTTCGGACACAAAAAGATATTTAAAAAAAAAAAAAATAAAAGACATTAGGCGGCCACGACGTAAAAATCGCTTCATTATTGGCGGTGACCTGCGTCCATTGTACCCACAACAACCCGATTTCATTAAAACCATTCAGTTTTTTATTTGTTTTGTTCAATTCGTTTGTATTTGTTCGAGTATTAGTACCGGTAGTTCGGTGGCGTATTTACGTTTTTTTTGTAGGATGTTTTATTTAGAAAAAAAAAAAATGAAAATTGATCAATCATTGACGACAACCGGTCAATTATAATAATAATACGGGTTGGAATTAAATATCATAATAAAAACTGATAACGCGAAACAGTTGCAGTTTTATTTTTTTGTATTTATCCTCGACGTCTGCGTGACGTGTTATCAGTTATGCTGATTAAAAACGGGATGTAAAAATACTCGGGATGGGCTCATTTGTCAGCGTCAAACCCATCCCCCCCTCAAAAGTAAATACGCCCCCTCGTGGTAGTTTGGTCAATAGTTCAGTAAATTGTGCGGTTCAATTCAATTCAACGCGAATATTTCTACAGTAAAAGTGCATGTCTTAATTCGATTCTGTAGGCTATACCTGTAGGCTGATACCTTCCTAATCACTCGGCGAATTTTCCAAAAAAATTTAAAATAAAGGTTGAAGTCTGACTTTAGGGATCGCAAAAAAAAAATAGTCAAAATCTCGAAAGGTTCCCCTCCTTTTTTTCCCCCAACTTCCCGCGGTCTAATTTTCGATTTTCCCGTTTCCAGCCGAGATTGTCCCGGTTTAAAAAAGGAGTTTATGGACTCAGAAAAACGCCAGCCGTCCACCGACGTTTTCTGGATCTTGGATTGATTCCAACCTAATTTAATCATAACGGGAATGCTACAAAGGTTATCTGTTCGTATTGGGACCTACATCAAATGTAGTACGGAATTTCGATTTTTACAACTTTGCAAGCCTTTTAGGCGGCATCTATAAATAGCGAATATATTAAAAAAAAATTGTTTTGTTGGAAATTTCGACCGCGGAACGTTATAAAGAACTGTTTTTGTTCAGTGGAGGGGAGAAGTGAAAATAAATGGTTTGTTTTTCGACATTTTACGCCCATAGTCAGGATTCAACCGAAAACAAAATTCTGTTACATTTCTATACGGAATATTATTTCATATACAAACCGTTAACAGCCGTCGACGATGTTCGATTGACGTCCGGGTGCACACACACACACACAAACACACACTCGCGCACGCACGATACAGTAATATACGCGATAAGCAATTAACGGGTGCGGGAAAATCGAAGGAAAATCGAAGGAAAATCTCGTGAGAACAAAAAACTCGTAAATCGACGGGCACGTACGGCACGCGGAACACGCGGCGGGCGACGGTACCGAAGGCGCGGGAAAAACGCGGCGGTCACGATCGGCACACTCGGCGGCGGGAGCTTAACGGCGACGCGGACGGTACGCGGACGACTGAAAAGCACATGGAAAGCGCGCGCCGTCGTCGCACTGGCTGACGAAAAATGTGTTTCGCGCGCCGTCACCGCCGCCGGACCGACCGACTCCTCTGGCGCGGCGGCGGCGAGGCCCAGCGACCATCGACGAAGCTATCGGCGAGAGGGGCGGCGGGCGGAAGGGGCGTTTGCCGCGCCGCCGGTTGCAGGTGCCGTGCAGGCAGTCGACGTTTTACGTCGTCGCGGTCGTTTATTTGCACGCACCCTGTATACGCAATAATAATATCTACGTATTTATCATACAAAGTTGCACATTCCCCCGTATTAATAATAATAATAATAATAATAATAATAATAATAATAATAATAACGTTCGCGTCGTATATAAGACGTACCTCTCCTCGACTCTCACCCGGTCACACACCTCTATCTAACCATCTCCCGCTCTGTATTTTTCTCTCCGTCGCCGAGCACCCCCCTTCCCGGATCTCTTCTCCTAGCGCACGCAGCCTCTAATAATATTCCATACAAATATCGTGTTTACATAATGTTACCCCCGCGGTAAAACCGCGCAGAGCTTGTTCGCTTTGATGCTGGTGTTGCCTTCTCTTTCCTTCCTTTCTTTTTAGATTTTGCCCCGGAGAGCTAAGCACGAGGAAATACTGTATTGCTCCGATCGAGTACTTCCGCGTTCCGGATCTAGTTGGAGATCGGACTATGGCTGGAGAAGAGGCGTTTGCGCGTACCCAATAACGCGTAGGTGCATAATAATATCCCACGCTGTCCCGTCTTCAAAACGCCACACTTTTACGTATAATGCTAAATAGAAATCCATGCTTAATGTAATTTCACTATACATTTTACGACTGTTCACATAAGATACTCGCATGTTGAATTTCATCAGAATATTACAGATTTATAAGCCTAATAAGGACTGATATGGACTGATGGATGACGAAATTATAACCGTTTATACCGTTTAGACTATTTCAGCTATTCAAGATTCTGAAAACGGAATTATTTTGGATATGGGTTACGTTTTAATGGGAATATAGTGTTAATTATGGGATACCTCTAACGGGTATATTTTGACTTTTGAATGTTTTAAACGCCGAGTGTTTTGAGGGAATCCGTCGTTGCGATATGTCACTTTTCGATATTTCTCGGTTTTTCAAGGAGTAACCGTTGTAAAAAATAAATTATAATTATTTTCAGATTTTATTGTTTCTGTAGTGTATCTTGGTTAACTCTCGTAACAGATAATTTCAGAGATTTTCTACTCGAATACTTCAATATAATATTAATTTTCGGTGCAGTACCTATTTTTATCCGCTCAAAACAATCTTCAAACTCCATTAAATAAAAAACATTATTTTACTTTTAAAATAAACTTTTTTTCATACGAGATATCTAAAACGATAACAATTGTTAAAAATTAAATTTCGAAAAAGTCAAGACTATCAGTAAAACCAACATAATAAAATATATTTCGAAATTACAATTAATATAATGAAGTTCGATGGCGACTTAATGTGTTTTTTATTTTTTTAAATTTCTTTTAGACTGACAAATTGTTTCGTAACATTAACGAGTTTTTTTTCGTAAATATGATATTCTAAACAATCGAAATAGTTTTTGTTATAAACTTAAATATTGTCTGTATATAATATCCACAAAGAAACGTATTTCGATTTACGGAAATAGGGGTTTGTGTTTTTTTATTCAATATTCAAAACTTCAACTTCACGCAACTTCTAATAATATATACGGTAAACAAAGTTACCTAGGTAATTTTAGGTTCATTTTGTAGCGAGTACCTCAGAAGGTACGTATTAATATATATTCCCAAACGTATTTTTACTATACAAATTGTAGGTATCTATTTGTGGATTTTCAAAATTAATTTTACTTCACTGGTCTACGTTGGAAATTAATTGCATCGTATTTTATTCTCTAGTTGAAACAGGTCGCGTGCATTTAAACATAACATAAAACCCTCGTCCGAATAATGTTGACGGCAGTAGCGATACAACGGTCTACGATGTTTGGGGCGTTATCGTAAAATTTAATTTTTTTGATTTTTTTTTTTTTTTTTTGACGACAGTACATTATTATCACAATAATTATCTTTATAAAATGTAATGTTTATGATACAATATAGTTGAATGACATGTTTCGACAGTAATATGGACTGATTTATGAGATTAAACATTACTAGTGTGTGGGATTGTGATTAAAATATTTAATTTGTTTTTTATAATACCGTTATCCTATAACCAACGGGTTACCTGGCTAAACCTCTCATTATGTTTTGTTTTTTTTTTTTTTTTTTTTTTTTTTTGTATCTATTTTAACAACTTTTCTATCAAGAATCTTGTTCCAATCAAACAATTTCGTAGAAACTTTCTTCTCGCTATTTTGATCTAGTCGGTACTTTGGGGAAAACATTATTTTTTTGGGATTTTACTTGTTTTCCGAAGAAAACAATTTCTTTTTTTTTTTTTGTCGCAGTTTTGTACAATTGTTTAGAATCGGCTTACGAGGTTTTGATGGATAGTCTACGATATATGGCGACTATTCGATGTACGATATGGGACCAGTGTTTATTTTAAACCTTCATCATCGACGAGGTATCGTACATTTCCTAGGGGGCATGTCAACGGCAGAGCCGGTTCTAGGCATTTTTACACCTACGGAAAAAAATACGCTCAATATATAACTTGTAGCTCGTTAAAATACGGTTAATTATATACACAATATATACATTTTTTTTTCATTTCGTTGTCAATAAAATGACTCATTATCGGCTTATGACTCATATCGCATGTAGTTTATTTAGTAATGTAATACATTTTCAGAGATTGATTGGTATACATTTTTTGCGTTTTTCACCTCCCCGGTCATTGCTCTGAAATTAACACTGTTTGGGTATTGAAATACGTACACGTATTTCATATTGGTTCATATTCGAAGTAAAATTTTCTTTACAAAAATTATGATGAAATATCCGATCGAACACATAAATATGACCTAATATGTTGACCAAAAAAATAATTGATATCTAAAAAGTTTAAATGTTCAAAGAAAAGTGAATATTTGCTTACTAATATTACTTATAGAGTTTGTAAACTAAATATTCAATGTATCCAATCGTCTACCTTCTCGTTGTTGTAGCGGCCTGTGTATTTCGTCCGGTTATTTATTATATTGTCGACGTTATCGTTGGGCGCAACAAGTAGAATCACGACGACGTCGTGAACATCTGCACGGGGTTCAAGTATATTAAAGCAAACTGATTTCCGAACACGAATACCTACCTATATATTATTTGTAATAGAAAACCCCGAGACCGATAAAATTACCGACTACTCTTGACATTTTGATAAGATTTGATAACAATATTATTAACTGCGTAGATACGTTGTTCGGACCTCTTTGATCAAACTGACGTCGTCCGGGATGACATTACGCGTCACAAATTAGAGTACGATAAACTCGATGTGTCCGCATGAAAGTAATCTCAATGTAATAAAGTAAGTTATTTGCACAAATAATCATGGGTTTTTTTTTTTAACAAAATTATAAGTATTAAAAGCTATTCATATTATACAGTATGTCCTATTTTGTTGTTGGAACCTGGGACTCGTGTGAATATCCCGTTCTCCCGACAAACACTTCTCATTCGTGGACGGTTAAATCTAGCAGTCCATTAGAGAAACCGAGGTTTGTCATAATTGGATTTCAAACCGATAGAAAGAATAACTTGATAAACCCGTCGGGTTGGTTCGACCGTTGTAACCTCAAAAGCCTTTAGGTATACCTAAACAACGAATTATATCCTTACGAGGATTTCCGCGCAAACTTTTCAATAAAAAAAACGGCTACATTGTATGAGGCGTATACAGATTTTCAAAAATCGTATTATGGTAGAGAGACGAGTGCCCCATTATTAACGAGAAAAGAGTTTACTGCAGACGCGCCGATCGTCGTCGTGGGATTTATCGAGACAGCGTGACAACGTCAGAGCGTCGACCGTAGACTTGCGTATCGAATTTGAAACAGACGGAGCGGTTCCGGGAAAAACAGCTGCGTATTGCCTGATCTCACACGACCAAATAATAACTTATAACCCATTCAACGGAGATGTACGACAACCGTAAACTTATCCTGTAAAATTTATATATAATTAGGAATAAATTAATAAAACTGTTTTTAAGTCGATAACTGTGTTTTTTTTGTTTAATACACAACTACGGTACGTGTTATATACAATTTTTCATATTGGAAATAAAATGTACACGTTATTATTGTAGAGAACGTTTTCTTTTGAGACCCCGTGTCCATTTCCGAAACTGCGGAATCCAATTGTCCGTCCGTCTCTTCCTTCGGCACCGGTGGTAACGTATGTAATACATTGCGGACCGTACGGCCCCCCGCCGTCGCGGTCAAATCGTCTTGCGGCATAAGCTGGCGACGTCGGGGAACGGCTCGGCGGCGGCGGTACGATTGCAAGGCGTAGCCCGTGATTAATTGGTTTCTACGAACGACGCGCGGATAATAATCTGGTCGTCCATCTAACAGCACTATAACGCGACAACAATTAAGCGAACGCGGGACCGACTCGTACAGGACCGTACAGAATCTTACAGGATCGTACAGGATTGTACAGGATCGTTCAGGATCGTACAGAATCGTACAGGCAAGAAACGCAATCGGCCGTGCGTATATTATTGACGGGGCGAAATCCGCGCACGATCGAACAGGAAAACCGAGAACAATACGTTTTCACAAACAGGTCGTCGCATGCAAGAAACGTGCACTGCGTACGCTGTTGAAGATATCCATAATTATGTATAGACATTTGTTCGTTCCAGATTCTCGGAACGGTACGCATGGTGCAGTAGGGCCGACGATTATGTTTCGTGTAGGTAACAAATTGCGTATGAGAAATATTATTTTGTTACATTTTAATAATATACGATGTGCGTGTGTGCGTGGGTGTATATTATGTAACACAGACGGGGAAGATATATTTCGTATAGGTATACGGAATACTTGCTGTGTATAAGATACGTTGAAACATCATCTTGTGATAACAGTAGGTATAACGATAAGTATAATCGTGATAAAATGAAACACGGTGTATCTTGTAATAACGGTAAGTATAACCGTGATAAGATAAATACGGTACGAATTGTGATAACGGGGATGTGGGCAGATATGCCGGTCACGGGTTGCCGGCATTAGGTGCGGATATCGCGTTGGATAACCGCGGATGTTATTTATCGGCGATAACAGTGTGGTAATAATGTCGAAAGTGGGCGCGACCTAAATGGTCTATGAGCTGGTGGGCGATTCGGGCGGCCGTGTATTAGGTATAGCACTTGATCGTTGTTCCTGCTCCTGCTCCTGGCGTAGAATCCACTTTTTTTATACCATTCTTACCAACCGAAAAACAAAAAAATTAAATATAAATGGTGTCTTAAAAATATAAACCGTGCAAATTAAAATAGACGCCGTCAATCTTTTAATTTTCATTTTTCGTCTTTTTCCGGTTTATCCTAATTAATAAAACAGAATAAACGATCCGTGGTAAAATAATAATAACTGTTTTGAATATTCCGTGTCAGTATTGAAAAAAAAACCGTGTTTTCACCATGACTCCCGATAATTTCTACGTTTCCGTGGTAAAATAATTATAACTGCTTTTATATTATTATTATTATTAATATTATGATCGACCACAGTTTAATGTTTGTATTGGTAAACTGTAATTAGCTGTAAGTAGATTTACACGCACATATACGGAGCTCAGCTTTGACGTTCGGGATGACACGGTACCTCACCTTGTTATACGTGTGAAAAAAAAACGGTTCGTGCTTTTTTTTTGTTCTTTGTCATATTCCATGTAAACAGTACTTTATCACGTGCATCTCAGTAACGGGCATGCAATTTTTACATACGTGCTGTACGAAGTTTGTAAAAATTGTCAACGGTTTGAATTGTACAACGTGATGCCGCGTGGTAATATTTACAGAAATTTTACCGAATACCGTTGTCACATGTCCCTCCACTTATGTCACCCCCCGTGAAATTCTTGCTGCTTCTGAAATATATCTGCTATTGTTCCTTAATGACTTTTTCCATTGTAATACTGTTTCGTGCGAAGCCGGGTAATTCAACTAGTAACAGGTATATTAGTCATATCGTTTTATGACGTCACACGTTATCAGATCCTGTGTCCGATACCGGTTTCGATCACGAGCATGGCGATTAGTATGTATTGCAAATTCAGAATTTTACCTTCCCGAGTTTTACTGGTTCAAATTTTGCCTTTTCCAAATGTTTACTCTGCGAGTTTTGCTGCTTTCCCTGCGGCGCCACTTCTTATAAAACAATATTCTATGCTTCCATTTGTAAATTGAAACGGTAACTTGTAAGGCTCTTAAAATGCTTGGACTTATTAAGAGAATATCTGTTGACTTTAAACATTCTTGCTCCATTAAGGTATTTTATTGTGTATTTGTTCGTTCTCGCTTAGAGTATGGCGCAGCGGTACGGAGCCCTTATACAATTAGTGACCGATGCAAAGTTGAGCGTGTGCAGCGTAAGTTTTTAAAGTATGGTGCCTCGGGAGCTCAATCTACCGACGCTAGACATTGATAGGAGAAAGCAAACGAATTTAACCTTTTTAGTTAAACTTATTAATGGAAATCTTGGCGCGCCTGAATTGCCGCAGGCTGTTTACTTTCGTATCCCTGTTTATATCTCCTGCTCTATAAACCCTTTCTGTATTCTATTTTTTTTTTCTACCAGTTATATGTCTAACTTTCCTCTTTTTAGAATAATGCAATTGGTCAACCAGGACCCATATTTTTTTATTCTAGATTTTATTTTCTTTGTTTATATTGTTATCTTTAGTTATTGCGATTTTACATCATCGACTTAGTTATTGTGTCTGTGCTCTATATTATTGTTTTTGTAACACTATGTACTTTAAATTTGTTATTTACGATAAGTCTTTGTAATTAGGCTAGTCTCGTTTTTAATATAAATAATTAATATGTGTCTCGGGGTCGTCGACCGCGCGTTGGTCGTGGTCACACGTTCGAGAAGGTATTTCTCCGTTTCTGTCCTACCAAACTTTAACTATACGTATTACTTTCGGGCGTCTAAAAAATAATTACATTTTTTTTAAAGAAGTCTTTTCGATTCACAGATCATTCGGTGTAATTTGACATATTTATCATATTTGCTTATGTTTTATTACAGAGAAAGTATTTTATAGAATATTATTATATTAATCATTCGTGTAGGTTATATTAAAATTTGAAATAAATTATCAACAAATTTTGAGATACCTTAAACAGCATCGAATATACCACAAGAGACTCGAACTTATATCTGTTTTAACATAGAAATAGTATAAATACACGGAATGTACACATATAATAATATTTGTGTAACGTAAAAAGATTATCATAGTATTTTTAAGAAGACGCGACTTCTGTCTCTGTCGTTTTGCAAACGTACGGCATGTGAAATTTAAGCTAAAGAAAATGTAAGCTGTTTTTAATAAGATTAGAACGAATTGACCAATTTTGTCAAACTTAAAGGAATAAACACAATCTGTAAAACCACGCAGGTCTTTATGAAATGTTTTTATTTCGTAAAAAAAAGGATATAAACGTTATTAAATTGGGACATTCTACATAATACTATACTTTTATCTCATTAAAGATTTAAAAAAAGACATCGAAATAAATTTACACGATTGCACAGAATATGTTCTGGTATTAGTTCCATAATAGGCCAATTAATTTTAATATTAAAGGACAAAGTCAACTATTTTTGTATTGCAGTTTAAAAAACAAAAGTTTACTAAAGATAAATAAGTACTTTCACCCACAAAAATAAGAATGACAACAAATATCAGAAACAAAAAATTGTAGAGCTTCTTGTTTTTAACATTTTCTATAAAAAAAATGTCGAAAAAGTTAATACTTNATAATAGGCCAATTAATTTTAATATTAAAGGACAAAGTCAACTATTTTTGTATTGCAGTTTAAAAATCAAAAGTTTACTAAAGATTAATAAGTAAGAAATAAAATGTGTATATTGTTTTATACATATATGTTGCTTTTTTTAATTAAACCTATATAATTTTAAACGTTAAGTGCACCCAAACAAATTAAAATATGCACAGTTATTATATTTGTATTATTATTTATAGATTAATAAACTACATAACTAATAATTTTTTTGTTCACTAATTAAAAAAATGTCTACGAGATTTCCGCGTACCACAGGTTGGGAACTGCAGCTGCATACTATACAATTTATTATATTTTAATTTTCAATTGATTATTTCACGGTTGTATATTAAAACACCAAATCAAATAATAAATGTATTGTTACAATACACAATATTATGAAACATTTTTGTAAGAGGTGCATGTATATATACATATATTTTATTTTTGGAAAATAACAGTATAATTTGTTTGTATTTATTTCATGGTTAAAAAGAAAATCATACCCGTATATAATAAAATATTATAATAATATGGTGAATACAAATAAAGGATAAATTTTACTCTTGGGAAATCAAAAACCATAATCAGATAACAGGATATAAAATCTGATTAAAATGGAACAAAAAACCCTTAACGATCGCCATATTCATATGCATATAAACCGAATACATAATATGCAATGCGTGTTTCAAAAATAAAAACATACTTTTTTTTTTATATTCTGAACGAGTAATATATTATTGGTTTTTACTATGATGTGAGTGTTTTTCCAGATTATTTTTATAATAATTTTTTTTTCTGAAATTAAACAGTTCGTGCATCGAGGAGGTTATTTTTTGATTTCCCTTGTTGTTTTTTTAATAATTTAGAAAACCTGTGAGAAAAGGTTGACAAACGGAGAAATGGGCGACAATAACGTATTCATAATTATTTTCTATATCGGCCTGAAATTTGCACGGAGTTCTTATGTTAGAATTTTTTAGACGTAGTAAAATTGTATAAGCACTTTCAATTTGTAAACCTTTTATCTACGTGTATTTAATATTTTCGAGTTTTCTTAGTTTTAATTTGATTTTATGTGAACAGAATTGTTTTGGCAGAGCAGAAATGCTTAATAATTTAACACGGGGATTATCACATTATTATGTATTACCTAATAAGTAATAAAAAACTAAGTAAGTAAGTAACTAAGCAATGAAAAAGACAAGCGTAATGCATTTAGATTTTTATAAGCCATACGCATCTATTGCATACGTATATATTACAATCTATTGCTTATTAAATTCGGTCGTGATAACTCAACCCCTGATCGCGCAGAAATACGATCGACTTGTCCAAAAATAGAGGTAGTCGATAAACTCTTGTAGTAGAACAAAAATTAAAAGTAATAGAATAAAGTAAAGAGAGAAGGTAGAATAATACGGTGTGGAGGAGTGTGGTCTTGAGGGGTGAACAGCCAAATGAAATAGATACCGATACATGGGTGTATGGCGTGACATGGTATTGTTACTACGTAATGTGTGTACAATACGGATAGACGGCGGTTTGTCCGTCGATGAATATGTGTAGATATCGTTCTATGTGTGTTTGTGTGTGCGTTTGTTATACGATCATCGTCGTGAAATATACATATGCATACTAATATAAAGACGTATTGTGTTTAACATTGGCCGGCAGCTACCTACCGCGCGAGATAATTTTTTATTCATTTATTTGCGTCTGCCTAATTTTTTTACTTGTTCTACCACGAGAATACGAAAATAATCACTTACCTCGGTATACTGCCTGAAGTTCGTTGCTCAAAATGTAAGGAGCGCGTATAAGGATGCGTGGGTTTCGACGGATTATTACAATAAGTAGGTTTTCTAATTGTTTCGTCACCAAATCTACTGTGCCAATAGATATTTATGTGGCTACACTCGAACGTCGGGTCGCTAATAAGCGACGGCTTGTGGGAGACTCATACGTTTAATGTGACGAATCGCTAGCCGACGTATTGTTGTGTAGCCGTTGCGCTTTAAAGTGGTTACTACATTATAAATGCGCAGACAATTGTTTAACCTGAGTGACGACCACCAACTGCGGTATGTTAAGTCAATGCTCGGGTCAATCAGACGTAATATATCGTGTGTGTGTGTGTGTGTATATGTATTGGAAAACTTTACAGACAATTGTTAATACTGAGTGCCGATCATCAACTACGGAATGTTAAGTCAATCAGACGTAATATAATATTGCGTGTGTGCGTGCGTTCGTATTGGGTTATATGAGAAAAATAAAAATAGGACACGTTTAAATGTATGATAGAAAACTAGGTGACAATAAGTACAATTGCCAGGTTTAAGGAGATGTGGATTAACTAGATGCAGCAGCCCGCCAATTGTATCTGCAACTACTGTATGGGTTTAGAAAAATATGGGTAACAAAGGTTTTAGATGAGCAGAAAAGAGTGTTTTCGCTGGGTGAACCCAGAGAAGTGAAGATTCGATGAAAAAAACGTACGCGTCTCGCGTCTTACGCAATACGTGGACCTCGGCCGGACGGCTCTCATACAATCGCCACAGTGACTGCAGGTGGCGCCGGTATGTAGACAATGCGTGTAATTAATTGTGTTAAAATTTTATGGCGTACTTATGTGGCAACGCTGTTATTTTTTCACGACGGAAATGGTAATTATACCTTCTACGTCACTTTGCTCGTTTATTTTACAATTATTGAATATTAATTAATTAATTGATTGATTGAATATATTAATATTACATTTTCACTCAAAAATTATATATTAGATTGGAATTCCACCAGATACATATGATACAATAAAAACAAGAATAAGACACTTTATTATTATTTTCGTTAAATGACAAAAACAAAATACTATTTTCCAGTCTATACATAATATAACAACACTAACGCGTTTAATAAATATTACCTATTAAATCATTCCTCTTTAGATTTGACCAAATTTTAATTAACTGAAAGCGTATGATATATTCATACATACGAACGGGTAGAAAAATATTTTCGACAAATGTAAAAAACTCTTCATATTGCTTTCTATGCTCGTAAAAAAACAAAGCTCTATTTTTATTTTTTTATTTTTTTTTTTTGTTTTTAGTTATCATATTAAATAATACGCGAGCGTATTGTGTACACTGTATCTTATTCCATAGCTAGTGTATACTTGCAATATTAATTAAAAAATTGTTTGAAATAACTTCAAAAAAATACAATAATAATAAACTGCAAGACTCGTTTAATTTAATATAGTTACACGCACGATTATTAGCTTTAGTTTTTAATTGTGTTTTTTTCCTCGCTACCCGTTTCCATAGGCTAATGAAAACGATATAAAAATCCCGAAAAACAAAAATATAAAATAAAATAAAATACTACGCTGATTTAATATAATAATATTCGGAAGAATTTAAATATAAAGGGAGTATCACAAACAAAAAAATAACAAAAAATAATAATAATAATAAAATGAAATATTATACTTTGTTGTTTGTACAAACGACGAAAAAATTCTAAACAGGAATATAAAAAAGTATACTAAACGGGATTTGCGTAAAAAACATTCGAATGGTGTATAAACTTCAAATAGGTACTTACCAAAAAAACATGATCAAAAACCATAAAAACGCGCGTTTATGTATTAAACATAAATGATAAAATACATTATATTATAATAATATTATAGTATATATGTATAAAGTGTACATACAAATTTGGCCATACAAGTTGAATACACTTATAATATTTTAGGGACTTTGATCCCGGGAAATAAGGGCTTAAGTAGATTTCGTATAGTTATAAATACGAGCAAATTAAATTTTGAAAATGCATACACTCGTGACGTATTTAGACTAAATCATAGAAGGATACAAATTGCATAAGACAAAATTATATTAAAAAAATAGAGCAGTGGTTTTCAACTTCTACAAACAATCCTTATGATTTTTTTTTTTTTGTTTGTAAGATGTCCACCCCTTCCTAACTATCATTCGTGATCCTCAGATTGAAAAAACTGACCTAGAGGACGTCGATGGCGCGAAACAAGACCTGAAGAAATTAGGTGTAGTGAATTCGGAAAGAGAGATTAAGGAACTACGATATTTCACAAAATTACTATAAATCTTACTTTAAGATGTGTTATCTTACACTATAATATTATCATTAATTAATAAAATTTGAGTTTTTCTTTCAAAAATTTTAAAATGCCCTTTGTGTATTTAATGATTCAAATACTCTCTCTCTCTCTTCCTCTCTGTTTCTCTTACTAGAGTCTCGTATACACAGTAAAATAAACGTAATATTTCAATATTTAACTCTGAGTTTTAGATTTTGAGCAGAGCGATGAGGATTATGTTTTTACAAAGATGTTTATTATTATTATTATTTTTTTTATGTGAACACTTTTTCTACCAGAAAGCTTACTCCGATATATATATGATGTAGAACCAATTCTAAAATGAAATTTTCTTGCGAAGGTACTTTACAGAGGTAATTTTCTGTTTTTTCTAAGAGTTTTCTCAGAAAATGTGAAAACCGGGGAATAACACGGGAAAACCGGGAAAAATAGCAGGAAAAACAGACAAATCGGTATAATATTAAACACATATAATTAAAGAAAATGTATAATGCTTATTTAATTATTTCGACAAAGCATCACTATCAATTGAACTTCGCTCAGAAACGTTCTTTGTGAACAGTGGCTTATCTTCGCTCACAGGTATACATTAAATTCCCTTATGCATCATACTTTCTCAACTTCCCGGCTACAACAGTGGCTGTACCCGTTCTCATTATCCTTGGACAGCTTTTATTATAGTTATTATTATTTTTAATTACACACACACACACACACATAACCTTCCGGGTAATAAGCTGTTTTAATTAATTTTCAAATGCCGACATTTTCATAGTATTGAATTGCGCGTTGTAAAATTGCGCCTGTATTATAGAAGTGTTACTTTAACAATTCACAAATCATACGGCAACGTTTTCAAATAAATAATACGATACATATAGCATACGAAAATAAAAGTTTCCGCAATATTGGTCTCCGGCAACACTATATTATTCCTAGAAAATAGCAATTAATTACGTCTGTTCCGAGTAACAAAATCATACACGTTTCATGCGCAGCGTTAATTAATTAATATCGTTAATTAACTAAAAACTCGATTGAACACTACCGAAATTCGTGGACATTGCCAGTTTCAGTTATTCAACAGCCTTCGTAATTATCGATGCAACGTCTATCGCATTGTGTAATTTTAAACGAACGTTCGACAATATTACAACGTAACGTTTACACGCATTGTGTTGTCGATGCTCGATTAACGTCGGGCGGAATCGGAAAACCGACCGCGCTAAATACGATATCGCGTGCAATCGGTATTGTATCATGGGCATACGTACCTCGTGAACGGCCAGTCCGCGTCCGTGGTGGTCGGGGCCGACGTGCTCCGGCACGGAAGGCTCAGCCTCGGGACGATTTTCAAAGTGATGGGCCGACGTCTTCTCGTGTAATCTGTAGAGGAAAAAAAAGAAAAAAAACCGAGAGTAAAAAAAAAAACCCGCAATAAAATTGTTATTAGACGAGAGATCGTTGCGGGCGACGGACGAAAAAAATCGATGAGTCCCCTTCGCGTACCGCGCGCCGCGTCTACAAACCGTCTACGTTTCTCCGGCGCAACACTGTATAATAACAATAACAATAACAATAACAATAATAATATATCCGATACACAGTCGTGTCGTGTCGATGGGTTTTCCGTCGTTTATCGCGCGGCGGAAAATTTCCGTCCACACGATATCGTACGCGTGCGTGTATATATGCATGTGTGTGTTTTCGCCGTCTCCCCGGGGAACGCTCAGGGGGTTTTCTTCGCGAACAAACTAAAACCGCGACGGAGAATCACGACACGGCTAAAACGCAATACCGCCGTACGCGCGAGACGCGATAAGATTGTTTTGTTTTTTTTTTCTTTCTATACGCGCCCGGTTATTTGTTTATTATTTTTATCCGCGTACCGTACACACGCGCGCGCACGCATACATAGACGGCGCGATATCGTCGGTGGTTCCCGTCCGTTTCGGCTTGACGGAGACGCCGGGCGAGCGAAAAACGCCGTCGCGCGTATTACGCGCTCTGTACGCGAGTACGTTCGTTTTACGGCGGGATCCCGTCCGTTGGCGCGTATCGCGTACGCGCGTATACCAAGTACAACGCCGTATTGTACGGTTACGGGAACGCGTTTCGCGATAAACGCGCGCGGACGGCGTCCGTAACGACGAAAACTCGTAGTAGACGCGCGTAAACGTCGTCGTGTTCGTTTTTCGTTCCCCGGAGCTGATGTGCCGCTGCGACAACGCGTCCGAGTCCCGGGTCGTCGTCGACGGATTATCGACGCGGAAGACAAACGTAACACCGACAAAGACTCGCGTCCGGGTACCCCACGTCAGCGGTCGTCCGGCGATATTTCCACCGCCGGAGTCCGCGGATTTAAAATAATACAAATCCGGTGAACGATGTCCGGGGGATTCGAACGCAGTTCGGACATTCAGTGTTTAACACAACCTTGTGTATCCTGCCTTCCCAGCTACCCATTTACACCGTCGGCACGCCCGCCGATACCCGTTCCCGGCGTCCGGTTCTTTTCAATACGCATTGACAACGCCGTGCCGCGACCAGCTGTTCCAGTATTCTACGTGATATCGTAATTAAATTCACGCGCGAACGATAGCTGTACCTTAATTCGCCGCATTTATTGAAATCTTTCGAAATGAATTCTATAAACGCAATACTGGAGTTAAATAATGTGTTCGCATATTTCGATCGAGAATATTATATAGTTAACCAAACTCGGTCTTAACTGTTCCCGGGTCCCGTATTCGGGTCTACGATAAATGTGTACCGGGATATTTTGTGTAAATAATTCGAAAACAGTTTCGCCATTGTGTTTAAATAATATCCCGCGAGTTTACAAACTGTGTATAATAGGTTCCTATCCCATACATACATTAATTTATCTCCTCGTTACTTACATTTCTACATTTTGGATACCTGTCTTTTTGCATCGTTTCTATTTGCATTTTATTAACCGTATGTTCCGGTCTACCAACGCCACTCAAGACGAGGTTTCCGCCTTTTTAATATTTTTTTTTTTTTTATGTTTTTATTAATTAGTGCGTTTGGGAATCGGCTTATTTTATCCTTAGTACTTTTTGTTACTGACAACAAACGAACCTTAAAATAACATGTCAAAACCGGGTTTTTAAATTTAATAACCTATACACCGTATCTCTCTCTTTATTTCTTTTTACATTTTTCAATTCTCTCGGTTACACGAACTAAAGATACATTATTTATATGGTTTTCACCCAGCAAGAACCGCTGAGTTCACTCAGAATCATTTATTTTAAATAAACTAAATAATATACTTTAATAATAATTATGGTCTACCCATATAGTTTGGATTTTTCTTGTGTAAATTAAATAATTTCATGTTTTCATATTACCGAAACTCGGGTTATTAAAGATCAATCAAATCAATGTTATAAAATATCCCGATAAACGTTTGGTATACTATGACTGAACGAAAAAAAATTATACAGAGGTGTTTTGTTTCAAAAAATGGGTAGTCGGAAAACACTATAAGTTAACGTTCGTATTACAATCGCGTTAGATTAAATATAGATAAGTACTAGGGAAAAAATGGAAAAATCAATAAAATACTCTGCTTGTTGAAACGACAGAAAACATTATTTTAAATTACGCTGTAACATTGGATATTCACACAAATATGTCGTTTATAATATTACGTTTTAAATTACAAAAAAAGAGCTGCTACATTCAATTTTTTTTTTTTTTACAAATAATTATCATTTACAATATTATAAAATTCCTATAAAATCCTATTTTAGTGACGATATGCTATGTGAAAATACTGCAAATTTTAGTCAAATATGATTACGGAAGGTTGTGTATAACTCTTGTTATATACAACCTTCATGTGCTCAGATATCAAAAAAGATCCGTAACCATAGATAGCATCTAACTGATATTAGTAAGTTATTACCCATTAAATAAAATTTTTAGATAAACTTTTAATGAACATTAAAGATTTAAAAAAAAAAATGAGGGATCACCTTTTTTACCTCGTCTCATTTTACCCATACCAATCTTACTTTATTACTGAGTAAGTATATAGTTCGATGTGCAGTCACAAATATAATTTAAAAAAATTAATCAATGATATAAAAAATAAAATTCGACTAGCACGTCGTGTAGTACTTTAAACTTGTCTAATAAATCCAAGTTTTGGCAGACGGTGCTGTTTTTCACGTCTACAGCTATATATGCATATTGTCAAAATCCCATAATTATTGGATTTGTGGTAAGAGATTATCACTTAATATTTTTGATATCAAATAAAACTATCTATCTATCTAACCCATTATAATTATCCCTACAGTCTATTGCAAATAACAGAGTAATAATACAAATTTAGGAACATTTTTTTATTACTTCGATAGGACATAGGCCATATTCATAAAACATATTAACCATACATTTGTAATTATTTTAAAATCACGAATTGTGATTTTACCGTTTTATACCACCCATATTTATTTTCTTTAAAATAGATAACGAATTGTGTTAGTTTTTTTTTTTATATTTGATTACAATTGTCTTCAAAAAACAGATATGTCTTTTGATAAGAAAGTTACGAATGATCTTCGTTATTTACTATCAAAATATTTTTAATTGGCTTCGCTCAGAATCATTACTGAATAACAATGATATATCGTCGTGTACATTATACGAACTTAATCACTTTATATTATACCTATCCTAAATTTTTATTTACATTATTTTTAAAAAAAAAAAATTGTTCATAGAAAATACTTTTTCGGTAGTAAATAATCATTAAATGTGTTACGTAGTAGTATATATATATATGTGGGTATATGCATGAATAAGTAAATGGAAAAAAATAATATAGGTATAAAAGGTAGGTTCTTAAGTAGGAGTCGTTTTTCAAAAATTTAATTTTATGTCCGCCACGAAAAGCTAAAAGAATAAATAAAAGAAGCTATTTCAACATTTTCACCATGTATAGGTACGTGCGTATGGAATTGCTTTTCGAAAACGTATTAAATGTTTTACTATTAGTAATATATTTTTGTTTATAAAAAATATAAGCAATGCCATTTTTTGATAAACTGGATTAGTTTACGTTTTAGATTCGGAGTAAAGCGAAGGAACTATTTGTATTCCTATGATGTGTATGTTTTTTTTTTCATCTGTAAACAACGTTTCCACCGAATAACTTCCTCCAATCGAAAAATGACGAGAGAAAAAATTTTACGAAAAAATAATTACATTATTTTCAATTTTGTTGCTTTCTTATAATTCTGTTAAAAATATTCATAGAGAATTAAAATTTTTACAGAAATCTTATATTTTCCTTGACTCTATGGTTCATCATAATAATTGTAGTGGTAAAATAAAAAAGGTAAAACAAATTATCAGTGTAATATAATATATATATTTTTTTTTTATTATGGTTTTAAGATTAAATGTTGATGAAAATGGTAAACATGACGGCCTTCTCGAATCGTCGAATCGTGCACAAACAAACCTTGTTTTTTATTCTCAATGGTTAAGTTAGGTAACATATGTATATTAAATAATTTTATGTATCCAACCTTCTCAACATTTCTTTTAGGTTTTTAATACGAATTATTAGATAATTTGTTGAAAATGTTTTTTTTAACGGAAAATGTGAAATTCCATATCATATTATATTATGGTTAGGTATACAATATTGCGTATAATGTATTATAAAAACGAATTTATTTTTATTAAACTCGACGTAAATTAAATACTTAACAATTTGTATTATATTATATATATATATAAAAAAAAAAAAAAAAAAAAATGTAAATGTTTTTTTCATGTAATATTATATAGGTAGCCTTCAGATTTCATATAATACAAGTAGATAATATAATATTATTACACATCTGCTCTCTATAAAATACAATATAATGGTTTTTAATATCGAACGCTGAATATAAAAAAATAAATAACTTTTACATTCATGCCACACTAGGCATACCATAACCTTCCGATAAACAATATTATGTAGGTACTTAAATATAAATCCGTAGTAAAAAAAAAAAATATCCCTTTCGTATTTTCGCGAAGGTGTAAAATATATAATGTCATAATGTAAACAGACTGACATTAAACTATATGGTCATAATAATATATAGTACATTTTACGCCCGTCGCGGCCATTGCTAAAAAAAAAAAAAAAATTGCCACCCATAACTAATAAAACTATAAGATATAATAAATACCAAACACTTTAATTATTCAGAAAAATATGGCTATTGAAAAAATTGACTAGTTTAATAACATTTTGTCATTGAGTCATTTTTGTATTTGGTTGTATTTTCCGATGGAAATTTGGTATTACATAGTCATTTTTACATGGATATTTTTTCATAAACATAGTTTTTTTTCATTTGGTCATTATTACTGTTTACGTTTTCCTAGTCAATTAAATCGCTAATTTTTTTTTTTTAATCATTTGAAAGCAGACATTTTAAAATATCTTTTCAAAAACCGAAATCAATCAAATACATCCAATTTAACGTTTTAATTTAATGTTCCCGTTTCCATCCCCAAATCTATAACCAGCCCTTTAACCATTGTTGCCTAGTAGTGTTAATTTTTTAAAAACAGTAAGTCCTTGTCTGTAACAACTAAATTAACTCATAAAATAACTGATATTTTACACCAAAGTAAACCAAAAATCATTATTAAAATAAATATAAAAATAGTCGATACAGCTGATGGGACACAGATCTAACTGTTGTAAATAAGAAGTTAGGAGGAAGAATACATAAAGTTATTATATTTATATCTGCGCACAACTTCAAATAATTGCTGACGAATTATGGTTCTGAGCGAATATTTCATATTTTGAAATGTCGTAATTTTAAAGATTTGTATTCAAATTTGATCTTAAAACTCTTATAAAAAACTACTACATTACGCTCTAATATTTTTTTTTACTACTAAGTACTACTTTTGATGAATTTTGTGTTTATTTTTTAATCATTCCGGTTTGGCTAAACAATTTTATTCACATGAAATAAATCTTCAAAATATCAAAGACTTAGTGTTTTGAAAACTTCACCATGTTTAGAAAACGCTAAAATAGGAAGTCCATATAAAAATTTCAGATCTCTACAATTATTATTTTTAACATAATCACAAAAAAAAAAAAATAAAAAATAATTTAAAATAATAAAATCGTTGTAACTATAAACTTTTCACTTTTTTATATGTTTTTTTAGATTTCCTAATTATTAAGAAAACTGTACAGAAAATCAAAAAACGATTTCTTGACAAAACTTCTATTGCCGTAAATTTTTCCGTTTCCTATACATTTTTTCTAGTTTTTTTCAATTATTTTAAAAACCAAAAGAAAAATCAATAAACTATCTTCATAATGCACCATTTAGATTCAAAATTCTATGTATATAAATATAAAAAAGCTCTGTAGTTTTTTTTTTTTCAAAAGAAAGATTCCTGATGGAAAAATTATGTTTATTCGGGAATGAAATATTGCACGCTTTGTAAAGCCAATGCATTCTTTACAATGTAGTCAGATTCTAAATAATGTGTGAGCCATCCAAAGTTTAGTGTTAATAGGTTCAGGTCTCTACGTGTATTCGATTTTTCTTTGAATTGCATATACACACAAATCTGAATATTTCTGAAATTTGTTTTGAGAAAATATGCACCGATAAATGATAGTATAACACAATGGACCTTTGCTATTACTAAGATTATTAATAAAAAAAAAAAAAACTTCGTTCGATAACCAACTAGTTCAAAATAATACTCCACAAAATCGCTGAACCTCAGCATTGAAACATAAAATTGTTTGGGCGATAGAACAGCTTAGCAAAATATTTAGTTTTCGATTATTGGCCTATAGGAATTACATTAAATCGGTAGCGTCTGCTGATTAAGGTAATCGGATTGTACGCTTTTGCTAAAAAACAGAATTATATTCAGTTATTTTTGCTAAACTAGAAAGGCAATGAAAATGATTAACCGTATTGTATTCAGAATTATCATATTATTACTAGCCTTCATTTTGTTTACGAACTAAAAACTTTAACCTATCTCGTTATTTAAACAATAGGAATATTATTTACTGGCATGGATATAAATAATATCCATATAAATGTAAAGTACTTAACAATGAATTTTCATACATGAAAAAAATTGTATAATTTTTATATTGAAACTTTTTTAGTATAATATTACATAATTATATAATGCACGAAAATTTAATTATCTACATATAAAACACACACATACACACACACACAAGGATACAGTATCTCAATATTTCTGCAGTGTCAGTCGTTGGTTTTTCGGCTTTGTCACGGAGACCATTCCGGAGGATATAATATTATGGTAATACCTACATGTATATAGTGTATAAAAAAAAGAAAGTAACAAGTCACACGCGATAAACAAAAAAAAAATACATGCCAACACGATAATATTATGTAGGTATTTGGATAAACAATGTACATATAAGAACATAGAAATGCCAAATAATGCTTAAAATCGATTTAACTGACGATAAAGCTATGGTCACCCAGATATCTGACCCAAAACTGATGCTATAGAATAGGTACATATAGAAAATAATGTACAACATAACCGCCGAAAACCGTCAATATGTATAGTTTTCAGAAAAATCGATTTGGCCTTAAAAACGGTAATATTACACAAAGTTATTTTTACTCAGACAATTGAAATTAAAAATTAATTTACTTACAAGTAAATAATATTATAAGGCTTTACAATTAAAATACATGTCGTTTTCGAATAATATTTAAAAACGTAGCACTTATATTATCTTTAACTCAGTGTTAATAATTAGACATTTTTAATTACTCGGATATTTAATTAAAAACGTAATGTTAGTAACTAAAAATCATATTAAATACAACAAATCAGAACATTTCCATAAACAGAAAAATAATTTATCGATAAAAAATATTAATAACGAAAACCAATCGGGTTAAACATGTTTTGTTATTTTTGTAAAAAACATTATTTTAAAAACTATTAAAAAAAAAAACCACTACAGCCAACACATATATGTATTCATATAAATAACAACAAAATTGTAAATATTGATATCAGTAATGCCTTTAATTTTTCTGTTTTTATTTTACGTCTATTTATGGTATTTTACGGTTATTATAGATACTACAAGGAAAATCAAAAAAAAAAAAAAAATAAAATAATAGTTTCCACATTGCACTGATAAAAATTCATAAATTCTGGTATTTTTTGCAAATTTCTAGTCAAATATTAAAGTTGTTATCACACAAAAACCAAAAGAAAAGAAAAGAAAAAAAGCACACATAAACATAGAAATACCAATATATTCCTCGCGAAGCTACGATTCTAAACGAAAAATAAGTTAGCGTTTTTATTTTTTATTTATTACGACTTACAATATTATGTTTGATTTCAAATAATTTCTCTGCAATATCCGAACTGTAAATTGATAAAGTTTTAATAATTTATAAAGTGGGTAGGTACAAATGCACGTTAGATTTCGGTTCCGTATACTTAAACGAAGTTTCGTATTGAATGTTGTGAAAATCTCGCATTCACGCTCAGTCTTATATTCTGTATATTATTATTATGTACATTGATACTGTTTGCAGAGTTAGAGACGAATGCGTATATTTCTTCGAAAAGGGACAAAACGCGATTCGTAACGTACGGACGGGTTCGCCGATGCGGAAAAGGAAACGCGGATAGAAAGTCAAGGAGCCACCTTTTAATAGATATAGCCAGTATGGGTATAATAATACGGTATAGTAGGTACGATACGGTCTTATCCCAAAGTCGTCCGAGGCGTAATCCGCAACGGTCATGCTATCTGAAATGAACATAAAAAATAAAATCGTCAAATACAGGATGCTTCTACTGCTTACTACGATGATATACAACAAAATATGTCACAGTCAAAATTCCGTATCGTCTATTAGTTTTCGTGATACCGAAAAACGTGCAGAAAATATCGCGTAAGTCACATACATGAACGTGTTATTTTCAATCGTGAAATTGAGCAATAATTATTGTTATGTTCACGCATATTACTCGCGAATAAATAATTGATGTGTGGTAACTTAAATTTTCCGAATTACTACTTTACTAATTTTTTTTCGTGGACGTAAAAATACCAAAAGATATATTTTCACTGAGGATGCATGGATAAAATAGAAAAAATTTGTCCCCTGTGTGCATTTTACCGAAGATATAAGAATAAAAAAATAATCAACAGATTTCTGTCGGAGTAAGATTTTTGTTGGACCAAACAAAACCGAAAGTAATTTTAAAACTTTTTCGCTATAAATTTGTCTATTTTCACCGTGCATTACGGTAAACACAGGGATAATCAAAAAATGACCTCCACAATGCATATCAACTAAATCCACATTATTACAACAAAATTTCTCTCGTCGTTCTTTGAGTGGCACGAAATTTCGGGTTGACAAGTTTGTCACAAAAGAAAAATAATAATAATAAGAACACAATGTTGTAGTAAAACCAATACATTTGCGTTAAGAATACAGCACGACCGCCAATGATAAAGCTCACCGTGAACAATTAGTATCCGCGGTATACAAGAACACCGTGTCTTGTATATCACGACACTTCCCGAACCATAGGCCACAAAATATGTTTTTTTTCCGTCCGATTTTCGTTATAACATTTTGCTCTAGTTAGTCGCTAGTCCAGTAAAGTTTAAAGCGGAATTTGACACTACAAAAATTTCGCTGTCGCTTACCACTGGCTCTTTGATTCGACCGGGTCCGTGTAAATACGTAATATTTTCATTAAATTGATAAACCGAAGAAATTACGAGGAATAAAATACGAGAACCGCAATTTTTAAATAAAATAAATATAATATTATTAATATAATTCATAATAAAAATCATTCGTTTAAAATATGCGTTTAATATTTTCTCTCCCGGAAATTCATTATACGATTTACTTTATAATAATATAACGCGATTCTCATAGGCGCGAGTTGAAGGGGGCGGGACTTGCAGAAGCTTAGCCCCTCCAATATTGAGATTAGCCGCTCCGAAAATTTGTACTATGGTCTGAGTGTTAAACCCTCCCAAAACTTATGTACTTAATCTATTGTAAAATTTATTAATTTGTATTGTTGTTTTTTGAAAGTATTTTATAATTTCTAAATATTTCTAGTTAAAATCTAATAAAATCGATGAAAAAATTGTATACAATACTGAGGAACAGCATTAAATCATTGAACTCTATGTCTATATCGCGTAACCAAACCACATATGCCACATAGGTATAATCTTAAGAATTTTTCCGAGACCTGTGCAAATATTACTGATAACAATTCAATTTTTCTTTGTAGTGGTGTATTTTTAGAAAGATTAGGGTTTCTATTAGATTTTATCAGTACCCGACGAATTAAAATTCCCTCTTTTATTTAAAAGATTATATTTAATACTTATATTTAAGTATCGTTATCGGCTAACTTTTGAATAGCCTATTACACACAGGCCTTATGGCTTAAACTAGTCGACGGATCATTTAAGGCCAGCGAGGTTGGGTGACGCGCGCGCTCCGTGTAAATCGGTAATTTACTGATTATTTTTCGATTTACTGGCTTACTATTTCATGCCCAATAGCGCCACAGCTCACGAAGAACAGTGACATTTTTGTTAACTGTAATATTTCAGTATTGTACTTCGTTATTCGGTTCAACTTAAAAGTATCAAGTTATTGGTATTTTAAGTAAACGGTATTTTAAGTTCAACTATGAAGTGTAAGAAGTGGTTGAAAAAATGATAAATATAAATGACTATATTAAAAGTACGTAAAGTAACATAGGTATAGATATGATGGGAGGTCTGAAGGGTAAAGCTCCCCACATAATGGTTTGAATGAAATTATTAAAGCCCCTTCAAGACAAAAACTGAAGTTGCGCCCATGGTGATTATATTGTTTAAATCGATATTAAATATTAAGTATGCAATAACTTAGGCATAGATTCTACATAATATTGTATAAAACTGAATATTTTTCTGGCACTTTAAATTTGTATGTACGTAGTTCTATGTTATCGGTTATAGGAAACAAAAAGAATACTTAAATACATATATATTACATAATTGTATACTAGTATTGTATTTGAACAAATTATACAAATGGAGAAAATATTCGTATTCAATAAGACAATGAATGTTGTAGAACATTTTTGAACATACATTTGATTAACCCCGAAAGATTTTTTATCAACATAAACCAAAAAGTGCCTATAAATAGCTCAAAACGTTTACCACATCGACGAAAAAAGTAATGTAAGTGACCTGCAAACATTTCAGTTGTTATTTTTTAGTCAAATTACAAAAATAAAACAAAATTCAACTTTCCCGTTTACCTTACGTTTTTTCTCGATTAACAAAAAAAAAAAAATGCCCAGTAAATCAAACAACCACCTTCTTACAAACTAACTAGACCGAATATTTAACACGAGGCTCATTATAAGTTGTGCTCTGTCATCAAAGAAAATAAGTCGGGCGTAATGTAGCAGTATTTCTTATAAACGTTTCAAGATCAAATTTTGACGGAATTCGAAAAAAAAAATATATTGCATATTCCGGATGTGCAGTCCGCACACACGATTTTTATTTTAATTTTTAATTCAAGTATCACACATTTGGTATCGCGTTAAATAATGAAACACTGTTGTGTACACTGTACGCAGTTTTCAAAGCACGATAAAAAATTACAACGACAATTTTTATATTATTTCTAATGTATTCTTGTGTTAAAACTTTAAACGTTTCAAAATTTCTGAAAACCTAAACAATACGAATTATTATTTTTTATGTAAAGAAATTATATAGAGTTAAAAGGCTTTAATTTTCATAATTTAGTCATAGTATAAAACATTTGTTTAGCAGTTTCCAAATCGATATTAAAGATATTATTACTTAAAACTATTAGGGGAAAAAAAAACATGAATTTAAAAAGAAAATGCTCCAAGAATACGTAATATTACTGAAAATCAGTAAAAATTATTTGAAAAAAGCTCGATGGATGGGCCAATGCAGTAGGTGAAAAGTTGTAAAAATAGGATATAGAGGGACATTAAATGTATATGTGTATACGGTTGAAGATTGATAACGAAAAACGATTCTAAGTGGAGTTCGGTTATGCATGTTTTAAAAAGTCGCCATTTTTAAATTGAACAACTAAAATTAGTGTTGGAAGTTTGAAAATCACGGCAGATATTTAATTCGATTGTCTTCTACTGTTATTTTGTAAACATGTAAAACGGATAGAAAATTTGAAACTTAAAGTTGTTTATATTAAATAGGTATAGCTAATATCATCAATGCAATACTATATATACCATTTTCTTTTTTTACTTTCAAAGTCGAATACTTCTTAGCATTTCATTTCGAAAATTTTTTTTTTTAGTAGTAACACGAGTATATTTTCTCAATAAACGTGGTTTAACAACAAGTGTGTGTGAATATTTAGCGGCGGGTGCAGTGACACAAGTAGTTTTCTCGGGAGAAGAAAGGGATATTTTTTCTTTTCAATATGGTAGTGTTGCTGGTTCATTTCAAATCGTAGGTATAGGTACGAACCCGAGGTGGATCCCAGAGAGTTTCTGGCGGTGAAGGCATACGGCGACAGGTAGTCGCACGTGACCGACTTTTCGGGTGCGATGACGTCGTCCTGTTGGAGCTGTTGCAACTGTTGGGCGAGCGAGTTGTCGCCCGGCGGGTTTCCGCCGCACACATCGTGTGGCTCGCTCTGGCCAAACGGTGGATCGTCGTGCGTAACGCTGAAGCGAAATCCAGTGGTGACGCACTCCTGCGAACAGAGAAAAAGAATAATGTATTTTACATAATAATTAAAGATTTGGACGAATTTTTAAAATTGAAAATTCCGTCGTTGTCGGTAGTCTGTTGAAAAATATCACATCAGTACTGAATTTAAACAAATCTAAAATACGCCGCGAAAATTCGAAACATAATATTGTATAAACAAAACGTATGGAAAACATTTTGATGTGAACGAGCAGTTTTGCCGGCGAACTAATAAAACAAATCAAAACCATAATTATAAATATCTGGTTGTATAATAAAATATTCTAAATTTCACTCGTATTCGAACGGAATGCTTTTGATATCATTTTGAGAGTTATTTCGTTGGTCTTCGAATAGTGTATTTCGGTTTCAAAAGTTTTTCCGATGAACGCATTCAACATCCGTCTCTTGGCGCACTCTTGTGGCCGCGAAAGTTATCCCAGGAAAACGCCGCTACACGGTTTCGTTTTCGCTAGATCGTGCGCTAGTATTCGCTTTTTTAACATTTGATTGAGAACATGAATACAAACTCGGTAAAAAATTCCGAGTCGCGGTGTCGTAATTTTTCATCGGTTTTCATTTTTTTTAAAAAAACCGTTGAGAATCAAAGTACATTTTTGAAAAAATAGTGACGGTAAATAGCGTGTATGAAGATAAACGTTTTCAACCCGATTTTAGCCGGTTGATTTTGATCAATATCGGCTTACAGTTATCAATTTCGAAAATATCGAATTTTCGCGGTTCTCGGTTTTACATCGATGACAGTTAATGACGGCCGATATCGCTCCATCGCTCTATAATCGTCCTACCATGTGCAAATCGTGAAGCAAAACGATCGCCTACAGTGCTCGAAATGAGAATATTAAAGTAAAGCATAAAAACATAGCGTTCCGACAAAAATAAAAGTTCATCTTCACCAACCAAAAAAAAAAAAATCTGTCCTAGGATAATAGGGACGGGTGTAAGCACTGTTATAGGCAATTTAATGTATATCTGTTAGGAACGGTTAACCATTGCTAACGAAAAAACTATTCTGAGCGGAGTTAGTTGACAGTGATGCTAAGTCAACAATATACTCGTTTATGTCATGTTATGGTAAAATAATTACGCACGCATAATATATTTTCTTTAAAAATATTTGTTTGGTATTGTACCTATTTTCCCGTTTTTCTCGGTCTTTCCCATTTATGAAAAAACTCTTGGGAAAACCAAAATATGACTTCGCGAAAGTATCTCTCCAGTCAGATTTCCTTTTAGAAAAAATGCTATCATTGTAAATCGGAGCAAAATTTCTGGTAGAAAAATTGTCCACAGAAAAAAAATCGTAGTATTTTACAAATATATTTTGTACATTTTCCCGTTTTTCCTCGGGTTTTTTTTCAAAATCGAAAAATTACTTCCGTAGTCTAATTTTCTTTTAGAAAAGTTGCTACATTTAAAATGAAAATCGAAGGATGATTTCTGGTAGAAGAGTTGCTCCTTTCAGAATCTAAAAGATTAAAAATGACATTATAAAACGTGCAAATAATCCTAATCATATTAGGATTAATAACATAGATTTTGCTGAATTTTTTAATAGACAAAAATTGAAATGACTTAAACTTTTAATTGTATAACAATGATCAAAATCGAAATTTTCAATTTACTTATAGTAATAAGCTGCTGTTGATAGTCCTAATAAGTTTGTACAAAATGGGAAGGAAAGTAATGTGTTTACGTTTGGATGGCATTTTTTTGGGTAGTCGTTAAATATTATCGGGACGCAGTTTGTATTAAAAGGTAATTTTTGGACGTAAAAAATACAGTTAATGAAAAAAAATTCTTTCCTGATGAGATAATAATATACTACCACAACGTCTCTGCATTTGACATTTTGAAAATATAGCCATTACAGAATACGAGAGTTGAACGTTGAACAACCAAATCTAACCAACTTTAACATTGTCATTGAAATAATCGTTGTTCCTCAGTTATAAAACAAATTGACCTGTGAATATAAAAGGACACGATGACGGGTGGTACACGTGCCTGTACGTTTAATGCCTAACCTAACAACTTGCAACGGACTTATGTTAATTTATTATTAAAACGAACACGACGTTTAACACTCGCATACATTAATGCATTAAGCGGGATATTATACCTTTGAGGTATTTTTTTTAACGAAAACCATATAATAACTGCCTTTGAATAAATAGAAAAAAAAAAACTACACAAAACGAGGGAAAACGGGTGTGCCTCTGTTTTAGGTGGGAGTTCGAAAAAGTAGGATGTATAAATGCGTTTAGTTAATTGATGTCCGTAAACAACGATAAACCCCATTGTTTATTAAAAACGACTCTGAGAGAAGTTCGGTTATACGTATATTGAAATACCGTTATTTTTACGATTTTCTTCAAAAATTGATTTGATATAAATAAAAATATTTTTTTTTTCAACTACAAGTACAACCTATAATAAACCTCGTGTTGAATTTGAGCGTTTCTGATTGGTCCAACAATTTCACCAAACTAAAAACTAACTAGAAAACAATAAATGTTTATGAACAGCTCAGAAAACATCTACCTAATCAACATTGGAGCAAGATTTCTGTTAGTAAAACACATTTCGGGAAAAACTCTCGGTGTTCTCAATTATTTTGACATTTGCCCGGAAACCCAAAAATAACTTCCTCAAGGCGCCAACTAGATTCAGAATACTATGAAAAACTAATACACGTATTCCTAGTGCCTCTCAGAATCTAGAACGTAAATCATAATGTTTTTTCGGGGCCCATCATAAGGTAGTGCATGAGAGATTGAACATGTTAAACACCCCGCCCCGTACATGGACATATTTAAGACTATTCATTAGGTAATTTTACGACAATTTAATTTCAATAACAAAAACTTTCTGTCCGGCGGCGGCGGCAGTTCTATTTAATATTTACACATCAGTAAGTATATTTTTAATTCGATCGCGTTGGTTTTCTTCTTTACTTTTTTCAAATAAAAACGAATATTACACCGATTTTAAATACCCTAGTACACAAACTAAAACAAAATAACAATATTGTACATTTGTAGAATATTTCGGCATGGTAATCGATGAAAACCTTTTTTTTTTTGAAAAAATATCTAAATATTTTAAATAACTTGATCTTATTTATTTTGTATATATTTTTTTTTTCGAGAGAACTCGGTGACGTTATTTCATGATTTATTTTTTTTTTCCGTATAAAGTTTTCGTGATAATATTATACGAAACGCCACGCCGTCTCGAAAATTTTCGGAGCTGACGAGGTCGAAGACGAAATAAAATATTCCGGTAATATTTTATTAAAACACAAGCGTAATAAATGCAATTTTTATTTTTTGGTTTTATTATACTCGCATCGTCCGTCCGTTCCGCGCCATAAATTCAATTAAAAATATTGCCCGGATTTCTCTTAGGATATTACTATTGTTGTTTACGTCGTACGAAGAGTACAAACATCTGAAGATCATACTTACATTATTATTCTGAAAGCGAAAAGACACAATCGATTTTTTTTTTTTTATATATATATATATAGTAAAATCGCCCGCTTAATAGTAACATTATAAAGTATGGGTACGTATAGGTGGGCACGGCGTTCTGCAGAAAAAAGCGCTCGTTTATTCAAAGGCCGAAGATTTCTTTCCCCGTTATCATTCCCGCGCGGGTGTAATTTTTCATTGAGACTTTACGAAAAGTCGCCCGGCGGATTAATAATTCGTTTCCATCAATTTCGTCCGCGGTAAAGGTCGTCCATTTAACTCTAGTCCGCGGAACCGTTACATTTTCAGTCGTATTTATATTCAAGTACAGCGTATAAAAGAACTGTACTGGGCCCATATAGGTTCGCTTCCAAAAGGTTCGCTATTAATTTACGAAAAATAAAAAATAATAATATAATGAACGTAACCGTCTGCACCAATTGTAAAGGTTATTTTTATTCGTGGTAACGATTCAATGGCCAAAGTGTTTACCAAAACTAACAAGGTCGTATATGTGGGGTGGGGGATGTTTACAGAGTAACAATTTTAGCCCTAATGGAGCAGATTCGTTATATATTTTAAATTATTCATAAGCTATTGTGTCTTAAGTGTTATTGTAATACATTTGGCCCTCTCCCACTGGAAATTCGTTCCCAAATATGGCTCTGAAAACCATTAATGTAGAATTCGAAAAAAAAATGGCATACTTATTTTAATAAAAGCCTCGCTTACGATAGTAGAATTACGATTCGTGGTAATTTGTTTGTATCTTCAAGCACTTACTTAATTACCTATTTTTCAGCTAATCTGTATATAGGTACCTAACACGATCGTTTTGAACATTCGTGGAGAAATAGGTATAGGTACCCAAAAACGCTGTACATGTGTTGATAAACCTAAGGGCGATCACAGACATAATATTTTATGAAATTACCTAATATACCGGGCATTTAAATTAATAGATAATTTATAAATGTACCAGGCTGCAGCTGATTTATGTTCGGTTTGTGCGCATAACCTCTTTTAGTATAAATAATGATCGTAAAACATTATCTTAGGTTTAAACGGGACAGTTGCAGCCTTATAAGTATGAATTATTATAATGTGGCCGGCAAGACTGCCGCAGTTACATCTGCAGGTTTTGCAATGTCATCGTTGCTAGTTCGAAGGGAACGCATTACGTTTAATTGAAACGAAACTTCGAGAAAAAACGAAACATCGCCGCGGAAATCGATCCGCGAAAACTTTCTCCGCTGACAGTAAATTAAACTGCACACCTATCTGGTACCTGCCTTACGAGCAGGACACGCTATGCATATAGCTGTTGCAGTGATCAATGGTTTTTGTACCATGCAAATTTCCCGGGTCGTTATGAAAATACTTTTGTCCCTTTTCCAAAACGAATGCGTATACTAATCTACGCCTAACTACATTATACAAGCCCCGTGACAATCAACGTCCCGTCACCTGAGAGCAATGAGAGACACTGTTAGTTTACCGGACAACAACGCCGTGTCTGCAGCAGTGTATTATAACGCAAAAACAAAATAAATTGTTTTGTTCTTCCCCGGGCTTATAACGTTCCGCGTGCGTGCTTCTAATGGAGATTGAATTCTCATGGTGTAATAATTACGTACTTTTCAAGGAATTGTGTCGTATAACGAGTTAGCCATTTTCACTATTTAGAGCATACGATTACGTACATTATGAGATGAAAATAAAGATAATAATTGGAATTGTGGCATAATTGAGTGGTAAAATAAAACAATGACAGATCCTATTATCAGAGAAAATAAACATCACATTTAGGAAAAGAACAATTAAAACATACGTATGTCTAGTGTCCAGATGGTGGATATAGAATAATTTTAAGCAGAGACATAGATGTATAACAAAATTCAAGAAAAGCCAATCAATCAATTGTATTGATTTTATATTATATGTTTTTGGTGTTATAGACGTATGCAAATATAAGGCAAAGCAAATATTATGTATTACAGTGTCAAATAAACAATGGCATGTATTACAATAAGTCAATGAAGAAACAACAATGATTGATACTATTAAAACGAAAAAACTGCAATAGTTGAGCCGTTTACCCTCAATCATAATCCGTGCTTATACGTGACTAGAATTTACTCGTGGAACTGGTCAAAAAATATCGCAAGGTAGATGACCAATGTATTCAGCTTCCGTAGGATTGATTGATGGAGATTTGCTTGGGTTCGGTCGGTATATATAATTTTTTATTTAGAATTTTCTTAAAAAAAAAAAAAAAAATTAACAAAGTTTT